TTGCTGCTTAGCTATATGCAAAATTAGAATATCTAATATTTCATAGTTTCAATCGTTATACTGATAACCGAATGTACCTAACGACGTTCTGGTCTCTTTAACATTCACGAACTATAGGACTCGGGGAAAATATCGATAACTGCAACCCAGGACAATGCATAGTTTGTAAAAGACTCTGTAAGACATCAGCTGAATAGGACCAGATACCGAAAGGGGTTTTGCGATTGGGGCGAACTTGCAACAAAGACAGATATTCAGTTTAGGTCTCCCCCAAGCTGACATCATACTTACGAATCGCTACCAAGATAAAAGAAAATGTTTGATAGTTATAAGTTTAAATTTAGTTAGAGTTAAGTGATACGATAAAGTTCATCCTCCTATGTCTAAGAAAGATGGAAGTTTATTAGTTAGTTTTTTATTTTACTACCTCAAAAAACTCAGCCCGTATCAATCGTACATCTTTTCTCAGCTTCTACTAGGCAATGATGAGGGGACTGTGTCCCTAGGCAAAGGAGAGGTGAAGGCCGCACTTTATTTTGTCCTTATACAACGATGGTACTGTTCAACAAAAGCCTACGCCATTTCCCATAAAACATGATCATTTTTCTTGATAGCAATAACTCATTCTGTACGCAATCTTGAGCTGAATCCAGCATTAGCGTCTTGCCTTAATGATTTGAGTGTTCAATTGTTCATTATCAATATTCATCATTCCTGATCACTTGAAACTAGACAATCATTTCCTTTTGGAGATGATCTTGCGACTTATTGCATTATTCCTTTCCCTGATTACTTGTCTGGCTACAAAGACACAACGGTTATTCAAGTATAACACTTTATCGATTTTTGCGTTATGACAAAGTCGGCGTAATACATCTCTCGCGAGTGAAACATTTTCAAGCCTTTAATCAAATCTTCGTTCAAATATTGGCTAAAACTGCCCTTGAATTTTCACTACAACACTAGCAGATGGTCTCGCCTAGGCTGCCTAGTTGCAACGATCTATTCTTGTTCTGTGCTTTTCTTTGTTTAGCTGCACATTTCTATTCAGATGAGATTATGCAACCTACAATCACTACCAAAAGTCTTGGACCACTAACGTCAGTTTTCAAAGGCAAATTCAGCCACCCCCTCTCCCCCTAAGAACAATGTTGATTTACTATAGAAAAAAGGAAGGGGTTGTGGAGTACGCTTTTTCATGTGCCTTGTATGATATTTTATTATACTTTAAACATTGTTTTGGGGGGGGGGAGGGGGACGGAAGTAGTTGTATCGGGATAACAAATGACAAATAGAAAAGCACAGCGCAAAGTGTTGGGTGCTCCAAGTAATTTTGGCAGTGATTGTATGTTGTTTTAGCATGTCGCAGTTCTATCTTCAATGATTATTTATATAGAATGGTGCCTAACACGCTGGACGTTTCTAGTTATCTTAAAAAAAGTTGAACCTTTTTTTTGAGTTTGAACTGTTCTTTTAGAAAACTCCTCTTCACTGCTGTTTATACAAAAATGGAGAATCAAATGAGTATTCAGCCGTCGCTATGGGATTTATATACGTATAACTGCATCATGTAAAAAAGAGCTAAATATAAATAAGTTCCGCTTCGACAAGTTACTATTAAAGCGTGGAAAGTATATTTACACTGTGACTTACTCTCCCTGTATCGAATATGGGAAAGTTATAATGACTACTCAAAAATATATTCAAAGAATACGGTTAAGGGTGTGAGTATTTAGGAGGCTGGGGGCGATATGTAGGATAACGAGGAGCAGGTTACATGTGATGAAGTGGGCCTATGTGTCCAGATGTGCATGTGATAAAAAGAATCTTATGAAAATACAGTGGAACTTCATTTAACTGAGACCAGCTACCGATGGCACCGTCCGTTGTAAGAATGTGTCCGTTGTAGGACCTTTTTTTTGTCTTAAGGTTACCTTTGCCATGGTTTGACCGTAAAGACAAAACATAAAATGAAATCGTTGTTTGAAGATGTCGGATTATTGAAGTTTCACTCTACAATGATATCACTGGACTATGCAATTATTAGAATCTTTAGTCTTTTTTAATCCAATGGGATAGCATTCAACTAATGGTTTGCAGTGCTTGGGTACTAGCGTAAAAAAACCAAGGCAGAATCCAGAATAGTTCTGTTGCTTTCTTGTGACAAATGAAAGTTCTCCCTCGTAATCTGGCAGAGTAATAACGAGACAATACTTTCCTTAAAGGTTGGTCTTGAGAATTTTTCACGTGAAAAATTGCTGACAAGAGCGTGTTTGTGTTTGATATCTAAACTATAACAAAAACCAGTAAAAACCTTGAACTGGCTTTAACAAGTAGCCATTTCTTATTTTATTTTTTAAAGATGTTTGCAGAAATGCAGTTCTTTTGTACGTGCTTCGTGGATCTGGAATTCCGCTACAGTACCCCATGATTACTACCGAATGCAAGAACAATTTTTGAATCTCACATTTAAGAAACAATAAAACACCGGAAGTATTGTTTCACATGGCCCGTGCCACAAAGGGGGGGGGGGGGGGAGGGCGGGCAGTGAGGCCATGGCCTTTCCCACTTTTTTGCTGAAGAAAGGATTAGAATCGGCTCAAATTATCTATTTAGATAAACCTTTAGATTGAAAAAATACATTGAACCAAGGTCTACACGTAAAAATGCGTCAGCAAAATGCTTGCCACAATTGGAGCTGGAGGGGGAAAGAGGAAACTTTCTTTTCATTGTTGGCCCCTCCAGTTTGGAGTCAGTGGCACAGATCCGGTTTCATCCAATATGCTTATGAGGATGCACTCCTATGTTTGATGGATGTTATCATTTAGCGAGCTTTGCCTCTTTCACTTGCTGCTTTAGAATGACGGACTATTTCCTTTTGACTAGATAAAATTGAGCAGTGAATGTTAATATTGTTGGGGAGAGTTTTGTTTTGTAACTAGGAAGAAAGATATTTGCTAAGTTATTCTTACACACCACTCATTGCGAGCATTTTCTCTCCAAATTTCTTAATATTGCTGACAAATAAAGAATTCAGCTACTGTAAGCCTTTTTTGCGTTTGAGCTGTCCTTTCGATAATCAATTTTTCATGCCCTATCATTTGTTACAGGTATTTTTCTTACCGACAAGCAACATACTGATAAGTTGTTTTAGAGATGACAGCATCTTTGCCTGGAATTGCGACAGTATGAAGTGCTTGTATCAACTGAATTGTCCATCTGGTGAAAAGCCTATGTATAAATGCTTGGCTGCAAGTAAAGACAGTCGAATGCTTGCTGCTGCTGGCAGGTAAGATCGACAGAGGGTGCTGCTGTTAAGGGATGCTCAAAGGGTGTAGCTGCTGGGGGCTATGGTTGCTGGGGGAATGTGGGGAGGGAGTCTTTATGTCTTTCTAATGAATTTTGGAACAGCATGAATTTGCAAGCAAAGATGGTTACCTATCAAGTCCATTCTACAGATGAAAAGTCTCATTTTTAATCACCACTTTTTATCTCTTCTTTTCCCTTGTTTAAATTCATAAGGAAAAACTATTAAGGCAAGAAGCAAATTTTCTAAGATTGTTATGCCGTGCCAGAAGCAAAATTTATTTTCTCTTTATTATCTGTGCTTATTTTTAAACAGCTAGAAACATGCTTTGCTTCTAGCTGTTTCATTCTTGTGATGTAGAAAGAAATTGTTGATATCTTTTGTTTAGCTTTTTCATAACATATTTGAAGATAAGCACATATCTCCTCTTTCCTCTTGCAGATCGCATTTCATTCATCTGTGGAATCTCGATTCGCAGCATCTGATAAGAATTATACAGCTGCCTTCGAAAACCAAAGAAGTCAGAAATATGGCTTTTGTCAACGATTCTTTGTCAGCTGATAATCCCGAGGTGCGTTTGCTATTTTATTGTACATTTGATATGTTACAGGACATTTAATATATTAAAAGAGATTTTATATGTCATATAACAGTCGATCTGGGATACCATTTCGACTGTTCGTTATTGGATGCTTGCTATGTTATCAGACATTTGCTAGTTACATCGACAGCTTTATTACCCGTTAGTTTTTATTAGTATTCGTACGAAAATAACAGACAATAGTAGAGCAATTAATAATCTTCAAAAGTATCGTTAGAGACCAGAAATATATTGAAGACTGTCAAGGGTTGATATTTCGCCTTGGTCTTCAAATCCTTTTCATTGGGGATTTTTGTCATGATATCTTGCAACTTTATCATTATTGGCCAGCTTGAGCAATTTTGCTTAAAAAATTCCTTAATTTGCAAAATTCTTACTTAGAATGGAAAGATAAAACGATATGTTCATACTAAGTTTTTAATAACCTACCTCAAGGTAGCCATTTTAAGGAATCCTGTATTTCCAACGAGAAATTCTTATCTTGAGATCACGACTCTTTATGCTTTAACCCCTTTACTTGTGGTCGGGTTTTTAATGCCCCCAGGAGCATTTTAGTACAGTTCGCTTTTGCGCTACTGCAATTTACGTTTTTTCAGACTTTAGCTGTTTTGGCCCAAGACGGAATCTTAAGATTCATAAATGTGAACGAATGCAAATTGATGTATGAGATTGGCAGTAATAACCAGGTATGATCCATTGCTGCAGTTGATTTGTTTCTGCTCTTGATTATTTTTTAAGACCTAGGTAACTCTATGTCCCATCAACACGCCTTGGGGTTAGTACAGATACTTTCATTAACAAAACTCTGATTCCTGTCTCATTTCTTGCTTTTTCATAGGCACATTTGTTTTACTTTATTTGTTAAAGTATGTTTAATGTTGATAAATAAATATTTTAAAATGTTAATAGATAAAAATGTTAGAATAGATATGTATGCTAAAATAATAAGTTAATAGATATGTTAAATAATAATAATGATGATAATCGTTGCTAGTATGCTTTTTGAAAGTCTGCTGTGAGAAATCATAATTTTCATCGGTGGGCAATCTTAATCATGCCGTGTGTCTACTGGCAGATGGTATCCTCACCTCCTTCAACGCTCTCCTTTTTTACCCCACTTGCATCCGTTTACTCCCGACCTATCTTTTATTTCGTCTCATCATCACGTGCTTGCTATTGTCCTGTCTGGTAATAGCAGAAAACAATTTAACTCATACATTGTTGATTTCGTTTACAAACTAGCCTGTGAGGCTTCTCCCCTACAACTAAAGACTCTTAAAAAGTTTCGAAAAATATTTCTGCTCTAGTTTTTACTTGAAAGTTTGTTTATTTGAAGATAACACAAAAGGTTAATAAAGTTTTTAGAGAGTAAGCAACAAGCTTCAAAGAAATTTAAGGCCTATTGTTTGTTTCAGATATTTTTCCATTATTCAATAATCATTTACATAATCATATTTTAGTAAAGATTTATCTTATGGAAATGTATATTAAATCAGTGACAAATTGGCCTATGATAAATCTCGTTGCGTCATATTGAATGTTTTTATCTTAGGTGATCAATCCTTCCATTCCCTTTCTGTTCAGTTTAAAGTCACCTTTAAATCATCCACGATGCTCTTATATCTTCTAGCGAATCTTACGCTTTGTTCTGAGTCCAACCGGAAGATATTGCTTGTGTGTACTGGATGATGGCAGTTTGAGTCTTTACAGCTTGGAAAGCTTATCAGGGACTGCCAAGAAGGTAGCTTAACAATTTACACAGATTTACAATTGAATTCTGAGACTTATTATCACATTCTTCGCTGATCAATACTTTAAACATTTAGCTTAGATCATAATTGCCGTAAATCCCTGCCAGAAAGAACCTACTTTTCAAGAGTCAGACTTTTCCTCGGTCTTCTTTTAAAGGTGCATTTAGGAGTTGCAGGCTCAAAGACTCTTATACGGGGTTCTTGTATAAAAGGTGTATTCTAATAATGAATATTGGTTCTATAAAGCCTGGCAATATAGGTGTTTGATTTGTTGCTTATTTTAAAATACTGAAAAATTGCTTCTTGGAAGCTTTTTAGCAGACATAAAGTTTTCTTGGGCTTTATGCCGCTGTTCAGGGGCCACTGGTCTAATCGTTCGATCCTGTTTTTTTTTGCTGCAGAGATTTCCCCTTAAGATTCCCGCATTCATTAAGCGTAAACAGTGTCCTTTATTGAAAAAGAAGAATACGTTTCTTAGAACCCCAATGGAATTTTTCTCACCCTTTCCTATTTGCCAGGTTCCTGGTCCTGTTGTTCAAGATGTTGTAGAAAGACCAGAGAGACGACGAAGGGTGGCTTTCGAAAATGAAGACAAAGAGAAGCCTGAAGGGGCGTGGAAGACTGGTGTTATTTCTGGTGATGCTTTGATGTGGCAACAGGAGAGTTCTGAAGCAATATACGTATGTTCACTTGTTACCATGAATCGTTTATCTATGCCCATTGTCGTGCTTTCATCTTGATGTATAGATCATCCTGAAGCTTGTCGAAACAGCATCGAAACACAGGCAAGACAACGCAGCAACAACAATGAATGTTTGCAAGTACAAATAAGTCTAATTATATTCTCAAACATCAAGTAAGTGACTCAACGACCTAAGAAAAACAATCTCCCTAACTTGAACGAAATCTTAGTTCATTGGCGATATTTTTTATCCCTCTTACGTTTAAAATCTTATTACCACCCCTAAAATTATTCTGCACCATTCTTCCTATATTTGGCTCGTAATCTGAGAGGGAACTGAAGAAACTAAAAAATCTTGCGGAGTCCTTGCATAAAACTGTTTTTGCTTACGGCTGATTGGTAGCACAACAGGATAAAACGTTTTAATTCTTCTTGTATTAAATCCCATTCTGCTTGTGCAGCTTGTTTTTGTCCATCAATTTTCATTTCGTGTAGTCTTATTGCTATGTTAAGAATATATTTGTTTATAATCACAGCGAGATTTACCAGATGGTTTGGATATGAAGCGTCTCTTAAAAATCCTAAAGGGATATGGCGAATACCCTGAGAAATACAGGTTTGTTTACTTCACAAACATAATATGTTGAATATTGAAAAACTGACAAAGCATCCATTTTATTTCATCTCTTGGAACATTTTTTCGACCACGAATTTCTAAATGTTTGCGATTTCGCATAATTTGTACCAACACTGTTTATCGTGACACAATAAGATATTTCACAATAATATAATTCAAAAGCTTTCCTAAAATGATTTCAAATTTTTTATATGAAACAAATTTTTGAAGACTGAGATCATCCAGAAACCTAGGCCTGTCGTTCCTTTCTTGCACTTGTGTTTTCCTCCTGACCACGCGTGATTTTCTTCAGGTTGTTCATATGGAGATCGTTGTTGAGGTTGCCAGAAAACCATGTTGCATTCAGTGTATTGGTCGATAAAGGGACCCACAATGCATTTGCAAGGCTTCACGAGAACTTCCCTGTGAAGAGCCGAAGGCTGCTTCGTTCATTAGAAAGGTACCTGTATTGGATCGTATTGCATTGTAATTGCTAAAGCACCCATTTCTAATAAACATTATATCTAACAGTCGATTTATTATACGGTCTTGGGCAGCTAAACCTTAACTGTAATTATCTTAGACATATCTTATCTGTAATTGATCTAACACATGTCTTATTTTTTCATCCCTTTTTATGTACATAAGAATAAGCTTCACATCTTTTTTTGTACTTTTCTTTTTCTTATTTATACTGAAAAAGTAACTTCAACCTTTAAAGGTATAAGTAGATTCTTTCATTTGTTTTTGTTGATTTTTTTAATATTAATATTTGAAATCTATTTTATGTTCGCTCCCCCTTTGGTCAGTATCGATAGGGTGAAAAATACATTGTCCTAAACCTTGTTCCATTTTTTCATGAAATCGTCACGCAATACATTGTCCTAAACCTTGTTCCATTTTTTCATGAAATCGTCACGCAATACATTGTCCTAAACCTTGTTCCATTTTTTCATGAAATCGTCACGCAAATCATGGACAGACAATGCCGATATTTTTACCTTTTCCTCTCCCAGTTCAACTATGCAATTGAAATGCACTAACCCAAACTTTGAATTAAAGAAAGGAGTGTATACCAATTTTGCCATCCAATGTGTTATTCATCAAATTATTTTCAACATTGTTTTCTATTGAATAGAATTGAATAGCACGGCAAAAAACAGAGACATCTTTATGTTTCGACATAAATCATTTTAACCAGCTTTGATCCAAATTCGACAAAATTAGTATAACAAAATCAGTACGGCATATTCAGAAAGACATAATCTGTTATTAAGACGTTTCGACTCCAGCTAGAGTCATCTTCAGTAAGTGGTAGAATATGATAAAAATATACTATAAGTATGGAAAGAGTGAACAATAAGGATCGAAAATATATGAAAGGATTTTATTATCTATAGCTGCAACAATGCATCCACTTAAACTTGAATATTTCTTCCTTTGTTTTTGTCAGAGTCCTGTCAGCCCTTGCCTATTGGTCTCCAATCTTTGGTGAAACGGATTTCCTACCAATGCTGGCATTTCCTTTTGTCAAATTGTGTCCAAATAACCAATTGATATGTTTCGAGTTTATCGCTACTGTCATTAGTAAGTAAACAGTCCATGCTTCTAAATGAATAGGTTTTTGAATCTTGCAGAATAAAGAACAGCCATTCGAGCTTTTCCTCAGCTTTTTTATATTATTGTTATTGTTATCAGCAGGTTTGAATGGTTGAATTTTCCAGCACTTTTTTGTCAATCTTTAAAAGCAATTCTAGAATTTCAATTGATTATTAAAGAATTTCATTCGTAAGTGAAGTACTGGTCAGTGTTTAAGTATTATTCAGTCTGTGTGTCTTTCCTTGATCCAATTTGGCATAATTACAGCAAGACTTGCTTACATGTAGTCTCCGATATAAACCTATGATATAAAAAGTTAAAATCTTACATTGGGTTTCAGACATGCGTACCTGTTTCACTATCCATGGATCAGTGAGAAAAATGGTGTAGAGATATAAAAAGTCCGAAATATAGATTAAAACTTTAAAACTTGATCTCATCACACAAGACCTGTTTTAATTTTCTTGGTAATAATTTGCAAGGTCTGTATTGCCTGTAATTTCATAATCATTCAGTTTAAATGCTTGCTCAACTTACTTTTTCTGGTCCTATATTTTAAAACAATTTGCTTTTATAGCTACATGGTGTCAGAAATGGTTTGAGTTCTTCCCGAATCCACCGCTGACTATTCTCGGCATGATAGAGACAGTCCTGGCTCATAGCGATCGTCACCTGATGGAGCATTTGGTGAAACACAATGTTACAACACAGGTAGATCATTAGCTTCACCGATATTCTCTTTTTGTAGCTGTCCTATTTTTGTATGAAAGAATCTAAAAGTTTAAAATCTTTTGTCAGTCTAAATTCTATACATTTTATACAACCGGATTCTATACAATATCTAGATACGTTCAACTGGTCTGAATCAGCTGTATTTATAGCATATTTAACGGAAGTTTTTGGCTTCTAGATTGTGCTTATTCGTTGGCTTGTTTCTTATTTATATCAAATTGTCGATCAAGTATCAAATAATGAAATAATGTGCGAAGATATGAGAAGAAAATTTCAGCAGATATCTTGTGAGAATCACGAAACTGGAAAGCATTGTTTACATTGGATGCAAATCACAAGCAAATTCGTTAATTTGGAGCCAGAAGCTACCTTCTTGAAAGACATCCATAATGATTAATTGCCCAGACGAAAACTTAATAGGACAATAACGTATATATGCTATAAACGCAATATTGCAATTCCATTATCAACAGGAATATGCTTGGCCTTTGATGCAAACGCTGTTTTCTGAAGTTGTCACTAAAGATGATTGGTTGAAATTATGGGATAACATCTTCTCGAATCACCCGTCATTCCTGCTTTTTGTGATCGTTGCATATTTAATAGCAAATCGTCAAACTCTTTTGTCGGCTACCGACCTGGACGATTTCAAGGTAAGGGAATTTCGTTTTTAAAAAAGACTAATTGATATTTACTCTAGGCTAAACTTACTCGCAAGCTCTAGAGGCAATCATTTCAAGTTTATATCTGTTGTGAGAATCAAAACAGAATGTTTTGGACCTCGAAGCTAATTGGTCTCTTCCTTTTATTTTAAAAACTGCAGAACATTGAGAATAAACATATTTTATTACTACATTCATAGACTGTTCATATCTCTAGCTTTCTTGCATTTCTCAATTTGAACTGCTTTTTGATTTTAGTGCATTTTTACATCCAAACAGAAGTTTATGGCGAGAAAGCTACGTTGTAAACGGAATACCAAATATGTCATTTAAAAAGTGATGTCCGAGTCAAGAAATTTGCATAGTTAGATTTTTGAATTTGCGATTAAAATTACACTAAACAATCGAGCCTGTTGGTCTTTCTACAAACTTTTAAACTTCCTGGTGGCAAAATTTATGCAACTCTCCAAATCTTCACTCTGTAGACCTAAACTTCAGTAAGACAAATCGTAAGGCAATTTAATGCATTCTTGTCTCATATCAATTCATTTTATTTGGCAGTTTTTCTTTCATCATCGAAACCCAGTGGACATCTCTTCAGTAATTAAGGACTCGTATCGTCTGTTCGAAGCAACGCCCGATGACATTCATCCAAGGCGAATGCTTGATGATTTCGTTCCCCTTACCAAGGGCCAGTATCCTATTTTCGATAAATATCCCAAATTTGTTGTGGATTACCTGGTGAGTTTTGATTTTCGATTTCTTCTAAGTTAAACGTGAATATAAATCGATTAGCTTCAATGCAGTAAAAAGTACTGGACACACGTATTTCTGGCGGGGAATCATAGAGAATCGTAGGGAATCATAGAGAATCGTAGGGAATCATAGAGAATCATAAGGAGTGATCATAGGGGATCATAGGGTATCAAGTATTTAAGTAGGAAAGTAAACACAGGAGGGGCATTATTAATTTTGTAGATCGTTGGTCAGAAAACGATTTCCTATCAATACTGATTCTCATTTCTTAGAAAAGATTAGCAAGAACCTGTTAATGCAACACACTTAATTTCCAATAAAGATTTTTTTTCTTTGTTTGTGCTTGATTTTGAATTGTTGATTCCTATTATTTTAGATACAAGAAAGAGAAAGAATTCGCAAGGATGAGATGGAATATCTTCGTCAGAAGTAAGCAGCCCTCTTTAGTTTCTTTTTAATAGACTAGGGTTAAATTTAAAGCTTAAATTTTATGTTTTAGAGTCTTATAGAATGAAAGAAATGTTATAGAATACATAGATCTTATATAGAATAATGACCTTTGTATATTGTCTCTCTGTCTTTGTTTTAGAATTTTGAAGCTTTTTCGGCAGATTTTCTAGCTATTTTTGCTGCTTTAAGCTGGTTCTGTAATATCAGGAATCTTGTGCCAAAGTATCTTGCCTTTCCAATTACTATATTGTTTATGTTTGTGCAATACATTGATCAACCATACAACCATGTACGAACTATTTGTAAATATTTGTTCTTTTTTCTTTTATTTGCCTAAAAAGAACATATAGGTTTTCGTTGTTACGATATTTTTTGCATTTAGTTTATTGTTGTGCATGTCCTCATCATTTTCATGTTTTGTTTAAATTTCTCATCGCAATACTTGCTAATTTTCTGAAGACAAATGACGTTGGATTTGCAAAAGGAGGCTGAGAAAACGCGTCAGGAAGAGGAGGCGTTTTACAGACAGCAAGAACTGATGATTGGTGCAGAGCAACAAAGACGGTCCATGATTCTTAACGAAGAGAAAAAGCTTGCTGACCAAAGGACAAGGTATTTGAAATGTTGTTTGTCCATACGTACTGCAGTTTGTCAAACTCGCTAGATTTTCGAAGCATATTTAAGCATGCGTGCATTTTAAACTATCTGCTCTTTGGTCCAGCTCAAATCAGTTTGACAATGCAACAACAAATTAATAAAATCTGCAAGAAAGCTTCAAATCGCTTGAAACTGCTGCAACGAATTCGACCAACTACTATTCCACATGTAGCAGAGAAGATACACAACGCAGTTATAAGGCCAATCCTTCTAAACTGCTATCCGGTATACATAAGCTTGGGTGATACCACAAAATTCAAGTTGCAATCAATGCAAGACAGGGCCCAAAAATGTAACCAGAGATAGCAGCATATCCTTGAAATAGGACAGCCTCGAATAAACGCGAAAGAAAACATCTAAATCAATGTTTTAAATCAGTCAATGGAATGTGCACGGAATCGCTGAAAAGTATATTCAACAAATTTGATCACGGCAAAACACACGAGGCAATGGATGTCTTCTTATACTACCAAAAGTGAGATGTGAGGCGAGAAGAAAAACTTTCCAAGGAGCGTCAATTTTTAGCAGCCTACCATGTGATGTCAGAAATTAAGAGTATTTTGTCAATTTTAAACTTTATCCTTTATCCAATTTCAAATGATCTTTTTACTTTAAAAACTTATTGATAGCAGTATAATTTTTACTGAAAAGGTTATCCTGTATAAATATATTGTATTATTATTATATTATCTTGCCTATCGGGAACATTAAAAAAAAATCGGTCGTTTCAGTAAAAAAATGGATTGCGTTACGCAAATATTTTTTTTGGAGTTTATATAAAGCGATGCTTGTCAAAAGGGTATTTTGATGTTTTCACTGGCCATTTTATATTATAAAATACTGTATTTGGTTGGGTTCTTTAGCAGCTTAGAACTAACTCTCCAAACATTTTTAATGGTATAAAAATTAAAATGGCTATGAAACAGTTGTTTTATCAAGTACTTAATCCTTTCGTATGATATTCGGCAGAGTGTTAAACGGCAGATTGATGGTCAAAATAATATACCCAGTGTGGGTCGAGTTAGGCCAATCATAAACGCGACCACATAACTGTAATGGTTGCCCAACCAGTGCCGATTGCTTATAGAAAAAAGAATTTCCGAACACTATTCTGATGTTTCATATTCTTACAAGTGTCAGACAAAAAGTTTAAGTTTTATGTTTTTTGTTTGTTTTTTCAAAACCACTTTGTTCTTTACAGTCGTATATTTGGCTTATTTTGAGTTAGTTAAGTAATTAATAAGCTGATTTTCAATGCTGCTGCTGTCAGTTACATGCAGGATCAGTATGTTTATTAAAACCTCTTTCTTAATATGAAATGCAATAGCAAAATCTATACCAAAGTCTATCATATAGCTACTCTTCTCGAAGCTTAGTTTTATTGGTATATCACAATCCTTCCATTGATATATTTACATTTTTTGTTTTTATTCTTTTACGAAGACTTCAGGCTATGAAACGAGAGATCGCCTTGCGGGAACTGAAACTCTTGGATGCGGTTAGAAGGAAGTTTATGACACATCAACAAAAAGTGCAGGATGTGGAAATTCAGCGATTAGATGACGAGCTCGAAAGAAAGGTTAGCTATATACCAAATGAAATACCATGATCAGCTGCAGCATGGCATGGCAACATATTCACTTGTTTACACTTAAAAACCTGATCATAACAACTCCTTTTCATTCTTAAACCTTGACCTTGGACCCTCTTGTCTCAACATCACTCTGTTGTATCACTTGTAAAAAGTCTTTAGTCGTTATAACGACTTTTTTTACCTGGGTTAGAAAATTTCGCTCCTGGTGAATACCTCATTTGATACAAATCACATTTTTGCATTTTTGAAGAAAGGCAAATTTTTTTTGATCAGAAGGAGTTATTTCTTATGTATGCTCAAAATCTCTTTTATATAACAGATAAGAATAAAACTGATCTCAGCTCAATAATCAAGATATTCACAACATGTCACACATTTACGTTATGTAAAATGAGAAATTGTTTCGCCTACTAGATGTTGATGAGAGATGATGAGACAAAAAGGGCGTTAGATGATATGGAGATCAAGTCACTGGAATTAGAGGCACAAAAACGCTTGTTTCAACAGGTAGGGTGTACCAGCATATAAGCGCTAACTGATATTTAAATTTGTACTTTTAGATTTATCATTTGGAGACACTTTTTTTTGGCCACACCGAAATGCACTGTTGACTTCTCACAGACTATTCTCCTATTGAAGCTATCAAAACACTAACTATACATTGAGAATGTTTGAATAAAGACGTCACTGAAGTTTTCTCAAATCTATCTTGAAAACATATTTTTCCAGTATTAGTGGACCAAGTAGTTATGAATATCGATCGCAGTGCACATCTTATCCCAATTTTGGGGTTGGGTGTGGGTGTGAAGGTTTCCAGTGCTTTGTTACTTACAAGGTAACAATTTCTTGATATATCTCGTAAATGTTGCCTTTGTTCATGTAGGAGCTCTTGCGAGATGATGCTGAACACTCCATGCGTTACAAAGCAGATCTTGCAATAAATTACAAAAGAAATGAAATGGAAGATAAACAACTAAGGGACGCAGTGGAGTCATCACATGCTATCAAGGGTCAGGCAATGAAGGTGAGTTTTTGTTTAAACCATCTGAGTGAAAAGCTGAGAAAAAATGTAATAGCCATCAGGCATACTGTCAGTTTTGTAGAGGATGTCCATGATAGGCGCTATCAAGTTCTGTGGCAGTACAATGTGGTTGTTGTCACTGCTGTCGATATGGAGCTATGTTCAGCGTGGTGAGGATGTCTGCTAAATCGGAAGTGATTTTCTGTCAACGACCAGATTGGTGCAGGGTCATTGTATTTAGTGAGAAGGTTATGGTAAGCATCCCAGCATGCTTTGCAGCATTCAAATTACTTACAGAAACCCTCTGTCTTATATTTCACTAGTCACCATACAGGTTGTAAATCATTTTAATGTGAATTTCCCCTGCCACTCTGGTAATAGCTATCCACGGTACTGATTACTGACTCCTTTTCTCAAAAGTGGAAGTGACATGAGCTACCGAATCTATTTATAGGATATGCAGTCGGAATTAGCGAACGCCCAACAGAAATCAGGAAATTTATCGCTGCTTGATGCTATGGAACAGAGGAAGAAAGTTTCGGAGATCGACAGGGAAATAAAGGCCCTTGAGGTAAGTGTAATGGAATAAATTGTGAAATTTTAAGCAACTTCCTAAATTTGTTGAAATTTCAAATCCACTGAAGAGACATTAAAATAATTGAAGTTGCTTCCTTATAACTCATAAGCACGTTGTATATTTTGTAATCCTCTACTGATTAAATTACATTTGCTGAATTTTTTGATCTTCGCAATCTTCATCCAGGGCTGTGTTTCTAATTTTTTTCATCTGATTTCAACTTAGGAGTCTTGCATTAATCATCACCACAAGAACGACCACCCTTTTCCCCTTTACCGGCTCACACTGACGGGGCATGTTACACCATATCTCGTCTTTTAGTGACATTTATAACTTCTCTATAGTATAATTTATAACTTTAAGTGACATCTAGTCAGCATTTTAAATAGATTGATGCGTTTCAATATAGCTGGCTCGTGCAAACGTAGAGAATGAAATTCGGGAAGAGGAAATGCACAATCTCATGAACATAATGGTCAACAAAGAGGTACTTTTTGGCATTTGACCCTTTTCCCTTGATTAATAATTAGGCATTTTCGATTATTTCAAGAATCCTTTCTTTGTGCTTCTGGCTTTGGAGCTTTTTTTCTCCTAATTTTTAGTCATGAAAACCCTTTCCCGGTTTTTGGTGCTTTCACCCATTCTTTTCAGAGATTTCAGTGTCTTTTCTAAAGCACACTATGAGAGATAACGAGTCCCCTCTGCTGCATAATATCTTTGGATATTCACTCAGAGTCCACCCCCAAAGTTAACGATCTTTTAAAATCAGCATATAAACGTGTAGCAAATTTGTAACATCAATGCTTTTAGGTACTATCAGGTCAAAAATTGTCAGCTGTTTTCAGATTGATATTATTTGTGCATACATTTAAGTATTTTTTGCATTTCTTAGCGAGATCGATTATCTAAAGTCACCTCAGTTTCTGGTAGAGAGAAAAGTAAATTTTTTGAAGAAAAGGGAATGGCTGTACCAGTGAATGAACAAAAAGGTAAATAAAAGTTATTGCGAATTTTTGAAGTAGTTTAACTACCATCTTTTGCATATTAATAAAAGCGTCTTTAGATACAATGGAAGCAGCTAGATTGGGAAACAAAGGCATTCGTACCACAAAATGCATTCAGATATCATTTCAATGAGATCCTAATTGTGTTTTTGTGCCAAAATAGTTATTCGATATTTTTATGTATGCTTTTATTTCTTTTTTGTTATCATTAAAATATTTGTTATGACTAAGTATTTTGAAAGAAAAACATGAATGTAAGTTTCAACAAAAATACTACCTGTTTGATTGTAGATGCTATACTCAGAAGAAGAGATGATTTTGAAGAAAAACAGTACGAGCTGCTTGGCCAGATAAATAGTTTGCGAAGAAAACTTGCACAAAAAGATCAACGACCGCCATCTATCGACAGCTATTCATACAGATAACTTGCACGAATGATATGCATAAATATTAAGAGGTAAATAAACTGTTCTGGAATATGAAACCACGACTTCCAACCGATTTCATAATCCACAAATTTAACTTAGAAGTTTCTTTTGATACAGGAGTATTATGAGAATATATATTTAGTATCTTTTGTTTAGAATATATTAATACCTGACACTCACACAACATGAATTGCAGTTTTAACTACTATATTTGTTCACTTTAATTGATCCAGGGGCTTCTCTAGTGTAATAAAACTGCCTTCTAAAAGTACTATTGTTTTCTATTTTGTAAAATTTTTTAGTATTATCTTTTCTTGGAAACTGAACCAGTTTTCATGCTAAAATTCCATAAATTCATTAACCTTTTTGGTTTGCAGCTGGGTGTGCTAATGTTCTTAAAGACAAAAGCACGAGCAAACACACAAACATTGAAGAATGATGTAGAAAAGAAGAACCCCAAAATTTTATGGACTTTTTTCATCATATGGAGTTTTGCAGATGAGTAGAATTGAATGGTTTCTTTCCATCTGGATGCTTGAATATCTGTTAATATTGTAAATATTTTTCACACGCTGTGGTTTTTCTTAGAAATTTTACTTTCCTCAATAGAATTTCTCTATCTCTGTTTTAAGCTTGCACATATATTGAAACCGTCAGCTAGCCGTCTTCTACCTGGAGGTTTCTTGTGCAGGGCTTTGACTGAAGATAAGAGGCTTAGGCTTATGGGCAATGTTTTTCCCTGTAAATCGTAAATGTCCATTTTTGTGGTTTCCTTTGTTGTGTCCGTTATGGGAAGATGTTCATCGTGTTAGTTTGGGGTTGGAGGTATACGTTTATGAATTTTACGTCAGTTATTCTCTAGATCGATTTACATTTTCATAATATCAAACAATTTAGAGTTCGCGATTGTTTCGATAACCCAGCCTTCACGCAATGATTCAACCTTTATGCAGTCTGCTGCGATGATCTGTAATGAAATGGAATTTACGTTTAAGGTAGGAAAGTACTATTATGCCTTGAAATGCAATCTCATTCATTTATATATCATTAGTCACCTTAATAAAGGCAAGTAGAGGAGTCACAAAGCTATGTTACCTTTTTCATGGATGTCTAGAAACACCATTTTACCATTTCAAGCACTGAATGTTTTTAATTTCCCGCCTTTCCAAGTTCATAGTTAGTTAAATACTTTAACAGGAAATTGCTTCTGTGTTTAGACCCGTGGTTTTTACCATCCCGGTTTGATTTGCTTAGCTACAAGCAGGAATTCATTTTAAACAAAACATAGTGTCTTTCGAAGAGACTAGAGAATGACAGCGACTTTTCCACTCCACGATTTCACAAAATAACATTCATGCTAGTTTTCCAAGGTCTCCCAAAAGTTGATCTTTCGCTGTGATTCTGACAAATGTTTTGCATACAGTATACTTGTATACAGGCTCTTTAAGTATATGGAGCAAAACACAAAGTTCATTATTGACACATCAATAGGGTGCACAATAGACAAAGTTCCCTATATACAAGTGTCGTTCCACATAATAATCCTTCAAAAGTAAAATGGGCATTACCTCGGTGTTACCTTGGACATAAGTGCTGTTCTTGGTTGGTAAGTGAGCTTTTAAAGAAGCAGAATGATTGATCAGATTCGAAAGTTTAATGCCAAAAAAGGTGCAGCGTAATTTAATCTTTGGTTATCTATACTTATTGAAGTATTATTAAAAACATTGCTCAGCTTTGTCACGAAAGGTAATTATGCTGAGAAGCAACTCAGCACTCTACTGTGCAGTTTCCAGCTAAAGAACTGCACTTATTAACGTAGTGTCAGGTATTATTTACTGTGTCCTTTACTGAACGCCGATTGGTCAAAGTTAAAATCAGTAAGGCAAATCTTTCATATTTTCTATTATTAGTTTGCAGATGGATAAAACCCACTCGTACATGTGATCTTAATATGAGGTTTTATCCTTGACTTGTTAGGGGGTCTGTTTGCTATGATTTGAATGAAAAAACCTGACATGGTCTCATTTGAGCCTGTACTAACCCTTATTTGTCTTTGAGCCGGATCGAGCGTGGAGTTTATCTGCATCGGAGTACCCGAGTCTGCAAAAAAAGCAAGTGAAATTTAATCAAGTCAAAAGTATGAAGTGCACTTGATGGAACTTGATAGTGGCTCAGCATTGTGCTTTGAAAGTGTACACAGTTTTGTTAATCACCAAAGCAATTTTTTGACGATGTCGTAAAGTCTGGTACAAAAAGAAACCTAGTTTTGCTGGTGAATTTCTATATTTAAGAACCGAGACCAAATCATTGTGATTTGACAGAAGGAAGGAGCCCGTGCTCATGCAATTGTACCGCAGGCAGTCTGTAATAGTTTTAACTGATACATTTTGACACAATTTCATATTTAGCACAATTTCAAGTGGTTCTTTTAGAGGTATGGATCAGTGGTTCTTAAGATAAATTTTCATGATGTCATCACTCGACCACACTGATCAAGACAAAAAAGAAAAGTAATTCACTTATTTTGCTTTGCTTTGATGCAACTTTAAATGTATCAGATAACTGTGTTAAATATTTACTTAGCCGTTTTTAGTGTTTATTTAAAGAGTGTTAAAGCTAATGATTGAAAAAAGAAGCTCACCTGGTCTTGATGTGTATGGTGTTTTATTGGAGGGAGTTGCCATTGGAGTTGAGTTATTGTTTTGCCGTTGTTGTGACGAACTCATCAAGCTATTCAAATCTCGTGGGGAGTTGTATCTGTTTGGGGTAACTGACCTTGAAAGTGACATTGTTGGAGTACTTGATCTAAAAGAGAATAGGCAATTCATCTTCACGCTCCATAACTGTAATTAATTACTTAGTTTGGTCAATAAATGCTCTATGCAAGTGTGATGAGGGATAGATTCAAAAGACCCTTATGCATTTATGCATTTTCAGTGAAGACAAATGGAGCTTATATTTATGTGGTGTTTTAGACCTATTTCACACCCTCCCCTAACCTTTTTCCACTTTTATCAAAGTTCGCAATATCTTGCTATCATCCATAGCATGCACCGCAAAGTAGGGGGGATTGGGGGCTATAGGCCCTCCCCCCTCTTTCTTGCTGGAAATGTAAAGATTTAAGAAATGTACCGTCTGAAAAGCTCGTTCTATTCAGTTTCAGCCCCCTTCTCCCCCTTTTTTTGACGCTCTGCGGTATCTGGGAACAGACTTGGGTTAAAACTTAGTGTGCAATAAGTCGATACGTCCCAAAAGATGTTTAAGAAGCAGCTGCATGTAAATTTAATTTACTTGTGTGCAAGGGTCTTAATGGAGAATTTCTATAAAATTTCCGTTTTGGCTCATCCACTTACCTAGACCTCATTTGGGACCCAGCTGGAGAACTTTGCGTCATTGGTCTATGCATGCCTTGCTCGTTGTGTTGCCTGTTGACATGGAAAAGATTAAGGATATTTTTAAAACTTCTTTAAACAACCTGTTTTCCAAACAAGCGATATTATTTTTCAGCTGAAAACGAACTTTTAAATGTTTTCATAGAATCTAAAACGAAGATATGTTGAATATTTGAATTCATTTGTGAAGATGAGAGGCAGTGTTAAATCGAACCTTGGTTGTGATCTTGGATATCCTCCAGTATTTGTCAGTTTGTACATCTTGCATGGCGATGGGGTGCCTTTATGAAAAAGGTTGTTTTCAAGTTGAAGGGAAGATTTATGACGATACGATATTTGTTACGGGGGTAGCATCTGGACGATGATAGAAAGCTGGTATCGCCGTCTTCTTAATTTTGCTAATTCTTCTCCCTTTTGCTTTTTTTTGGATTTATCAAAAATTTTCATTAAATATAGGACATGAAGAAATTTGCCATTAATGAGCGCTATTCTCATAATACCAGATTTCTTGACTTGTTTTTGGCTTGATGCTAAGTTAAAACGCTTAGAAACTATATTACGTTTAATTTTCACAGCTTCTGTCGGATGTTATAGAAAGCTTCAGCAGTATAAGTAGCAGTTAGTTTAAAAGTTTGATTAAGAAAGCATATTTCTCATTTTAAAAAGAAAAGCTCATTTACTGATAACACCCCCAACGGGTGGTGTCCGAATCGATATTCTGTCTGAAGGTGTCCTTGCTTTCTAGAATTACAAAGAGACACGCTGTTATTCTCGTAATTAAATCCCGTATTATTTTGAATTTGACAGTGCAGAAATTTCCAGCCAGTTGCAAAAGATAAGATGCTTTTTAGATCTTGATATATTTTGATTTAGATATATCTAAAAGATTTTGTATCTAAATTTTGATGAATATTAGAGTGTTTCAAAAAAATTCGAACCCCATGCAAAATGTTCTCCTTAGAGCTATTTTACTTCGCGTTTTTACTTTTATTTATGGCAAATCTAACAAAATTTCCAAGGCGTAATAAAATGTTAAGAAAACATTACTTACACTTTGTGACAAAATTGCTCCAGTATTGTTCCTGTGAAAATAACAGTTAACATTCTTCATTTGTAATTACTGCTGGTGCAACGATGACCGAATCAAAAGAAAGCAAATATGCAAATATAAACATTAATGTTTTGCAGTATTCGCTACCTGTTTTCGAGTTTCATCGGCTCAAAATGGATTATAGAAGGTTGGATTTTAATTGGGGCGACCTTTTCTGAATTTTTTTAAAGGATCATTCTTTAAATTTTCATTTTTAGACAATGCTGTTAAAGAGAGAAATATTCTCAACACTGGAGCATCTAGTCAGCTTTTCACAAAATTAAGGAATGATGTCAATGAACGCGAACTTCACTAAGGCACTAAGGCAGGGGCTCTACTGCAATGGAAACAGATGAAAATGATGTCAATGCAACCATCTAATTGCTACAAGGTGGGGGGGGCGGGGGATAGGGTTGTATTACTGTGCTAAATGCCTTCATCCCAATTCTATGATGATAGAATGTTTTTATTTATAATTAGAGTATTTTTTTGAAGCAAGAGCATTGCATCAATGCAAACATACCCTACTGGTTGACTATGTTGCATTGCTGAAGGTGTTGTGCCAGCAAAACGTTGATCTTGGCTCATAGGTATGCCTGAAATGGTATTATCATTTTAAAATGTCATTTCATGAGAATTTTTCCACTTGGAATGGATAGAGATACTTGCATTTTTCACTATCAATTTCAAAACACCCCCTTTGCCAAGAACCCTTTGAAATTATGCTTCAAAATCATCGACTTCCAGCAGGTAAGAAGTTTAGAAATGTGTCAATATTATCATACCTGTTGGTTTACGAAGAGGACTTTTCATTACTTGTGAATGTGGTGTCGAGCTGCGGCTGAAGGAACAATGTACAGATAATTAATGAGAGATATTCCATGCAAGATAAATATAGTTTCCTTGCTACAAAAAATAAACTTGAAAGATAATGAATAATTGGAAGTATTGAAGCTAAGAAGGAAGAGCTTTCAGTTAAGGAACTAACAAGATGCTAGCGACATTTGAAGGACTTAAAGGGAACGTCGAACATTTGCAGTGACAATTATGATAAACAATTATACCTTTGCATTATGACGTCGGTCTGTTGTGATCTCTAGAATAAGATATTTTCAAACATTGCTCAATCAAAGACAGTTGATGAAGGCAAGACGATTTAGTTGCAACTAAGAATGAATTTCAATTTTTTTCCTGAATAATTCCTTTAATTTCGACTAACTTTAAAAAAGAATCCTATGTTTCCAACTATGATTTCCCAGTTTTATGTTACTTGGCTGGAATTATCAAAAAGACGAATAAAGAGCAGGTGATGACAGAAATCACGTTAAATCATCATCTTGATAATCTTACTTCAAAGTTTATTTTTTAACCTAAGAAGTGACTATGCTTTTCAATATTTCTTACTATCGCCCCTAGTGCCTGCTTTAACCGATTATTCTCCTCTCTCAGCTTTTGGTATTCCCTTTGCAGTTCCCTGCAAAAAAGAGATGCTGTTTGAACATCAGGATGACAGCTCTTGCTTAAGTTTGAACAAAGTAATTAACTCTAGAGCGACTGAAATGCGAAGGACTGATGGTCAGACACTATATAAGGTAAGAACAAGTATTAGGTAGCCTTGCTTAAAATTACTATCAAATTTTAACATACTATCAAAATAAAAAAGCTGAAATTTCACAGAGAAACTACCCATTGTAATGGATTTGTATTTGTTGCTACCTAGCTTATAAAGGTAGGTTTAGGACAGTGAGAGGCTGTGCCTATCAAGCAGTGCTTTACCCTTCCTCTCGGTGTGACTACACCACATGATTCCTATGCCTAGAATTGCAGAGAGCTAATGATTCTCCTCTCTACGTCTTGTTATTTTTATATGATCATGTTTGCTTTTTACGTTGTTTCAAAAGTTAATTTATTTACAATTTCTTGACATAGTAAAACAATTTTTATTACTAATATGGACATTTTACCGAAATCCTTGTGCCGTGATGTCACTTTCACGGCTCTGTTTATCTGAGGCGCCCTAAAAATAATAGAATTTGTCATCCGTAAATAATATTGAAGATAAAAAGCTGGCAAAATCAATTATACATCTTCAGATCTTATTTGGATATATTTGTGATCCTTTACTAGGTTTCAATTTTTAACATACTTTCGGTAGCTTGTGCAGAAAATAAATCTAAAAAGTGAGAAGAAATAACTGTTGTGTATTTACCAGGCTCATTTTGTGCTTTATGAGTCTTTGTCTGTGGCCATCTTGAAAATCCAAAACCTTGAGCAAAAATTTTCATTTCTGAATAAGATTTTCTCACCTTTTTCGAAATTTCATCTTAATTCTAGAAGCCAGAATATTTCTTGTACCAAACGATATTTTTGATATTTTTAACAACGAGAATCTTCATAAGCTGATAATTCAAATACAATGAATAGGTCTCCTTGTTGCACCATCCAATGCTAACTTGAGATAACAAGGTCTTATCAGTGGCCATTAGTATTTCAAGTTATGTTTTCTTTTTTGTGTTAAAACTAGTTTTTCATGGACATGCAATAAAGTACAAAGGGACGAATATTGATGATAATAATTAATGACGATTGTTATAAATGACAATTGCATTTATACATGATATTTGCGAGGTTCCTCAATATGTAAAGCGTTTTTTTCAAATTATTTTTGGCTGCCAGTTAATTAGGGCCAAGGTAATTCTGTTACCTGCATAAACTGTTTGAGCATATCTTTTGGAGAAGCAAAGAATTTCTCGACCTCTGGTTTCATCTGTAAAAAATGTTTAGCTTCAATCATTCTGACATTGACTGAGGCGTACAGTATTTAGCAGGAAAGAAAAACTATCAACCTTGAATAGAAACGTTTTTTTGGGTTCATTGGCTGTGAGGAGTTACAAAATATCACTTAGTCACTATTTTCAATAAATATTTTGATTTATAGAGCTAGAAAACTAGCCAGTTTGCTATTATCTGGCTAAGCGTTTTTGTAATTACATAACTTTTCTACATGGGTAAAAGATCAAAACATGCATATTTGGGGAGGGCAAACTGATTTGGCGTAGCTACCGGAAAGATAACTTGTTTGGAAATTATTTTTTAAAAACTAAATGAATGCTGACCTTGTTATGATAGTTACAAAATAGGGGCTTTGATCTTAACTGCGTATTTCTCAATTGTAATAGATGATCGTTTCAGCCCATAAATAGATATCAATATGACATATGAATTTGTTATGTTTAGCTATCAACTTTTCTTTTTTATCTAACCTCTACCAAAGATCTTAGGGAGTGTGCTTGAAGAAATTTTAGACGAGGGTACCAAGCTTATATTTTGGGTCATTTCGGTTTGGGTTGATAAAAACTTTTCTTCGTTGAAGATTTTCTGTTTATTGGTCCAGACTTTAGAAACAATTTTTTGTGTCTAATAGAATAGTGTTAAACGTTTTTATTTGGACCCAACTTTTTCACGATTGCGTCAAAAACATATTAAAACTAACAGAAATGTACAATAAAACTTGTCACAATTAGATTTTCTGTGATACGTTTGGTAAGCTATTTAATATTTTTTCTGAAAAACGTTTGGCCAGCAATGGTTTCCACTCTGACTGTTTGTCAGGACTGGCTGGAGAATGCGTGGGGATATCCGTAAAAAACTCCACGCAAAGGCAAACATCTTGCACGAGAGAAAAGCAACAAGGGAAGGCCTTGTTATTTCTACTGATTTATTTTACACTTTTAGGCCAAGCCCCGTGTCATATTCATACAAGGGTACGCTTCCTGGGTCAAAACTAATTTCTCGTCATCTAATTATGTTGTTCTTATTTCAGTAAGATCTATGTTTTGTATTGGTATTAATTTAGAAAATAGATTCTAGCCTCACATATCTTCTGCTGGGCATAGTTAAATAAAACGACAATAGATTCCAACACTACCTTGTTTGTCAGTAATATCGAAGAGCATTTTTGCTTGCAGACTTGACAGTAACCAGGAGCTAAAAAATCAAGATACGCTATATAAATCAAGATGCTTCATATTTTTGGTGTCTATGAGTTATAATATTTTTTATATCATGCAGAATAAATTTTTGATCTTTCTAGATCTAGAGACCAATTATGTTAAAATCGAGATTTTAATTCTGCCTGCTAGTAAGAAAACTGTAATTGCCTGATATCAAACATCTAGTTGAACGAATCCTTTGAATGATGTTACAAAACCTGATTTGATTGTTATTCATAATCAAGCATTTAAACCACATAAATAATAATATAAGCATTTAATGCTGTTATGTTTGTAATATCGGTGATAAATAATTCAATTATGCCTATGATGAGAACTTCCTTAGAAAATAAACTCCACTTAACAAAAAGGACACTTGTTTCCGTTGACAGGGAGGATACTGTTTTCTCAAGATATTGTATATGTAATTTAGGATTAAATCTTCTGGCAACTGAAGTAATGTGATAGTATCAAAAAGGAAGATGAACAAAATTGCAGATAATTTCTCACCTTTCTTAATACAGATTTCACAAAATATGTGACCACAATTTGTCAGCTGAAATTGCGCCTTTATTTCAAACGGTTGTTTATAGCATGCATTGCAATGAACCCAATCTGCCATCTTCAGCAAAAAGACGATATTTGACTTAGAAATGGGATTTTTCTAATTTTCTTCCAAACATAAACAAGACAAATTTTGTGATTCAAGCTAGTAGAGTTGTTTGGTCTCTCTATAAATACAATTTCTATCTTGACAACAAAGGAGAACGCCTATGAAAGCTCAACTGTATCTGAATGCAATTTCAATTAAAGTTGATACACACCACCATATGCAAAAATATGTATCCGTCTCCTTGCAAATAAGTTTATCAAACAATCCTCTCTATTATCACTCGGTGCGACATTGCCAGATCCCTATTGCCACTCGGTGCAATAAATAGTAAGAATATTTTTAAATTTGTCGAGAAGATAATGATAGGTGAAGTGAATTTTAAAGTTTGCAAATCAAAATTCTGATGTTTCTCTGTTGAATTATTTGAATGTCGTCAGCAAGAGCCATGGCGCGAACAGCCAGATGGAAACGAGGTTGTGCTTAGGGGCTGAATAAAAAATCTGATAATCCATAAAATTCTTTGCGCTGCTTGAAACTAACACCTCTGACCGCCAACTTTGTTGCTAAATGGAAGACCAGTCAATCTTTGAATTATTGGATCCAGGAATGATTTTCAAAATGAAACCTAGAATGGATTTTGGGTGTGGAATACCATGCTCGCATAGAGATCGTCATAATGGTTTATACTATATTTGAGCCCAATCATCAATTAAGTGGTAGAGATTCATTCCTAGTGGAACACGTATTTGAGCTTGCTTATAACTTTTTATTTCATTACAATATTAAGATGATTTAATGCAATTTGATTAGAGTAATTTTCTTAAGGGGTACTTGTCCTTTGGCTCAATCACTTGAGCTGTTCTGGTTTGCTAAACGGAGGGTTAAATAGGGGTCAATAATAGGTTTGCGGCTTCACGGCCTCACGATTTTATTTCTACGTGCAGCCTACAGACTTAGCAATGGGTTTTCTGTGGATTGCGGTTAACATAAAATGCGCCTTGCGTCTTTTGATGTAAATTGGCAACGGTATACGGCCTTCAGGATCTGGACGTACTTCCAAAAAATTATATAATGAAGGTTTGGGCCAACACAACAGCCTGTTCTGTGAATCAGAGTGAGCTCCATAAGAACTTGTCATGCAGCTACTTCTAGCAATGTTTCCCTTTTACATACGATTATTACACTTTTTGTGTCACGGCATGTTTTGTTATCGCGGTAGCTTCTTTGCGCTTCATTTCATTGCGGATGGTGGCATTTGGCTGCCTTTTTGCACTGTTTTACGCCTTTTGAACCCCCCTTTAAAAGGCCCCCTTTAGAGCGTAGCTTCTTAACCATTAAATTCCCTCGAGGAACTATGGTTTTTAGGACACAAGTCTGGATCTCTGTCTCACTTAGCTTTTAGAGCCGCATTACAAGCATAAAGCTCGTTTCTCCCCCAATCCTTCCACCCTCGTTCGGTTACTCTATATGAATATGTTTGCATTTTTTGTACAACCCTGGCGTTTTGAATTTTTTCAGAATCCGCAATGTTTCTACCTCTGGGTATCTGAGATCTTTTTGAGGTTTTAATAAATGCTTAATAATCACAACTAAAATGTGCTCTTTACTTTATCTTCATATATTTACTGATAAATTACCCTTTCCAACAAGTGACCGTTTCTTTGAATAGGCATTTTAAACATTATAAGAGGGACTTCGCACCATTTTAAAAGTTGAGGGGCTGAAATGGGTGTGCCCGAAAACTTTTTGAAGCCACACTCTCTAGAACGCCGGAGAACGCCCCTTTTCGAAAATACTTGCTAATTTCTACTTAATTTTATAAACAGTCTGGTGTAGAGAAGATATCAATAACTATAAAAATAGACGAAATTAGCTTGAGGGTAACAAAACACCAAGCTGACCAAGTTAGAAAATCGTTAAACAACGCGCCCTGGCTGCGCGTTGCCTGCATTATAAATGGGGGCGTTATGTAATTTACAACGCGTTCTGTACCAGGTACATTGCGTCACCTACCAACCCGGCTGTAGGTGTTAACAGTCACTCTGGATGTCTCGCAACCGATGGACGCGATCATCACCGTCGGGGACCAGTTGTTAGCCCCAGCGTTCCCACTTGTACTCATTTACCGACTTCGGAAGAATGGAGAGTTGCTCTGCGGCGCAATGGGCTTGTTGTTGTTGCTGCTAACGAAGTAGTAATTTCTTGGTAAAACATGGTTGACAAACTTTGAAATTCGATTTGGCGTCCAAATGTTTACCTTGAAAGATGGACACATCGGTTACGGCAGGTTAGGAATGCTAACTTTATTTCATGCAACGTATCACGAAGATTTCTATGAGATGCAGGCTTTCTGCCAAGTCAGAACACTAGCTTTCGCGCCAGATCGATCAATTTTCTAAGAAATACGAATTCTTGATTTAGCAACGCACTTGATCGTCAACTGGCCTATATAGATAAAATTTCATAATATTTTTTGTAATATGTAATTGATTTTCTAGTAACTATATGTATTTTTACACAATTAATCGCAAAAATCGTAATCAATCAACCTTAGCATTCGTAACTACAACTAGGCCACCTTGAACTTGATCCTTTAATAACGTTATGTTATGACGTCAGAAGAGACCCCAACTTTAAAATATGCTCGTCCACTGAATCTTCTAATATAATGAAACTTTATAATTGTTGCCTTAAAGTTTTTTCAGTCAAAATTTCTTTAAAAGGTTTTATGAAATCTTTAGTTTTTAAGCTTCAAATGTCCAACATTAAGTAATGATGCAATGAGATTAATTGCTACAGGATACTAAAATATACTTTTATAAATCTTGGAACTTCATGGAATTTATTGAGTCTGCAGAGAATGCTAGCTCTTGAAGATATCTCACACATGCTCAGTCGTTTCAGGCATGTTTTTACATACACAAACCTTCTTTAACCAATTTATTGAGCATAAACAGAAGTTATTCAACAGTATAGCCATTGTTTGGTGTGCAGTTTCGACTGTTGGCAAGTAACACTGTTCTTGTTTTGTGTATAAGCCTGTCATACTCTTCAGACTTGGTATTTATTGTTAATAGCATTTCTAGTTCATTTTAGTTTAGTTCAAAACGTTTTAATTTTTTCTAAACGATTAAGGTATCTTAAGGTAATTTTTTCTAAAACAGAAATGCTGCAAATAAGTGCTAACATTAATGCAAATCACTACAAATGCAAGGTGATTGGAAGTCACCTTTGTTTTTATCTCTTCTTTCCATGCTGTTGACTTGTTTCTCTTATTTTAATAAGGTTGCTTGCAAAGATGTGATCCTTTATGGGAGCTTAGTTCTAGTAGTATGTTTAAGAAGTCTGAAAACCATTGTTTGAAGCAATTTTTTCTGATATTGCACTGATAAGTTTATCAAAGGACTTCTACCCAAACCTTATAATGATAGTTTGTTTTGGGAATCAGTGATGCTATTTGTCACGAGTCTTACATTATATTTTGGGATCCTAGCAGGTCTTGGAGTCTAACAGCTATATTTTTGCTGCACAAACAGTATAGGGTGTTCTTTTCTATTTTTTTTTCCAGAGGGAATAAAATATTTGCCTAAAGTTTCAGGGTTTTTATAGCATTTTCAATGTTGCTTTCCATTTAAATAATTGACAGAAAATATAAGAAAACTTTTTGATTTTTTCCACAGTCAACAATGCTATACTGGAGGCACTGCAAAAAGCAGGTGAAGTTGGGCTTCACGTTGATGACCTTGTAAAATTGCTTGGCTTCAATGAGAAGAAGCAGATCTTGCCAAGGCTCTATAATCTGCATGGCAGAAAGCTAATTGAAAAGCTCAGTGGGCAAACATGGAGAGTGAAAGTTGAAAAGAAAATGGATGAAGGTACAAATTACAAATTTGACAATAAATTGTAAATAATACTCTTTTAGACCTACCAAGTCCATCTGTTTCCTTAAATCAGTATATATTTGTAAATAATTTCTCCAAAATAAAAGCAAATTTAGCTAGATGTATTAATTGATGCAACTTGTTGCTTGCCATGGTCACAGCACAAGACAGGAATCTTATGCAAACCTGAAACAGAAACCTGAGGAAATATCCATCATGAAAACAAGCTTTAACTGGGGTTTAAATTTCCTGTAATGCAGATCAAACCAAATATAACAAACGCTTGTTTTGCTTTTGACAATACAGAGTTTTGTAACTGATTGGCACAGGTGTATCTCCACCCCCGGTTGTCCTTTGAAATCATACCTGATCATGGGTGTTTTTAGTAGCTGGTATTGAGAGAACTTTTTGTTGATTTAATTACTCTGTTGTGGAATTACTCTGGTGCTTAAGTTTTGATGTAGATTTATGGTTTTCCTTAGGCCAGGAAGATACTGATGATCCTATGACGTCAAAAACAGGTATGTATTGGTCGGTTTTTCCCTTTGTTGTCTATCTTTGTTGAGAAGTGAAAGGATTGCATCACTCTTTTTTAAACACTTTGAAGATGTATAAAATGTGAACAGAACTGAATGCTCTGTTCTTACTGTCTTCTTGACAGCATGATACCAGTGTATTGAGGAATTAGATGACTGATTGTTAGATATCCCCATCACCATTCAAGAAATGAGCATATTTTTTACTTGCTATATCAGCATACCAGTCCTGCTTTGCAAACATTAATTTACAGTCAAGTCAGTCCTTCAAGCGGTGTGAGGAAATGGTTTAACTTGGTGAAAGTCCAAATTACCCAGGGTATGACTTTTGACTTGAGTAAGGTAGGAAATTTCAGTAGGAATTAAAAATCAAATTGACTTAGTGAAAGTCCAAGTTATCCGGGGTACTACTTTATGAGCTTCAATTGTATTTGCATTAACATATAATGGTGACAATTAATTCAAGTCACGTGCCATTGATTTTTTCACATGGAACATCCCTCTTTATATTTTTTAACTGACTGTCATCTTTTATCAACATATGATGCATTGAAAGCACTGTTAGGTTATAGACAAGGACCAACCAAGCATACCCAGCCCTTTCACATTCAAAGTTTCACATGTGACATAAGTTTCATGCCCAATTGAAATTTATATAACAGGGCAATTTTTGACAAAACAGAAAATTATTCGAAGAAAATTATTAAGCAACTTTATGTATTTCAAACAGAAGTAATAACACAACAATAAGAACATAATGGAATTGTCTCGGTAAATACTTGCTTATACAATGAATTTTATAATCATCTAATAGTATCACTGTCGCTACTGTCGATACCACTTTTTTTGCTACTTTCCTTTCGCTCTCTTTTGTTTACTGCTGGGCACTGGCCTACTTTTTCTTGCTTTTTCAACTTTTTTCCTTCTTCTTCCTGATTGTAAACAGATTTCAAGAGCTAGCTCTATGATTTAGTTTCTTTCTTCTCAACTCCACAGAGATGAATTTGCAAAAGCCATTAAATTTTCATTTAGTGTATCATGCTTCATTGTTGAAGAGAATATTAGTGACGCCGCTGAATGTTCTTTCAAGTTTAGAGTTTGATCTAGAAATTGATGTTATGGTCCAAAACTGCGGATCAAACCACCACATCCTTGCATATACTTCACTGTTATAATCTTCAAACCTTGCTTTAATCAGATTCATTACAGCACTAACAGTTTGTCTACATTCTTTCTCTTGTCTCGAGACGTTAAAAATTCCTCTAAACGAGAAATGTAGCTGTTCAAAAATTCGTTGCTTGTTACATGGCTGTTACTATGCCGACAAACTTTGCTGCAATTCTAAAATGGTTCTCAAAGCAGAAAGAGGAATTTCAAACGGAAAGATAAAAGACAAACAACTGGAAATTTTGACCATTTTTTGCAATTTTATTCAACTTTTCTATAAGAATCTACCACAAAACACGCTCTTGAGTGGTATTCCTTCCTTCCAATCTATTCAGTTCCGATCTCGGGATTTTATTGAGAAAATCACGACAGTAATTAAAAAGTGTGTCTGTTGATGCGAATTATTCTTTATGTTAAAGATGAAAAAGAAAAATCTTCACGCGCTGTCTTGACTTGCGCGTGCACTGCAAACTACTTCCATCACGATGTCTAGGCGCGTGCCTGCTCGCTCAAGCACTATCGGGCGCATCCCACTGAAAGGCCTACATTCCGTTCTTACTTTCTTACTTCTTTCAATGCACATCTAAATATACACTTCTGCTGACCCTTTTTTCATTAGCCCATGCTTTACACTGAAGATGAAATATGCTCCAGTATTCTATGGTTCCGTTTTTCTGTATTAGTCTTTTACAAGTGTTGTTACCTTCAATTTTTGCCATCATTTCTTGCAGAGTTTCAAAATGAACAAAAGCCTCAAACTGCCCAATTTGCCTCATACGAAGGAAACAGCAAAACTATTTCGTATAAAAATATCCTGCAAGAGTACTGCCAAAAGCAGTATGTTCCGGTTCCTTCTTACCGATCAGAGAAGACGGATTTTGGCTTCCTAGGAATTGTGTCATTTGGAGCAGAACAAATTAAGTCACGTGTTGCCATGCCTTCCATGAAAGAAACTGAGCAAATGGTTGCCTTTGAGGCATTAAAAATCATCAAAGTATTACCAGATGATGCTAAATACAATGTACCAGCTCCATTTAATTTACCATGTAAGTGATACCGTTATTAATTTAAAGTTTACACTGATAACCTCAGCTTGTGTATTAGGTTTTAACCTGCATAGAGTTGATTAAGATCTTATTTGTTAAGCAACTTTTTTATCTCAGAAGAAAATCCTGCAATTTTGACCGTTTTGAAAAAGCTTTCTTTTTTTTCTTTTTTCTCCTAAACGACTTAAACAGATTTTTCAATTTTCTTGACATTTAATTCCCACTACTATTTTTTGAAGTAGCAAAGTAGTTTTCACGACTTCTGGGAAATTTTCCTTTAACTTTTTTTATTGAAATAGGTTACAAATTTGTTGAAATATAGCCAATCTTACGTTTGCAAGCGGATAACTGCTAGATCATATTCCAACAATGTAACCAGGAAATGTGCATAAGATTTTTTGGGTATATCTCAACAAGCTTTGCTGAGATTTGGCGCCTAGGGCCATTTCACAATACACTTCAGATAGGATGGTCATAAATCAGACGATTTTAAAAATAGATTTTTTCATGTCATCATGACTTTACAACTCTGTAAGAGTGGTTTGGTGTTCGAGCTTTCTATTAAAAAGTTCTGAAACATAATTGTGGTAGACGTGCCTAGTCATTACTCTCAAATAGATAACGAGATCTTGTCGTTTTGTCTTGTCCTATGTATGGCTAGCGACTCTAAACGGAAATTTAATGTAAAATTTAAAGGCTTTATTGAAACATCAAAAGGGTAAATGCTTAGTTGAGCCCATTGCAGTAAAATATGGAAAGCTATTTCTTGGCTTTAACTGCACAGTGTTTGTAAATATCTAGAATTTTGGATATGGCTTTGAAATAATCAAAATTTTTTAGATTTTTGCACTTTTCAAAGCCATTTTCAAATTTCAATCGTTCCAACTTCATTCGTACGTTTGAATGTCTGAATTAACTTACTTTATTTTTTCATATGCATATCACTGGTGCTATATATAATTTTAGCCAGAAAACGGAAGCCGGTGCAGACCTTTCCCTCTGCATCTCCAGCCAGCAAAATTCAAAATATGCAACAACAGCATTGTCTGTCTTGGAAAAATTTACTTCAGGAGACTGCACAAAAGAAAAATTTAAAAATGCCTGAGTATCATGTCAGCATTAATGGGAAAAATTTTGTAGCTACAGTGGAGTTCCAGGGTAGAACATTCACATCGATTAGCTCATTTGATAAGAAAAAATCGGCTGAACAGAATGCTGCACTCGTAGCTTTGCATGCTCTTGGTGTTGTCCAGACACCTCCTACTTCCATGATGGGAGATGGTACAAATTCAAGTGCAGAGACACCCAATGGCACAAAGATGCAAGGCAATAATATGCCAAGTACTCCGCTGTGGATGCCTTCTGGTAAGAGATTCGTATTCAGATTTGGAGTTGGTGGTGTATTTTTTATCCCCTCATTGTTATAAATTACGAGAGTCCATAAAAATGAAGTAGAGGAAAGGTTGAAATTCAAGGTTTGTTTTCTCATATATTTTTGTGAACAGTTTTTTGGCGGTACAGAACTTGAAAATGGCTTTGAAAAAGCAAGCATTTTACAACATGTGATAGCAGGAAGAATCGCAGGATACGCTGTCCGCCGGATTCTGTGAATCTTGCGATGAGTTTAAATACAAAGATAAAATTCAGGAACAAAGCAAAACTGCGACGAGAATCCAATGAGAGAAATTTTCAAAATAAATTAAATATAATGAATACTAATATTTCGCCCCAGCATACAGGGCTTCATAAGAATGAATGAAAGATAGATGTCCCAGTTGCGTATAGATGTCCCAGTTGCGGATCGAAATAAGCCAATCAGAAAAATGCAAGCACAAGACCGGTATAGTTGACCAATCAGTGCCGCGTGCCTAAAAAAAAATTACCACCGGAGTCCAATAGAGAAAACAAACTCCTTCTCTCTACACAATGGCGGCTTTTTCGTTTGTATTGATTCGATTCCAAAACTGCTTGATGAAAAGACGACCGGGCTCTGCCAAACCGATAATAGCTCGCAATTATTTGTACACGTGATTTATGGGCTGTATCGAATTGTTACTCTTTCAATTCATTATGTTATCAATGTTGCAAAATATATGTATCCTAATGATCGTAATTTTTCCCAAGGGTCTACGCATGGCAGCCAGAAAAACCAGCCTAACGACAACTACAAGAACAGGTTGCAAGAATGGGTCCAAAAGAAGCGTGCTGCTTTGCCTGAGTACATAACCACTTACGAATCACTTTGTGGTAGCACAGGATTTGTTTGCAGAGTTTCTTTGGGCGGTAGAGTCTTCCAGGGCAATTTGAAACAGTGCAAGAAGGACGCCGAAAAGGATGCAGCGCGAGTTGCCATGATTTCTTTGGGCCTTATTCCAATCTAATTTGATTAAAGATAGCATCGTCAAGATCTGGCTCCCAAATATTTGTGGCGAAGACTGAATTCCTTGAGTGAATGCATTTTTGCCGCCCTTAACATCACAGTTCATGATATTGGGTTCGTTTGTTTATTTGAAGTGAAATATTATGCTATATGACTTCAAGATCTAGGATTACTCCATCGTGACGCCGTATAGATTCCTTTTTTTAAATTTCTGTTAGTTCCAATTTAGCCAAAAATCTTTAATCTTTATTAGTTAATGTCGTAGATATTTATCTCTACCACTTCAATATAATTTCTTAAGGTTCCCAGTTTCCAGTTATGATGATAATGTATCCATGTCGATGCTCTAAATTCCTGTTAGTTCCAATGTCAGCTAAAATTATCTTTAATCTTCATTGGTTTGCGTTCTCTTGATTTTTCTCTGCCCCTCCATTTGCCTTCATAATACTTTCTGAAGAAGAAGACACCATAATCAAAAGAAGAAACTCTAACTGACCTGTGGCTGTTTTGCTGCGTTGCTTGTCAGTTTTAGTAATATCCTCCAGCCCCGTTCTTTCTCCCTTATCCGTTAACAGAGAACCCTGTTTTGATGAATTAGGATCTGATGAATGTGAAATCTATTCTATTCTTTGCGGAGAGTACATGTCCTCATCCTTCATCTGCTCTCATTGGGAGCCTCGTGCAATCTTTAGACACAACAGACCGTTCCTCTTATGGACTTTTTATCCGAAATAATTATTCCAGCTTTTTAAAACTCTTGTTAGTACGATTGTTTATCGACTGTTTTTGATGTGCTTAGAGCGCCATTGTCTTTTAACATATTGCTCATCTCGAACTTGATTTCTTTCAAGCAACATAGCATAGCATTGTCCTTGTCACTTGTTACAAGGCATTACAATGTATTTGTTTCTATTCCATGTGCTTTTAGTTGTAGTTAGTTCTTGTATTTTTGTAAACAATTATTGTTTAAAACCTTGGAAGGATAGAAACCATCTATTTTTAGAGGAATCTCTATTATCACTAGCTTTTGGAAAAGTTTACCTATGTAAGATGTAGTGAAAGTATTAGTAAAAAATTATCAAACCGTACTATTTTCAATTTGTGTCAAACATTTCACGCCCTAACGGTATACAGTGGCTGGGTAAAGGTCCCCTGAAGTTTCCCAACAAGTATCCCAAGCTTAAAATATGTCCGTTTCTTTCATGAAACATTTTCATGAAAAAATATACTGAAACCAATTTTTTTTTAAAATCGGAAAGAAAAAACGTTTGCCTCTTGATTATGTTATCCAAGAAGAATGTATAAAAACTGTATAAATATTCAGGGAACTTTCCTTTTGAAGTGCCAAATAGTTTTGAGAATCTAAATCGTGGCGACGTTTTCGTTGTAATATTTCGTGTTCGTCTACACAGCCAAGTAGTGAATTTATTGCTTCTTGCGTTAGTTTTACAGGATAATTCTACTGCAATTGAAATTCGAGGTTTTTCGAGAAAACACCCAATACAGTCAAATGAAGAAGCTTTGGTATCATTATAATCAAATCTGTAAGAATTGAAAGAAAATATTGAAGAAGGTTGACTTTCAATAAAGGAGACTTTGCTAACCTACATATAGAATTGATCCTTTTGTTGTACTCTGTTGTGCTCCACCCTTATGAACTCCCCAGCGTTTCACTTGGAATGTCCGTTAACAAATCTGAATCGTCACGAGACTCACTTTCATAGAGTCATCTACATAAACTCCCATATGGATACTCATTGCACGTTCAGCTGTTGGAACATTTCCCTTAGGTGATGTTGCTTCCACATTTATCTAGAATTGGCGTCCTGTAAACTTCGCCTTGCATAAAAGATGGTGTGCGTAGATGTATTCGAATACAAGCGTTATGTTGCATTTTAAATAAATTTTACTTCTTTCGCTTTCGTTTCAATACATGAAACAATCAAACACAGAGACTTGTTTGCAGCCGTTACAACGCAACAGTTACTTGCGGAAAAGGTTTTCCTGTTATATAAAGTCCTTATCCGACTAGAATCAACGACAGACTCGAACAAACATGTAAGTCATTTGACATAGATTCTGTATATTGACATATAAGTTAACTGGCTTATCGTTGTTGGTTATGTATCTTATGATTGGGCGATTTCAGCTATGGAACTTATGTCTCGCAAATCTTGTTTCTACAAAGGCGTGGACTTTCGTTTGACGTCCAAATGTGGGTCTTTCCTACTTACTTTCCTTCATAATACCGACATGACGCTAAAACGTAAGAAGCATTTTTACTGCAAGCAAGCTTTGTTATCATTCTTAAAAGAAATTATCCGATATATTCCCAGGCTATGGATATTTTGAAATGAAACTATGAGATTCATCATGTTTTAGATGTGAGACAAATGATATGATGTTGCTTTTCCTTCGCGAACAACATTAGATAGCAATGCTGATGCAAATTTTACATAAAATTTGCATCTTGCCTGCCCTGAATGGTCCTCTGTGAGCCCCCTCCCTGAAATCGTAATTCACACAGGGATACCTAGCCGTAGCTTTTCTGAGGGCCTAAGTCGTAAACTGGGAAAGGGAGAGGTGTAGAATTTTAATAAACTGCTGATATGGAATCGGGGAGCAGATGGCATCTGATACTTTTGGATATTTCTGATAACAACTAGACTACTTGACATTAACAAAAAAATTGAAACTGTTTTCCACGTTTGAACCAACAAATTATTAGGTACATTAGTTGAAAATAAAAACAAAAAAAGAAAATTTTCAAATATGGAAGGTAAGTCTTCCCAAATTTTATTGCTATCACAGAAGCATGGGCCTTCATCAGACACCAAATGGCACCCATTCTTAACCTCCAAGACTTCCCCGCAATCTGCAGCTATATTTCATATTGAATGGTTCGACCTCCTGCCAGATATTTTCTGTCATTCTCCAGCTCTTGTATCCATTCAATACAACAAATTTATTGCTTTCAGCCGCTACTTTCAGTCACGTTGAAAGATAAAGGACTATGGAATGTTTCAGGGGAGATGTTAGAACAAAATAGTAATTTCAAATAATTCTTCATTTTAAAGCAAGACCGAAACTTTTCAGAAGGGAAACAATAATGTGTATATCGTTTAAAACAGAAAGGAAACTAACAAACACGCAGTTAATTTTTGTAAATTTTTCATTACTAAATTTGAATGAAAGCTACTTTTTAAAAATCTTACATATATATTAGCTTTCAAACCAATGCATTATAAATATTGGTGCAATGATTGTTAAATTTGTTTTATAGAATGTAACTGCTAGAACTTGAAAAATGTAACAAGATACTAAACGCTGTTTCTCCTGAAAAGACAGCCAGAAGTCTCAGTTTAAACTGACATCACTAATCTTCTTATTTTTGGCTTTTTTCTGTGTTAAGTATAAATAATCAATAACTAATTATCTTTCATTGGAGAATTTTAAAGATTCTGAAAAGGTCTCACAACGAAAATAACATTTCAAAGCAAAAAGATATTTACTTAAATTTATTTGTCGCTTAGTATATGCTAATTTTTTTGTTGTCACCTAGAAATTATTTTATTCCAATTCTTGTTATGCTATGGATTGTCAAGATATTAGTAAGAAAAATTTAAATCAACTGAATCAAATAAGGAAAATATTTAACATTCATATTTAAGTGTATAAATTTACTGTAACTTATAACATCTTGCTTTTTTGTTCATAGCCCAACGAATTTATTCGCCTAGCAAGTTAAAGAGGAGCCATTTTGAAATCCATTAAAACTACAAGTTGTGAATAAATTAAGTTTTAAAACAGGCTAATACTGTCAAGTACAGCCCGACCAGCGGCAACTCCACCATCAGCATGCTCAATGCTTTTAGTACGTACGAGATACCCAACTGACTCGTTAATCACTTCGTTACCATCATTGCTAAAATGAAAAGGGTCGTCTCGAAAAATAATTTTAACAATATTGAAAACATAAAAACAAATACATACAAATACATAAAAAATTCTATACCGTAAGAAGGCCTGGTATTTACTGACACAGACAAGGCAGAGAATATCTGAGAGAATTGTTGGTATAATGTATTTTTTGGTATAATGTTTTTTTCCACAATATTTTACTAATTCAGCCTTATTGAACATGATAAGGCAAATGAGGTCAAATTTGGTAACAATGATTAACATCAGCTTTTTTCTGTAATTTACCAATTTTTCAGACAAACAGCTCGTTTAAAAATGGCATGAAATGTATCAGTTTCACAGCACAGGTAACCACGCTTAGATTGGAGGCACGAAAGTTGAAAACTGCATATTTTGAAGTAAGATATGAACTGGAATTATTGGTGAGTTGATGGTCGTTCGGCTCAAAGGCATATTGCTTGGGATCACCTGATTCGAGTTATGCAAACTCACTTCTCATTTTTCTCACCATTTTCAATGTATCTTGGAAAGAATATGTTTTTTAGCTATTTTTACTAAGTTTTAAATGTAAACAAAGATTCTGGGTAGGTGTTCTAGCTGTAAGGACAAATGTGCTCGGTTAATTAGCTAAAAATCAAAGTCAGTCAAAATTTTTCGTACTATTCAATTCGTTCACACATTTTATTCATGGCCTTTCGCAAGATAACAAAGCTCTTTCTAAATTCATCCAACAAACACTTCTGGTAACAGCAAAATCAGCCAAAGTTGTTTCAACTCCATTTTTGCATGACAAATCCCGAATTCCTTCCGCGTTCGTGTAATTTTTATAACTTCGAAACTTGTACATTAGCTTCTTTTGTTTTTGCTGAGATCAACCATTAGTAAGATGACCTTTCGAGAAAAAAATGAACAACGATAGCCCTCTGATATTGATACATACCTTCTTACAACAACAGACAAAAACTGTTGCAAAAGGGCCCATATATATATATAGGGAAGCAAGTCCGTAGCAAACGCACCTTATCAGAATTCCAAATACACCAATTTCATTCACAACATCTAGCAACTTTGGTCTGTCAAATTCAATGTGTACAATGAAATTCTTGTAAACGGGTGGGTTAACCTTGTCCATAAGAATGTACTGACTTCTCTCAACTGGATCTTTAATGGCCTTCAGAACAGATACAAGTTCTTCTCCATAATAGTTATTACCTGAAATGCAACAAAACAATTTTATCAATTATTACCGGGCTACAGTGGCGGTGCCAAGGGGAGTATGGAGAGGGTAATTACCGACCCCCCCCCCCACTTTAGTCAAAACAAGGTTAACATACTCCTTCTAGAAATCGATTAAAAAGTGCTAGTTAGGGGAACATCATATTTTCTAGGGAAAATTAACCTAGTACAAAGCACCTAAACAAGGCAAAGGAGCATGTTCTCACTGGTCACGCCCATTACCCTCCAATTCTGCAGTAGCTGGTACCGCCACTGCTGGGCTACTGTTTCACCAGTGAAATATAAACATGAAACTGTTGGTACTTGAATTGTAATACAAAAATGAGTTTCAGTTAATTAACACTCTCACAATATTTTTGTTGCTGGACTTATTTCCATTTGCAGAGAAAACTATCACAGAGCTTACATCAAGATTATGTTAAAAACATATTTTGCTTTATTATATCAACACCGACACAAATTCGTTTCCATCTAAAGGCACATATAGAAATTAATGAGGTTTGGTACAAAGCCATACCTCCTCCCTCTCTTTGCGGTTTCAAAACAAAGTTTTCTGGATTGGCTAGGGCCATTTTAGCTGCTTGATCACCCTCCTGTCCCTAGAAAAAACACATGTATCTGAAAATTAAACTTGCCAGCAGATCTGAATTGATCATAAATTTGCAGGTCCTTTTTATCTCACGAAGGAAACTATTCCTGTAAAAGTAAATTATATCCGGCTTTATTGAAGACATGATATTAGTTTGAGTAGCAAATTGACTCCTGATTGCAAACCATGCAATTGTGTGATTGATTGCATGATCGCAAAAAGATGTGATCAAGCTAAGGCAATATTCATACCTCATCTAGAGAGTAAAGCCCAGCAAATGTTCTTCGGATCTTTTTGACCGCCTCAGGATCTTTAATGAATCTGAAATATGTAATCAATAAGATAAGCGAAAGGAGATTAACAAGGATCTTGTTTCGAAGATCCTTATTTTATGATTTTATAAATAGGTACACCCCCATCCCTAACTCAATTTTGCCTAGTAACTGTTACGATTACTACTTGCAGGAAAAAATAACATTCTTGCATAACATAGAAAACAACTTGCCACATGGCAAGAAAAGAGTCACCTTTCAACGCTGCCTTTGGCACTTAAAACTTGCTGTATTTTCTTGCTTCCGACCAAGTGGGCTGCAATATTTGGTGATTTGATGGCCTTAGATCTCTCAATTAGAAGTCTTGCTTTCCAGCACTGTAAGTTTAAATAAACTGATGGCAATAAGAATATCAATTTGCAGAATGGGATATAAACCAAAAGGCTGACTCTAGAGATATTTAAAACAATAAAAGCTTCTTCCTTCGCGTAAAAGACTTCGTCACCATGGCAGATTTGGCTGATTTTACCTAACTATTCCAACTGGTGGTAAGGCACACAGCCCCAAGTTATGAAGTATGGCTGCCTGTTTCTACTGATAGCCTAAAGTCAGAAAATCTTGATGTTAAAACTAGCGGCTGTTAAAAATCACACTCACATTCTTGCATGCTACCATAGTACTCATTTTAACTACCTTCTTTATTATCTTTATTCATTTGTAGGCAAAATAAGGTAATCTGGATTTTTGATTTACAACTTAAATTTGTATTATTATCATACTTTTTCCGTTTGTGTTGTCATGATACTTTACGTAATAACTGAATGACCTTTACTTTGGGTCATTCAAAGTTGTGAGACTGTTTCAATGATAAATAAAGAAAAAACTTTTAAGAATACTTATAAATAAAGAAAAGTCTCTTTTCCCCTTACATTCTCTGTAATGTAATCATTTGGTGTATAACCAGCTCTAAAGTAGGCAACTGCCACTTCATGGTCACCTCTAAAATATAATTTTCCAATGATGAGTTCTAAAGTCAGTTATAAAATAATCATAAAACATTTAGGTTCACTAAAAGAGATAGATACGAATTACATCATTCATTCCACATTTAATCTCAGAGGCACAAAATATGACAACATAGGGGATAAAACTGCAGGAATTGAGGCCAGCTTTGAATACTTTTCTCCACGAGGTATTTAATTTTTTCCATACAAAATAGGAAGGCATATATAACAGGCCCTGAAATGAGCAAAAGTTCGGAGCTTGTTCAATCAAGCCCACTGGTTCAGTTAGGCGCTTGATCAAGCTTCTAGATTGTTTTTGTCTTTTGATCATATTTTCTTAAATGTGCCCAATCAACAGTCGTAATAAATTGTTCGCGAAATAAAATGAAAACGAACTGTTACGATGACCTTTAATGTACTCCAAGAAAGATTAAATACCCAATTTAAATCTGCTTCGTTTATAAACTTTATTTGTTCCGGAAACGAAACCTTCAGTCCTTGGTTTGAAGCAATACCGTCTTAAACCAATCAGTGTTGCAGGGTCATAGCACATGTGCATTAATAACAGTATTCGCACAACTTTTCTGTTTGGGATCACACAACTTCCCACCCGTGCTTCAAGTGATAATGCGCATGTGCAATGACCCTGAAACGGGGGCTAGTGCATGTCTGGAAGACGGGCATGATTCATCTCCCCAACAATTATGTAAATCACCAATGTCCCATAAACATTACGTTATTGCCGGATGATCGCAAAAAGTTATTCCAAACCTTTTTAAAACCACTTTAATTGTCCAGAGAAAGTGCTAACGTAGTTACAATACTAAGTGCCTATAGTATTCTTAAACATTCGCTGTGATTTTCTGTGTTTGATTTGATTTTCAAATGCATTTTTCCATTGAGATGTGGTTAATTCAGCTTACTTATATTTCCTGTGCTTTGATATACCGGCTTTTTATTGTCTATGTCACTTGCTTGGGTCACAATTTTCTCACAATTTACCGTTTTGCGCGAAAGATCTAAAACGCTCGGCTGGTTGGGTTTGCGCAAGTGCTAATGCGATCGCGAGTGATCGCTCGCTAGCACATGTGATCTGAAAAATACTTGGGATTTGCGAAAGCCATGGAAACTTTACACTTATGTTTTGTAATGAACAGCTAGGCGCTCGAGCAATGAAGCCCATAGATTTTCTGAGGCGAGTTTGGAGGCACTCGCGCTTGATTGAGCGCCTCTCATTTCAGGGCCTGATATATAAGCAGGAGTAAATTTTTAAGGAAAAGACACAGCAATTATTCTTACAAATTCTATGTAATTCAAATTTCCTAAAGCAAAGATTGAATTATTTAACTATAATTATTGAATTAATTACTTAACTAGGAGAGGCCTATTAAACAAACTACTAAAATAACGTAAATGGATTGGTCACTTACATTATCAACCTGTGGTCCTCAGTTAGTTTGCCCTCTTTGAAGATTTCACCCAATGACTTGAAAATGATTGGAACATATCTTTTTAGTTTGAACTCTTTAATTCTGTGTCAAGGTGGATTAAAATATGACAAATTATTAAGGCAAAGTTCAGTGTATCATTTGAGACATGCAATAAAGAATGAGGGGCATTAGACTTGAACATTAGATTTATAAATCTCTTTAAAAAGCTCCACTGAGATCTTGAAAATTACTAGATTCCAAATTTTCATTCAATACATTCTTGCTTCTTGAATTCAATAGCCTTTATTCCGAAAATCTTTGGTCGGCTCATAACAGAAAACAGATATATTTTATACAGTTCTTTCAAGCACTTCAGCATCAATCTTGTGAGTTTTGACTCACTCGCCTTTGTTTTTTATAGGGCATGATGAACGCAAAAAAGGTTTCTCTGTTTATTCTTATTTCAATCAAAACTGCTCTCTTTGGTTCCTACACCTAAAACAGATAAAGGTATCCTTCTAATGAATCCACAAACTGCCTATTACTCTTCTCGAATATTTAACCATCCTGCTTTTGCTATGCAAATGCAATATGGTTCTATGTGTAATAAAGTTGTTTATGAAAACTAATACCAGGCTTGCATCATTCAAAGAGAAAATCACAAACAAGAGAAAAAGCTTTCAGCTAAGACCATAACGGTATTAAATCATAGGAAATTTTACTAGAAGTGTATAATTAAAAGAATACTCTGTCCAGCTACAGTCATTTTTTCCGGCAAATTAAGTTAGATGATACCTATTAAACAAAGACGTATAACACTAAAATGACACAAGTAGATGAATAATAAATGAACCAGATAACAACCTTTCTTGAAAGCTATACTGTAGAAGCCTTTGATCGTATCTGTTCTTTTCACCAGCTTGTACAATAAAAAGAAGTGTAGCACTAGGAAAAAGTACAATATGCTCATAAGCTATGTATTATTGATAAAAGCTATACCAATTTTCTCATATTTCTAATACATTCATTTTTCAAATATATAGCCCCATAAGAATTTCTTCTTTGCTATTTCTTTCACTGTCTTTTCCTTCCAAATTTGTCATTCATTAATCTCACCTCTCTACCAGTGCTCATTGTCTGTGTTTAACCTGGACCAATAAACAAAACAATTCTGATGCTTTTACAGCTTTTTTCCCTTTTTTATCATTTGAAACCTACTCCCACTATCTTAAAAAAAGTTTTGTTAGCAAAGAGTTACAGTACCTTTCATTGCCATATAGCTTCCAGGCCTCTGCCAAACCTCTACCAAGTCCAACTATTGTATCATTAGGTGGCAGCTGTAGAAGGCAATGGAAATGGTTAATACTAATAGTAGAAAGTAAGACCTGTGTGCTGATTTGAAACTTACAAAATATTACTAGCAACCTTAATGTCTGCAAATCAATGTAGGTATAATATGATTCGTACAATTTGTCTTAATTAGAAAATTGAATTTAGGTGAAATGGGGTGCAATACAAATCTCTAGCAAACAGCATTTTGGATATAAAGGTTTGAATATGCCTAGTAACTGACCTTTTCACATTCCTTAGAACCAATGCCATCTCACTCCCTAATATTTAAATCAATTATTACAAATATTAGAGTTAATATGCCCACGTACCTTTTCATTTTTTATTGGAGACTTGTCCATTAAAACATCTGATATGTGTCTGGTGTAAAGAAATGAAAAACAATCTCAAACTTCTGTCTTACAGTCATGACAAATATGACTCCTGTATATATGTATATATGAGTTTTCATTTGAATTATCTTTAAGAATCTTTCATTTGAAGAATCTTTAATTCAAATTTCCTCATTTTGATTTCATTTACTCAGTGTTCATTTGCTTATTTTGACTTCAATTGGATTCCCATCTGCTTTATTGTATTTTTACCATGTTTATGTTTTGCCCATCAGTCTGTGATGCGATATGAGTCCCCCCCCCCCTAGAATGCTGGATTCAGATTAATGCACACCTGAACGCTGTTGCTAAAACGAGGAACAAGCAGAACAAACTAGTAACAAGCCGAACAACCCAGTAACAACCCAGTAACAAACGGAACAACCCAGGAGCAAGCAGAACAACCCAGTAACAAGCAGAAATGTGAATTTATGGTTTAGTAAATAACATGCAGGGACGTTTATAAATGAACTTTAGAGAATTAGATTATAAATGCCCCCACGTGTTATTTACTAAACAATTAATTCACATTTCCGTATACAAATGATAAGAAGAAAAGAAATTGTTCACTGGAACCAAATTATTGAGCATCCAAGAAAAATAGTATTTATAGTTCTGTAGAAAAATAGTATCAATATTTGAACTCCTTTATGAGATGAAATATGAACTTCTCTAATTGACGAACTCAGTTTAGATGGTGAAAAAATTGTTAATTGATTATTAAAGTTTAAATTACCTATGTAGTTTACAGGTTTGTGAACCAAGACCTGAGAATGAAGATGCAATCATGTTGATCTCTATCTGCTTAATTTCAAATTCCCTATGCAAAGATCCATTTACATTATGTCCATTTGTGTAACTAGTCTTTCGCTTGTCATCTAACATGTAGTCATTTCGCATCAGATCCACAGTGATGGGCTACAAAATATGAAGTAATAAGTAAACAAATCTCAAAATTCAAAAATAAACATTAATATACCAAATGATGTACAAACGTGACAAACTGTCTCGGTTATCTTTTGTAAGACATGATAATTTTCGTGGGCTAGTTAAAAGATCCTGTACACTCTTTTTTTATAAGAACAATTTTATAAGAACACGAGCCTCAAAACTGGTCAAAAGTTAAGAACAAATTAAGAACAAGCTGAGGCTGAGCTTCTGCAAAATGCAATTTTGAACAATGTTTTTCTCAAAATCGAGGATTTTTAGCGATGTGAGGGTGCTTTTTCGGTGAATATTCAAATTTGTCAGCAAATTAAGGCTGTCTCACTCACTTTGTTGGCAAATGAGGCCTGAACACCTCCTTAGAGCGAAAAAGCTAGCAATAGCACTGCTTACACCCTCTTAATCTAAGAACAAATTAAGAACAATCCAGCCTCAGATTTTCGAAAAAATTAAGAACAGTCAGCCAAAACTTAAATCTACTGGTTTTTATAAAAAAGAGTGTATTATAGTTTCTGTTTGACTTGCATGATCAAAAATCATATCATTTAGTTTGAAATATATGACATCTTAAACCTACTAACAATAAAAATGAAGTGTTTACCTGTTTTATACCTTCTTCTCTCACTATATTGTAGATATTGTATAACTTTCTTGTAAATTCATCATGAACAATGACACTAACAACAGAAAAAAACTTAAATTTGTTGTCTTGTAATGTTTTAAAAATGTTTTTGTTTACTTGGTAGCATAAGCAAAATATTATTTTTTTGGTAATAACTTTGCAACTAGTTGTATCAACATACTATTTTTGTATAGGTAATATACAATTTTGATGTCAGCAGCTTTGGGGGAGGGGCTGGGCAAATTTTAGGCAAAATTTGCATATATTCCTGGCTTAACCTACTCCAAGATACTACACACACATAAAAAAATCTATTGTCTTTTGATGTTTTAAAAATGTTTTGTTCACTTGGTAGCATAAGCAAAATATTTTATTTTTGGTAACAACTTTGCAACTAGTTGTATCAACATACTATTTTTGTATAGGTAATATACAATTTTGATGTCAGCAGCTTTGGGGGAGGGGCTGGGCAAATTTTAGGCAAAATTTGCATATATTCCTGGCTTAACCTACTCCAAGATACTACACACACAAATTTTTATACCTTTTCAAAGACGATTCCAGAAAACCATGATCGCGACTGCATCTCAGCATCAAGGACTGAAAGTGCTTATGAACGTCGAATGCCTCCTTGTAAAGGTATTCTGGGAACGGCGAGGGGAACAGGGTAAAGGGGGCAAAATTATTCAACCTTAGATCTTTTCTATTCCTCATAACAATGCCATGGGTGTTTGCCCAGTCGGTTGCTTCATCTGTAATGTTGTCAATAGACTCTTCAGTGAATTTAACATTATCGTACAGATCCATCCCAAGGTTTGTTAACTTCAGCCACTTCTTTGCAAAATTTTGCGCCAACGATCTGAAAGTTGTTAGGCCTACTATTGTGGATCTTGTTCTGATACGTCTAAAATGTCGACTTCAAAATAACTCCCTGTGCTGAAAAGTTGGAAACAAAATGCAATCATGCTCCGTAACACTCACTGTGGATAATTAAAAAGCACAATTTAGGCTTAGGCAAGCTTCCCATACAGGTGGTTTTACTTCCCACAATGGAAGCCAAACAAAGTTGTATACCGTGTTTATGACACCTGACACCCGTCCAAGTGATACATGTAAATGGTTTCACATGCACACGCATGCAATTTCATCAAATTTTCCCTGTAAACCTCAATAGAATCGTGTTACAATTTCTTTTGCAAATTTGTTGTGTGTCCTTCGGTAAATTTTGTTTCATTCGGTAAAAATCATCTGTTGGTAGTCAGTAGTAACAAAGTGACGCTAAGATTTTACTTTATTTATTTTTATCAGTATTTATCTTCATATCAGTAGCGTAGCGGGGGGTGGGGGGTATTATCACCCTCAAATGTATTTTAAGCTAATCTCAAGGGCATCGTCGCAAAAATTTTCTGCTCGCTTCGCTCGTAGGAGAGAAGAGCCTCAATATTCAGTAATTTCCCCTCTTTTTGAGGTTTGTATAGAAAAGTCTTTCACGTTCTTGAGACATTCCTAATAAAATAGAAACTAAAATGCTAAAGCAGTCCAATCCTTAAAAAAATTTGGATTCTGAAATGATTGTCGTGGACTTCGCTACAAGAAAGACGGACTTGGTTTAAAGTTTTGAATACTGTTAATTTTTTTAGATATTTGATTACAACTTTGGAAAATCACTTTTACACGTAGAGATTCCTCGCCTTAAACAATTCAGGATCTAAACGTTAGTGGCATTGTTAATGAAATAGACAGTTGTAGAATATGGTCAGCCACCTATGACGTTGAATAAAGGGAAATTGCCATGTAAAAATGCCATGGCTTTTCCAAACACATTTACAAAATGGACGTTTTCCCAAATTTTTAGGGGTGTTATCAGCAAAAATATTATTCTCTTTGGCCTACCAATCTTCCAAACCTGGCTACGCCACAGTTAAAAACCAAATTTTAAAAATGGGCGTTTCCATCATTTATCAGTGACCTGAAGAGTGTGGCACCAAAATTAATGTCTAAACCCTTAAGGACCTATTAAGGAACTTTTAGTTTTACAGAAATGAGGCCTCGAGCAGTAGCGGCGCCACGGAGGGGACTTGGGGGGACACGTCCCCCCCAGTTCTCGGCAGGATCAATTTTGCATTTCGTCTAAATCCGATGAGAAAATGTTGGGGGAGGGGTAATATTTTGGCAACGTACTTTTTGTGATGTAATCCTATGATTTTCAAACTGCCTTTACATAGCCAAAAGTGAGTAATGGGCGTTCCCTTCAGGTAAAAATTGCGTTCCTTGTTAGTAAAAGGGGGTTTTCTGGTGCTAAAAGAGGCGTGGTCCAAAATATTTTGTTTTGTCCCCCCCAGAGCGTAGTGGCTGGCGCCGCCATTGGCCTCGAGCAAGGTTCCTTATAAAAAGCCTTTGGTAGGAAAAAAAGGGACCAAAGGCAAATGAAAGACTCATAATAGAAGATGTTCCAAAATGCATTTTGGCAAGGGCCAAGATAGCATGGGCTGGAGCCAGTAAATGCTTACTGCTTGTTATAGTTGCTTCTGAATAATGAACAATGTAACCACACAGTTTTTCTCTTCCTGTGACACATGATGCACCACAGACATGATACTTAGAACAACAGCGGTACATTTGCGATGGGCTATCAGTTCAATTCTTTTTTAGGGAATTTTATGACTCTATTTTGAAATGTCTTTTCCAGCCAATTTTGTAACGTAACACAAAATGAGAGATACTATGTGCCAGAGGTCAGCTTATGTACAAGGCACCTATATGAAAATTTAAGTATAAGTTAAAATAGACTGCAAATCTTTTTGAATGCCTTTGTCTTTAAGTCTGCTATTCTGTAGCTTGCTGCCCTTCTAGCAGTCCTGTGTCATATACTTTTCTGCATAGGAAAATGTTCCTGAATACGACAAAACATTGAAAATGCAAAGGATTTTCTGGCCTAGAATTATCATGTAAGTGCAAAGATCTAGTTCTTGGCCACATTTAAATGGGAGCAGTTGATTCAGAGAACACACAATCATATAAAATGACAAAATTACTACTAAATTTGCAAATTTAAAGGACAGACTTAGACAAAAAACACTTTTGCAACTAAAACACCACAGGTTTATCAGTGCCATGCTATTTTAATTGGTTTCATCTGCTTAAATTTGTCAATTATATAGAAGGGTTAAATTAGCACTAACAATTCACATTATTAATGTTAGTGACTGTTTAAAGCATGGCTTATTCAATTAATCAGTCAGATAAACAGGAGACAAATAGTTTTAGTCACAACAAATACTACATGAAAAATTGTGACTGTAAGTTGAGTTTGACTATAAATGGGAAACATCTTGCATACTCAGGGCTTAATTTATGCCAAGAAAACTAGTATTATGACTTGGGTCAATCTATTATAAAACTTAAAAAAATTCATCAGTTCTTCTGTATTTTCTTGCTTCAAAAAATTACATAAATCATTCATAAATTTTCCAAGTACATATATAACATTCACAATTTACAAACACCATAGGCTTTCACAGTGTTTAGATGGTAGAGCAACCAAGCTTTTTTGGGTTCAATTAATTTGTGAACAGTTCGTTAAAACATCATTCTAAGTAATTTTCTTCTCTATAATTAGCTTTTCTGGATGATACATTTGTCCAATCAAAACCTGCAATAGGGAAATATGAATCAGTAATAGTTTTGGATAAATGTTATTATTATGATCTTCTCTGTAACTTTAATTAGAATTAGTAAGCAAAAAATATTGCACAGGTTTTAGGAAAATATTGTGTCTAAGGAACATTTCCCTAAGACCTTATAGGCCAAAAGCCTCCTGTATATGACAGTTTTCTTTTTACTTGGGTCCAAACCGGGAAGTAGTTTGAAATAAGTTTTAAATTCACCTGTCGCTTTATAAGTGCTAAATTCTCTTGGGCTTTGACAATGGAAGACTTAATTTTAATTCCATCTGCTTCATTTATATGCTCTTTAAAGCCATCTCTGATTCTTCTCTTTGCATATTCTCTGTGAAGAAAAGATTTCTTAGAATTGCCTCACACCATAAAACTATTAGCAAGGATAATAAATTCTAATACTCTAGATGTGTTAAAAAATGCTTTTAAGAAAAATTGATTTTATAAGTTCGCTATGATTTATCCAAGACTGATTAATGCCTTCGAGGTTCGCAAAATAAAATATGGCATGTATGTACATAACCTGGAACGTGATGATGCTACTACCGCCCAGACGCACGGAAAGATCAAGAAAAAACCCAGCCTATCTAAATTACTACATATTATACTAAGAGTATTGTATATAATTGGCATCGTTGCTCACAGCTCAAATGCTTCTGCTCGCAGGTCAAAGCTGACAATGAGTCGTTGGTGATTGGTGGGTCGGCAAAATCGTATATTAGTTTTCCAATTTGCCATATATTATTAATTAGAAAGTACACCTATCATATATTTTCTTTTTTCTTTACAACTTAGGCTGCGCTCAATTTGCGCAACAGCATTGTTTATAAAAAATCTTTTGTTTAAAATGTGTTCATATTTGTCGATGACCACCAAATTTGAAATACAAGAATTGGAATAAATGGGGCGGACAATCAACCAATAACAGAACACAGATGATAAAATGAGATCCAAAAAGGGAGAATTCACTGGATCTATCACCCCATTATGTCAAATAGTCCCTAAAAGCAGGTTGTTTATCGTTTGCAGTGAGAAACTCCTTGATTGCACGAGGTTGTTTATCGTTTGCAGTGATAAACTCCTTGATTGCACGAGCTTGTAACTAACCTGGCAGCTAACTAACAAGCAAAATTGCATTGACTAGCGTCTTTATATTTGCCAATTTAAACACTGCAATAGATTCTATAGAAATTATCTGATAGCGACTGGGGCGTTTTCAAAAGACTGTGCAGTGTAAATGCAGCCTTAGAAAAATTTGGTAACCAATTATGTGTTGAAAATGTTAAAAGACTACAAATTTGTTATGCATCTTTTTGCTGCCTTTCAACAAAAATCGACAGTCAGAAAACTGAGCAAAATTGTTTTGCGCCATAAAGACAATGTTGTGTGCGTGATATATTGCTGAGTTCTGCGGCTAGTAGCTTTCTTTAGACAAGAATTAAAACTGTTCTTGACAATCACCTGAAGTTGTAACTTCCAAATTGTTCCCCAGCTCTCATCATTTGCCGGTAAATCTTTATCACTTCTGCACGAGAGCTGGCTGCCATCTTGTTAAGTGAAAAGCGGACAGGCTTGTTGTTGTGGTTGTGCGCTACTTGTTGTTACAAAACTTCTTGCAGGAAATCCTCGAGTTTAGCTCCCCTCCTCCGGGGGTTTATTATTTTGGGATAATTCTGGATGGAGGTTTATCTAATGAAGACTTTTAAAAATTATCTGATACCTAACAATAAACTCATGTTCAAAGTCGTTTACTTTTTCAAACTGAACTTTTCGCCAATTTACATAACAATTCTGTCTTTTTCATTATGAGCTCTTATCTTCTGTGGTGCGTTAAGACATACAAGGTCGGGGTTTATTCGACGCTGTGGGTTAACTGATGGGATCCTATGTGTATACCCGAAAACGTGTTATGGCTGCAGACGGGTTTGAGCTGAAGCATGTGTCCAATAAAAATATATTGGTATGTTTCATAAGTACTTTCCGAAAAACTCTCACCATTGCCAGACAATTTTGGACCCCTCTACACAGTGCCCAGTGTGCTTTGTGGTTAATGAAACACATTGTCGTCCGAAAAAGCTTTCTTACAATACCTTTAGACAGTTCCTAACTCATGACTAGGTCAACAGTGAACTAGGTTGATAGATATTTTCTTGTATTTGTTCGGCTCCTTCTTTTCAAGGACCAAGGTAAAATACAATACAAATGCTATATGATTTTTACAAGCCCATGATAAATGTATTGTACCTATTTAGAATTGAAAAAATTACCAAATACAGCTTTTTATCTTCAAGATGGCGGAAACGGGTGACGCCGCCCCTGTTGAACCATTCAGCAATAGGTCTAAAATGTTGCATTATACTGCAAGAGAGTTTGAAAGAAATGAAGAATCGAGAAATGAATAATGTAGATCTAGTAGATCTAGTAATTAGTCCAGGAAGAACATTTTGCAGAAAACAAAGCGAAGCGATCGAAACTTGTCTAGGGATAGGCCAAAACAAACTGGCCTAAGAACGATCACTGGAACAAATACAATGGTATTAGATACATTACCCCGCGTGACAGAGTCTCAGCATTTAGTCTCAGGAAAAAATATTTGAGCAAGGAGCGAGCACTGATCTCAAAAATGACCTTGTTTGAAAAAAGTCTTTTTTAGATCAATGGGAGGCGAGGGCACTGATCTCAAAAAAATACCTATTGGGCTAGGGTTCTTTCCAGAACTGCAACTCTGGAAATAACCCTGCTTGATAAACTATTACCAAATCCTCTCATTTTTAGTTCTTCGAAAGGTTGGTCTTGTTTTTGCTGTTTATCTCGAAAAAAAACATGCTGGAATGATAAATACCGAGCATGATTTGTATGATCGAAAGCAAAAATGTGAGCATGTCCCACTCTCCTTGCAAATGATGTTCCAGGTCACCTTCCCTAACCACTGACACTACTGATAACAATGGGGAGACATCTTGCAGATATGTAATCGTCATCTTTAACTTTGTCCTTCACAAGAGCTGAAAATGTCCTTAAACAGCTTGTTCAAACTTCTTCAAAGGTTTAGATTAGAATTGAAAGTGTCTTTGGTTGGGTCGCAATTCTTGCAGCTCACATATCAGCAAAGCATCCATCAAGGGCTTCCTTGAAAAAGGCCTTCCTCTGCCTGCGTTGGCAGCAAGACTATTTTATAACTTGGTACTAAATGCAATATATAACACAAGATAGCGTAATTTTCAAAAATAAAAAAATCTTATCTATATCATTTTTAGAAATTTATGTATATGACGTCATCATAGAAACGTTAATTAATGAGCTATGTAAAGCAATTTTTGGTATACCTTCTCAATGGACGTGTTTTTCTATCAAAGAGTGATAGAATATCTTAAGAAAGGACTATTAACAGTCCAAGAATGAGATTTCTGTGAAACAGTGGTGGTAAAGGTGGTAATTTGGTTTGATGACGTCATCAGTCAATTTGCTGATATCAGCAAAATAGAATTTGTTATACATCAAATGAAAGCTCCTTCTTAGAGCTATCCGAGTATGCAATTATTTTTATTATAAGACTTTTATTACAAGAGATATTAGCTTTCTTGTTGAATTATTTTTTATTTATGAAGTCACGAATCACGTGTAATCTAAAAATAATTCGCGATGGCCCATCCCGGAAAATCAATCTTTAGCCATTGAAATGTAGAAATCCGAAGAAAAAATTGAGATTAGGCAATTTGTTAGTTTTTCGCAGCTATTTCCCTGTCTAGAACCACTGACCTTTAACCTTACATCAGCATTATAATTATTTCATATTATATTATAGTACTTCATCCTCATTAAATTTTCATTCCACTACCACCTACTACGCTCCCTCATTCGCCATCCTTCCCTCCTCCACCGCTGCGCTGCATTCACACAATTCCACATCAGCCAATCCGACACCACCATCGCCTCTTTTATGTGTACATTTTTAGCCCGTTAACTTTTGCTCTCATGAAGCCCCGTATGCCGGGGCGAAATATAAGCCTTCACTGATTTACGTGTATTTATTGTTGTTTTTTCTCGGCGTATTGCGGTGTTTCTCATTTGCTACATTTTTATCGACTTTTCGCCCCAAGAACTCCTTGAAGCCCGTCGAGCAGCCTGCTACAGTGACCTTTTCTTCACTCACACATTGTTTCCAGAAACCTCTATCGGAAGTCAATAATGGAAATGAGGTTTCATGAAAGATTGAGATGCGTGCGCAGGAGTCTTTCTCGGACGTTTAGGACCTTTAGTAAGAGGGCGAAAATGCATTCCACTCGGAATATTTCCAACGGATTTTCCAAGTTCCTAAATTCTACAACTGTTTTAACATCACCAGTCGCCAGAAGTATACCAGTTCTAGCGATTAAGCACAAGGAACCAGTATTGAAGGACTCGAGGTTGAATTATGCAACGCCAACAGGGAATGCCTGCGTCACAACAAATTTGTTGGGTGAGTGTAAAGAAAATCTTATAAAATCTTTTATTTTTATTACTTACATGGTAGACTTTCTTGCGAAGATACAGGCTGACTTGTGGGCAAAGTGAAATCTATTAGTGTCAATTGTCATACCACGATATTACACGACATATTGCATATCGTGAAAATTAAGAACCGGACACACAACTGCAACCATCATTCAGCAGTGTCAGGATATATTTTCAATGTACTTTACAGTTAAAAATTATATTAATCACTGGTACAATTATTATTGCAAAGCACCAAAGGACAAGGGTAAAACGATAACCATGCAAAAATTGTAAATTTTCGTGAGGGCAACCGCTCCCATGCTCCGGCGTCATTTGTAACAGTGTTTCATTAAAGTGGCACTGACATAAAAAATGAACAAATTTCATAAAATCCATTTATTACATTTTAGTATAGAGTCGGCAGTGCTGAATCGAATGGTGTCTAGTTGTTTCCTGCATATCTTTTCGTTAACATAATTTTTTCAAGCTTCAAAGTACTGATTTTCATCAGTTTTTGTTAGAATAAAAAAACGTGACCAAAGAGGAATTTGAGGAATTTGTGACATATTTTGGTGTGGTCGTGCACTGGCAAGGTCAGTTTATTGCATACTTTTGAATGATAGCAGAGATCAGGCATAGCAAAAATGACCTAATTACAGAAATATTGTTGTGCTGGTGCACTGAATGATACAGGTTGTCTGGATGACAGTCACATTCCAGGAAATCAATCAAAGAAGTTTTCTAAAGATGGAAAAAAGTGTTGATTTTGGCTACAATTCATGAGAAGACATAGGGCCTACTTCCATCCATCGTCTTCGTCTGCCTTGTGACCCAAAACACATGTTACTTACAAGAATTATAAAAATTAGCAGAATTAGCAGAATCACGTTTTAGTTTTAGTCATACTTTTAGATCTGCACGACTGAGGTGGCTGTTCTCTTTGGGGATGAGTTTTGTTTCTTATACTAGACGGAACATGCTGTCTTATTCTATCCTCCAATCCATGGGTAATGCGTTCTACGTAGCCGGAATCACACTGGCACGTAAATTCATAAATAACAGAACTCTTTGGGTGGTAGGAAGGCAAATGGAAGTACAATATGGAAAACAAAACAAACAAAGCAAGGCTTCAGTATGGAGCTTGAATTAGGGGGTTTCAATTCTCACAAAACCAGAAAAAAGAGGGAGGAACTAAACATATTTTAAGCATGTTAATTTTAGCAAGGCTACAGTTTCAATCGGTTTGGAAAATTTTTACAAGTGTATTTAGGGGTTTTCTATGTCTTGAGACAATGGTTTCCTCTGAGCTTGTTGTTGTACAGGGAATTTGATTATTTAATTTTTTTGCTTTAAATTAATATGCCATCGAAAAAAGTACTGGATTGAGGTCAACTAGATGGAATTCGCTTTAAAGTAAAACGCAAAGAAAGTAAAATAAACCTTGTCAAAACGACAACTCATGGGGCTCTAATGATTTGTTATAAGTCTAAACTTAACTTGAAATGTGACCAACTAAAATGATCTTTCTGGAGCTATCCAGAGGAGGTCATTTATCCTTCATAAGGAGAGGATTGCAAGTGTTTCAGCTGGAGTAAAATTAAGTTTGCAGAAATGCCCAGTTAATCTTAAACTATCATGTATGGGTTACATTTCCTTGTGTTTTGAAAGTCAAATCAAACAGGCCATGTCAAAATGTTTCTTTTTGTTAATTGGTATATTGTTTTCAGTACAAAAATGGCCTTTCCATCCATTCAAAAAGGAACCAGATAGTGCAGAAAAGGATAATGGCAACATTCTTTGGATTTTTGGTGAAAGTTGATTGTGTTCCATCTAGCAATTTTAGAATTTATCTACATAAACATGAATTAACGACTATTGTGTAGACAGAAGGAGTTTGTTTTCACCTTAGGAGTCCATTGGTAACTTTTTCAGTAGGCAACTGACTGGGCAGCCTCAAAAGTCATGTGCTCCCTTTCTGATTGGCCTATATTGATCCACAACTGGGTGTATGAGTTTCCTAACGTGGAGTTTTTGATTTATGTTTTGAACTTTTATACTCAGTGTCAGACAATGTATGTTTCAATATGTTTGCTTTTTTCAATGCCATTTCAAATTATGTCCCACAAAAGATTGTTTGAAGACATTATATTTATATTTTTTTTTGCTTGATCAGGGGCTAAAGACAATGCATTAATTAATTAATTAATTAATTAATTAATTATTTAATTAGTTAATTTTTTACTTAATCATTTCATTTATTTATTTATTTATTCATTCATTCATTCATTCATTCATTCATTCATTCATTCATTCATTCATTCATTCATTCATTCATTCATTCAAAACATCATGTACAACATGTTTAATCTTTTAGAATTTATGAGAAAATGGCGTGCAAAGTTACAGATTTGATAAATGTAGCTGAAATTTATGTTTCTTACTCAGACAAATTTTATTCAATCAAGCACTGTGCACTTGCTCGGTTGACTTTATTGAAGAAGGAGCTTGTTTTGCATTGGATAAGGTTTGTCCTTGATTTGTTAACAAGCCATTAGGCATTGGTGGCTGTAGGTACTGTGTAGGTATCATGTATTTAATCTGGTTCATGTAATGTACCTTTTATCTGCCATAAATTTTGATATTACACCTTCATCTGTTACAGGCAAGACACAAGTGAGGTTTAGTCATACAGACATTCCTGTGCCAGATTTTTCAGAATATCGCCGTGAAAGTACCAAGGATCCTAGTGTCTCAAACCCACAGTATGCTAGCAGGGCATTCACTTACATGATGCTGACTGGCTTTGGAGTTACTGCTGCTCATGCTGGCAAGAACATATTGGTTGACTTCCTGTCAACAATGAGTGCATCAGCTGATGTTTTGGCTTTGGCAAAGGTTGAAGTTGATCTATCTGCCATCCCTGAAGGGAAAAGTGCAACGATTAAGTGGAGAGGAAAGCCTTTGTTTGTTAGACATCGTACCCAGCAAGAAATTGATGAAGTGCGAGCAGTTGATATTAATTTATTGCGTGATATTGAAACAGATGATATCCGCGTGAAGGATCCAAAATGGCTGGTTCTAATAGGTGTGTGCACTCACCTTGGCTGTGTACCAATTGCAAATGCTGGTGATTATGGTGGATATTATTGTCCTTGCCATGGCTCACATTATGATGCTTCAGGTCGAATCCGAAAGGGACCAGCCCCATTGAACTTGGAAGTGCCAACATATGAATTCACTGATGAAACAACTCTTGTTGTAGGTTAATATATTCTTTAAAGATAAAACGGTAATTTGTCAACTTTGTTTATGGAAATTTGTAATGTTTAACCCCAACTTGCTTTGTGACTGATAGAATAATGTGTGCAACTCGACTACTACATTGTTTAAAATTTTCATTTTCTGTGCATCCTTGCTGTTAAATGGAGTACTTATTTTATGTAAATAATGTGAACTTGTATGTCACATTACAATGGTATCCAGTAAACGACTTTTCATTTTGTAATCCTTTATCATTCATATAATGTTTCAAAATGTTGAGATACAAGGGGCATAAATTTGAGGAAAAGCATTTTAACAGTTGTTTTAGCATTTAACAATTGAGAGTTTTTTCTTTTACACTGTTTGAGAAAATACCAATGACAAAATTATATCTGCAATTGAATTTTGTTTATATTTTCTTGACAAGATAATAAAACACCAAACATAATCATGAAGAAATCCTCAAAATCCAATTACACTCTCCACATGTCTCTCCCAAAAAGGGGGCTTTTTTGCATTGTAACATTATAACTTGGGCATTGATTCGAGGGTGGGTTTACTGCCTACTAAGGAATTACCAAACTTGCCAACTGGAGAACACAATATGACATAACAAAGGTCATGGGCATCACTTTAGTCAGAATCATTTTAATGTATCGTTTATCCCTTCTGGGATACCAGTTGCTGTCCATTGCTTCGTTTTGTATCTTGCTATCAGATGTCCCTTTTCAAAAAGAGCCTTAGGTTTGCAATTGTCATGTTGAAATTAGTCTATGTTTAAAACAGTCAGTTAAACTACTACGTTTTTAATATTTAGATATTTCCATAGATTTGACTGGAATTCGCGGCTGCAGTGAAACGTAAGGAAAAGCTAAATTTATGAAACGCTTTATTTCGCCCGGCTGACTGTCCAAATGAAATGAAGTTTTTGGCACACACGAAGATTTCAATTTTATGGTCTTTTTCGGCTCAGATGAAATGAAAAATTGTAACTTCACCAATCAACTTCACAACCTTCCGTCAGAGCGAGGCTGATAGAACACATGATAGCAAGTAAATGGCGGGAGTTGTGACCGGTTCGATGAACTGACAAAATAAAAGTATAGGAATAAAATGGTAAATGCAAACGAAATAGAGGAAGTGCTACTTCGTCTAACTGTGCCAGATAGTAAAATTATTCAGCAGGTAGTCAAGTTTTGGTATTTCTCTGTGTTTAATGTGAGCGCGAGACGAGTTATTTCGCTTTACATTATGAAGGGAGAAAAAGTTTTTTTTAGAAATTTTGAGAAAAGATATTCGTACGTTGATCTCAAAAGAATGTTAGATCGAGAGCCAAAGCTTCGAGTGTAATAATTATCATCATTACTTTTACCTCAGAAAGTGCATTTCATGTACTTAGGCCGGAAGATCTTCGGCGTACAGTTTTCGACAGTTTAGAGGTTGAGAAGGCCTAGCCTAGCCCCAATTATCCCTAAGATTTTCTTACAACCATACAATGAACTGTCTTGCTTTTTTATTTCAGGATGTATAGCCCCCAAAAATTTTGAGTCTTCTAAATCCAATCCGAACCACCAACCAATCAGAGTTCAAAATCTTTTTGTTGAATGAAAAAAGTATTTGCTTCATTCAACTGTAAGATCCATACAAAAGTTTTATAAGATTGATAAAAACTTATTAAACTTTATTAGACGGTTCTTTTAAAAGCTTATTAAACTTTGTGAATATCTGCATTATTGGAACAAAAATCCTGGGTCTCCTGGCTCTCACAGCAGGTTTGGAAATGCAGTGATCTCTGGAGGATCATACAGCATGCTATCAATCGATGAACCCATATGTACAGCATGGCAATGGTGCACCACAGATGCAGCCATGCTCTTTTTGAGGGTGCACCTAAAAACTAGCTTTTGAGGGTGCACCTATTCAAATCTGAAAAAAATTGATAGTTCTGGTGCATGCAGCTTTTGCTCACAGGGCTGTTGGTGCACCTTAGATCTTGTCTAAAATGGTCTCTACAAGCTGGTTTGTGAACATTGGAAAAAAGAATTCCTTTAGAACTTTTAGAAACATTCAGATAAACCCCTTTTTGCTAAAAAATTGAGATGGTTTGTGTTTCTGCCAAAAGGCTGGTATAAAAGAAGAACAGCCTAGCAATCTTTCTGAAGTTTTGCATTCGATTTTTCGTCTAAAGATTATCCTTCAACAGCAGTTGTTATTTTGTTTTGGTATAATTCTAGGCAACAGCACAGTTAATTCAAGTCTTCACGAATCCAGATATTGTTCCTGCTCTGATTCAGATCTTGGTATCTGCAACAAATCCAACAGTAAATATAATTTACTTGTTTATCTTGATCATTAAAACTTGAAAAATGAGTATGCTTGAAAATTTGAAGCAAGTTATGTTTGAAATTACATCAATGTTAACTGGCTGGTTGGAAAACGATTTTTTATTTCACATGTGTCTATTTTGTATTGTTTGTACGTTTTTTCAATTTGCACTGTTTGAAAAAGATACAAAGGGGTATGTTACTGTTAGCCTTATCAGGAGCTTTGTAATATTTTCACTAAGAGAAAAACCTAAATTTGAGAAGAGCCAAACTCTTCTTTAAGGGGATGTTTTGTCAGTTAAGAGATGGGAATCTTCTGCATACAATGTTTCAATCATGTTCATCAAAATAATCTTATCTTGCTATTGGATATTGTCACTGCCTTTGTTTTTGAGATGTTTTATATGTTGTTGATATATATAAATAAAAAAATATAACAATATGGGAAATAGCCAGAAGAGTATCATCTTTCCTAGAATTAATTGTTAAAGTAAAAGTGTTTATTATTCTGATTTGTCTTTTTTTGAAAGGTACGACAGTATGCAGCTATTTTGGTAAGGAAGAGAATTGTGAAAAATCTTGATAAAGTTAATGATGATGTTAAAAACAGGTAAATGTTTCTCATGCCATTATGATATTTTTGCAAGTAAATTCACAAATGCAAGTATTTTTTCAATTCATTGTCATTAAGTTGTTCCAGTCTGCAATTACAAGAATAAGGAACTGAACTGCTTTTCAGTTTGGTTAATAAAAAGTTGTATGGCAATTTGGCTTATGAGGAGCCAGAAGCAGGTGGTTGACAGACTGAGTTGCTCAATCTAGCACAATCAATTACTTTTTGCCATGTATAAGACCCCAGGGGCGTTGTGGCTCCTAGAAGAGGGCTAGGAAAAAATAACTACAAAGGGTCCCATACTTTCCAGAAAAAACCATTTTTTGCTATTGGTGCAAGCAAGGCAGTTGGGTAAAATGGCAAAAATAGTGATGACACAACAACAGAGATGGCACCACCAAATTGAAACTGGGGAGAGCTAAGAGTCCAGTTTGGTGACACCATGCTTGGGTCCCATGAGAACAATTTTTTAAAATTAAGCCTTCTAGAATGGCCAAAAATGCATCTCCTAGACTAAAATTTAACAAATTACCATACCGCTCAGAATAGACAATTTGACAATTCTCTGAAAAGCATTGATTGTTGATGTTTAGGAAAAATTTAGGAAGAGACCATTTTACTTCTTGAACAGAAATGTGCATCCTCTTTGTCTCTAGTATTTTCAGTAGGCCATGTTTACATATCCACAATGCAGACAATGCAGTAATACAGAAAATTATCTACTGAATCAAATTATATATTGAGTTGGCAAATAATGATTGAATATGGTTCCAGGGCCACTTACTCAAAAGACCTTTCAATTCTCATTGAAGATAGGCAGTTTTATCAATTTTTTCATGCTTTCACATGCACCATTTAGTTAAAATTTTATACCAGATTTGTTGCCAGAGCAGAAGTGGGTCAGCAAAGATAGATCCTTGTTTTCATTCATTTCTGGTGGTTAATTATTTGTTTTTTTTCTAGCTTATGTGCAGCACTGATTCAAGCTTTGTCAACTGAGCCAGAGTGAGTATTTGAAAATTTTTTATTGATGTTTCAAAATAGAAATATAAATTTATTCACATTAACTCATTTACCTAATTGGTTTACCAATACATTTTTATTCAAAATTACTTACATTCACATGTAACTTTGCCTAAACATTTTTTATCCTTATAATCAAGGCATGATTTGGTCATTCCGAACAAATTCACTACAAAACATATATGTAAGCAAATCTACATTTGTGGAGTTTTGTTAAGCGATTTATATGAAAAGTGGTTAATTTGTCCACAATTTATTGTTTGTATTTTTCTTCTAGACACCTTGTTCGGATAGCCATTTGTCAAGTGGTATGGTAACCTTTTTGTTAAAATTTAATTGATATTTACACAAGGGGTCAACAGTTGTTGCAATAATAGTAGCCATTCTAACAGTACAGTTTAAAAATATGGCAGTTTACAAGCACCAAAATTATGTTGCTAGCTTTCCATTTCAATAGCTTTTTTATGAGTTATTGTTTTGCTGAAATGATGTTCATTAGTTCAATAATAACTTGAATGATCGCTCACTTATTAAACGAATTGCCTTAATCTAAAATGGTGTTTTATGCTTTTTGGTAAAATAATCTGTCTTGATCCATTTTTACTTGACATAGTATCCATGCTTAATTAATGTTAACAAAACAGGTCATTTTTAAAATTAAACAATGTAGCATCTTTCATGCAATTAGAAATATCAAAATATTTTCAATTATATAACACTTCTTATGAGTAAGAGAGCAAACTATTTCTAAACTTTTAATTCAAATATTGAGACAAAAACAAAGATATCTGATAAAAGTTTGTAAGGAAAAAGGGTAATATCTCTCTTGTTGGTTTCCTGATCAGCCGACATTAAAGACAAAGGAATAATATGTGATTCTGATGCAGGTAAATTCTTGTATCCTTTTCGATTTTCGTCATATGATAGAAACTTTAGAGAGGCTTCAGAAAGTTGAAGTGCTGTCTACCTCTGATCCCCCTCTCAGTATATTCTCTACATAGCTGTTAGTTTCAAATGTGTCTGCAGATAAGCGCTATAGCAAAATACAAGTTCAAGCAAGATGGATGGCCGGAGGTCATGCAGTATATCGGAAATGTTGTTCACAGCGAGGATTTGAAACAAAAAGAGGTAAGCAATGCAAAATGTTTTAGTCTCAGAAGTTGGGGTCCACACTGCAAAAAAGAATAGTTGCTATTTTATATACAGTAATATGATATCAACTATAATTTGTACTTCAGTTGAAGATCTTTAATGTACAATAATGTACAACAATAATTTGTTTCAGGTTATTATTTTTTTTGTTCGAAATCAAAACTCCACGCAGAACTGGGAAAGCTTACAATGATTTTTCTGGACAACGTCTATCCAGGAGATGTCATTTCTTTTTACACTAGGGAAAAGCTAACAAGTTTTTCGGCTTTCTTAAAGTTTGGTCAACAAAAGTGCCCAGTTTATCTTAAAGTACCTCGGTCTGGTAACACTTTCTAGAGATTTGAAAGTCAGATTAAACAGGCTATCACAAAATGTTTCTTTGCTGTTAATCCTCGCATTGTTTACAGTACTAGGAGAGCCCTTCCATCCATTCAAAAGAACTGAGTTTCTACCATCGAAAAGAGTTGCGTTATCTACGAGTAACGTGCCAGTGTGATTCTGGGTATGTAGAACGCACGACCCAAAGATTGGGGGACAGGATAAAACAGCATGTTCCTTCCAAAAAAGAAAAAAAGGTCTAAAAACACCGTTGAAACAAGTGACTTCTTTGACTTCAGTGGTGATTTTTCTATATGCACGCGGTACTGATTGGACAACTATACTGGTCACATGTTTGATTTTTTCTGATTGTCCAATGTCTATCCAGAGCTGGGTATATTTTTTAATCTTGTTTATTTGGACCCTTATCCTGACCTTTTATACTCTAAGAAGTGTCAGACGAAAAAGCTTTAAGTATTTTGTAAAATTTTTCCTTTTTTTCATAGACATGTTAATATTTAGGTAAAATCACCTTCTTGTTTACTGATATACAGAATTGTTGAGCCAAAACAAATGCAGATAGGGTAATCTGTGAGCGTTTAATACTCTAGCCAGGGATACTGGAGCACATTTTGGAAAAGGGAGGGGCTCTAAACGAGTTGGCAAACACTATGGAAGTTTACCACCATTTTCTTTGATGCCACTACCTTGATTTGCTATTCAACCTCACAGCGAGGAGCTGCAGCTTTCCCAGCTCTCCTGGCGCTTGTGTGCCTGCAAGTATTGAACAAGAAAGGCACTGCACCGTACGATTTTTTGAAATCTGTACCGTTTTATTGGCTCTCGCGGTTTCTTGAATTTTAGCCCTGTTTTCATTCTAAACAACGAATGAAAAGAATATTCTTCATACAGCAAGCCAGAGAATCTGTCTAAATTTACTGGCCAAAGCCTTTTCACTGAAAAAAAACATCTAATCATTTTATCTAAACATGTTTACATTATATATATTATACAATTAAAGATCAGAGATTTCAAGCTTGCCCGCAATCATACCTCTTAATTTGTTTGAAAATCAATAAATTATGTATGTGATAGGCAATACTATTTTACCTATTTTATTAGGCAATACAATACGTAAAGCTTCATTAAGATAATCGGACAATGTGATTGAATTGAAATTATGTAAGCCCAGTAATTTTCTTCACAATAATATTAAATCTTAGGTATATTCATTTGTTTTTAAAACACACTAATGATTATTTTGCTCAAAAGGTTGGCTTTCTCCTTCTCAGTTGCATTTGTGAGGCTTGCAGCGAACTAGTAAGTTTAATTGCAATCGTATTTTAAATACGTTTGTCGGAACATTTTTGCTGTTATTTGTTTGAGGAAATGACAAGATATTTTGTGGTGCATGCTGGGTTATAATAAAACAGGCCAGAATGAATCTAATTATAATTTATCATACAAAGCATGGGATTGAAATAAGTTTTTCAAAGAAACGTTTTAAAGTTTCCCAAATGTTTTATACAATTTAATTTGCAAGTTTAATCTTTTCTTGTATAAAAGATTTTACACGTTCTTGCAAGAACGAGAACATGACATCAGCTTAATATTTTTGCAACCCGAAGTCTGTTATTTTCGATAAGGCAGTAGTGCTTACACGTGAGACCAGGTATAGGTTAAGACATCTGAAGGACCTAATCTGTGAAATAAATCGTTGTTATTTTTAATTAGCAGATATGATTTCAATTTATTTTGCAGCTGAAACCATTTTACCCTGAGTTATTTCCTGTGTTCGAAATCGGGCTGAATGAAGGAAAATCTCGAAAATCTGCTTTTTATTCTATCAAGTAAGTATTTTTGACCAATGCACTTATTTCATCTTTGTCATCATTAGCTCGTTTAGTAGTTTTGTTTAGACCAGAGACATGCGAAACAAGGAAATCATCTTCTGTCATACATTTACCTTCAAATGCAGAATGTTGCGTTGTATTTGTTTATACCAGTGAAATTGAAGTCCATGCTCTTATTACAAAGGGTGCAGTTTAAAATGAGAAGCTAAATTTGTTGATATTTCTGAGAACTAAAGCAGGGCAAAGTTTCTTGGCTCTATCTGGTTCTTTTTATATCCTCTTTAGAGCATTAACCTCAATTGTACCAAGTCTCGGAAGTGATGAAGAGGTTGGTTTATCTTTATTGTCAAACTTTACGTAAAAATGTTATGAAGTTTCATTAAAGGCTCTTATTTGTGCTCATTAAAGGCTCGAAGTTTCATTAACGGGTATTCTTTTTGGCAACTAGTTCTTTACGCGATGAAAAATAAACTGTATTTGGTATTTTCATGCTGTGCGATGCTAGGCCAGTTTTCAAAATAATGTCACAAAGCATGCCGGTTGCGCAATAGACTTAAACTCTATGAAATACCCTAAGGAACCTCTGTTATTTTCGGCTTTGTTATCTGTTATTTTGATGTCATTTGCCCTTCAAGGGCTACTCTACTAACAGACGAACTGCTATTTCTCTTTTGAGAAAACCTTCGTAGAGTAACTGGTCTGTAAACTGAACTAAACTCGTCTAATCTACATTTGCAAGCCTTGTAATTTTTTTCAATAAACTAATAAATTTTAATGACAAATAATAAGTCTTCAGGTTCGTTGTTAAGATAGCACTCTGAGCTACAAACTGAGCATGCTGATCTATCCTGTTAGATATCTTGGTGCCTAATCGAAAAGGCAGTTAATCTGGTCGTGAGGTATTTGGTTGCCTTTGGTAATAAGTTTTTAAAATCATTTTTGCAGTAATATACCTCGAAATTTCTAATGCAATTTTTCTTAAAATGCAGCAGAAACTTTTTGCTATGAGTGGTTTTCATATAGGAACCTATAGTTCGTTTTCATGATTATCATATAACCTAGTTAGCACTGTTTCTACGATTCTCTTACCCACTTTTTGTTTACAGCAACTCGTTAAAATATTGATACCAAAGGCACTGGAAGTAGTGAAGCTATTAGTTCATGAAGATGAAGTAAGTCTTTTAATTCAATATCTCTGAGTTTTCAGATTTATCTTTGAAATGAATCATAATTCCTTGGCCATCTTTAGATTATGAGGGTTCTTGCTATATTTGGTATGTTTCTAGCAACGCCAGAAGCAGCCTTGAGATCTTGTGCGTACATATTTCACTATTGGAGTTTCGTATTTTTTATGATAGATTCGTTTAGCTTAGGAGGTGCGTTCGTCAAATTATCAATTTTCTAGTTATTTTGCTCGAAAGTTCATGCCGTGTCGTTATCTGTAAATAAATTTTTGAGAGTTCAGGTTTTCTTTACATATCTGAAATATTTAAAACCATTTTTCTGAACAAAACCATCTCAAAGTCTAATTATCTTGATTATAGGAAAAAGCTTGTGAGGCCCTGACCTTCTTTGACGAGCTTGTTGAAGTGGAAATAGGCATCATTATCCCATATGTCAAGTCACTCGTTGACCTTTGTTTACAGGTAGGATCTGCATTCATTTCCAAACTAATTCAAATTTTCATTTATTTTCGTCTCTTTTCCTTCTTACTTGTGCCTCTATATTTTACTTTCACTACTTGCCTCTTTGGTTGCCATGTTTTCAAACTATTTTTTTAAAGTACCCCTGATCAGAAAGGTTTTAAGAGCTGTTTTAATTTATTTTGATATTTCAATACAATCATAACTAAGAACCATTTTCTTACATCCATTGCCCCTTGTATATCTGTAGGTTTTTGCGCTCGAGTGATTTGGATCTATGTTATGTTCAACAGATTGTACGAAGAGAAAATTACGGAGACGCTATCAGAGTGAAGGCTCTTTATCTACTGTGCTGGGCGTGCAGACGTAAAGCAAAGGTATTAATTTTAAAATATTTCTGTTTTAATTGCAAGAGGAATTCTCGACCATACCCTTCAATACCATTACCGAAATCCAGTTGAACACCAAAACACTAATTTTACCAGGCCCTGCTTAAATCACATCTTCTTGGTCCACTGCTGGATATTCTCCTGTCACTCATGAGCTTAGCTGAGAATACAGAAGCAAACGACAGCGAAGAAAGCCAAGAAAGTATTGGAGATGACGATGACGAAGACGGGGGAGAGATGGAGGGCAGTACATTGCCATCTGTTGCAGCTCAGGTAGCATTTTTAATAATATTTCCCCAACATTTAAATTCTGACAAGTGTCAGAAGGAAGGTACTTGATTATGCTGTATTTCTGCTATTTCATGCCATATTCAAATAGTTGTCTATGGATCTAAATGTGTGTTGTAGGTTCTTTGCTACGAAACTGGGTATTAAACCTGTTAGCAGTAATGTAACTTAGCAGATCAGGCAACATGAAAGCTACTTCGTCATTTATATTAAACTGAAAGCAACCCAGTTTAGTTTAATTTGTGCAAAGTCATTTTGTGCAACATACATGTAATAAGTAGAGTAGTTTACTTGATCCACGTTGATGAGAACGAATTCGTTCCTTTTAGGCACTTGATTTGTTGGCTCTTCACCTCCCCCCTGCAAAATTCATTCCTCAAGTGGTAAGTTCTTGCAAAGACTTTTCGAAACTTAGTGCTCGCAGGACTGGTAAATAAAAATGCAATTTAAATGGTTTATTGAAAGTTCCCGATGCATCTGTTTCGCGTCAAGCTGCTGTGATTCAAACTTAAATTCTTATGAACATACTTTTCGCTGAATTGAAAAAGGAAAGGTGCTATACTTTTTAGTCAGTGTTTTGTCAAGTTTTTGTAGCTTAATGTATGAATGAGAATATGTTAAAAGCTAAGATGAAAAAGAATATTTTTATTTCTTAATTAAATCAATTAATTTCCAAGTCGATTTTGCACTTAGACATTAATTTGATGTTTTGAATGTTTGATATATTTTTTATCAGATGGCAAGGATTCAGTCATATCTTGATAATACCAACGAATATCATCGAAAAGCAGGCTACATCGCCCTGGGCGTGTTAGCCGAAGGATGCTCTGATTATATCAAAAATAGGTATGCTTCGTCATCGTCATTTCGTCATCGTCATTGAAAGGCCTTAGAATTCATATTAAGAACACATACCAAAGAAAAAGTATGCAATTCAGGAGACAATCTAATGTTTGCATATAAAAGATTTTCAATGACAGAATTTAAGAAGGCCACCATAGGTATTACTGATGGATAAACAGAACTTTTTGGCCTAGTTTTCTTGCATTGTGTTTTCTCTAAGTTTTTTATTTGGATACTGTTAGCATAGGATAATATAAAGCTTTATCTGGCAACCTTTTTTAGTTTGAAAGTATAGAAATACAGTTTGACTGCACTTTACTAACAGGATGGTGGCAGGTACTCGAGACCTTACTACTTAGATAAGTATTGTAAATGAGACAGTGACTGACTGGTCGAGTTTTAAATTCATTGATCTATAAATCACCCATCGCTTGGACAAATTTGATGCTTGGAGATAACCAATGAGACGTTCTAGTGGACCAGACCTTTTCATTTATTGCTTTTGCATTAAGTTATTGGCTAAAGTAAATGTTTTTTTGACAGGCACCTAGGTGAAGCTTTGCAGACTGTTTTCAAAGGTAAGACCGCGTTCAAATGTTTTTGATTGTACTGTAATGTTGAAAGAAAGTTTTTTAGCATTTTTTCAAACCTGTTTACGTCTTTCATTGTTTTATCATAATATTATTGGTGCTCTACACATTTTTCAGCAAAAACATTTTCCAGCATTACTATTACAAGTAATCAGCTAGTATGTCAAATAGTGTAGATGTAAGTCAAAAAGTTTCTTAAACATTTCGCTAGCACATTGAGAGTACCACAAACGTATCTTCCCCGTGATATTCCGGAAGCCTGATTCTTAAGTACTCCAGTTTTTCCTCCAGACATTTGCCAGACTAACAATACTCTGCTGGGTGACAATTTTAAAGTGAAGCTGTCCCAAAAGTAGACTTTTTTATCAGTTCAAGCATATTCGATATGATCTTTTTTAATAGCTTCTGATAAGGTCCATTTTCCATGTTTAATTTCCCCTCTTAAGAGTGTAATTTTTGTTGTAGGTCTTTCGGATGGTTCATGTATTGTTCGAAATGCTGCTCTTTTTACCCTTGGTCAATTTGCAGAGCATTTTCAGGTAGGCTGTTTTCTTTCTTTTCGCATATTTTAACAATGTTGTTAATTTTCCACAAAATCTCACGTATTGTGTCTATTAGTACTTGATTTCTCTCGAGCCAAAGTTGGAATCGTAGCAGACCATAAAATATTGTGCCAGTCTAGCAGAGTATTTTACCAGCTCAAGCTAAATTTACCTAGCCCAATTTTAATGAGAATTGTTACATACCGGTCTGCCATAAAGTGCTTGATGCCGTGTAGGCAGAACTGTGTATGCTTTGGTGTATAGAACCGCCCTGTTTTGTACAATAAAAGCAAGCCCAATGTTATACATTTTTACCACACAAGGTCCATTGTCCCCGCCTTAGAAACTTCGAACGACGTCATCCTGAAGCTCACTTCCGCTCGTCTTTTTAGTCTGTTTGGAGGCCGATAAGCAATGTCTTGACGATGCCTTTATGATTTCCACAAGCTGAACTCATTATGATTTTTGACATTGAAGAATTTCATGCATGCGCTATCGTTTTCATTATTCATTTTGAGCAAGCAATTATAGCCTTCACCACTCATGCTAAAAATTATCATTTTGAATCAAAACATTAATTTGCCGACTTTGAAGAAGTAATGGTTATGGCTGTTGTTTTACCAAGGCCATAACGTCGAATTCTGTCTGCTTTTTGATCGTTACTTTTACCACATGATGCTGACTTGTTTCATTAAGTAAAATTTGCATGCCAAAAAACTGCATTCACCAAATTTTACATGGACGTTTCTTCCTACCACAATTTAAATGAATTCTGATCTGATTATACAATGTACCTTTTTATGATAAAATGAAGGCGTTAAAAAAATGACACCAGCGTGCATAAGGCATGTTCTATCAGGCATACATTCTGTTTTTACTAACGCTCACTATGTCATGACAATGCTGTTACCTATGAAACTCTCCGATGCTCATTTTGCATAGTAATGACATATTTTTTGCGTAGTGCAAAATTTCATCATAATTGATGCTCTTATTACAGAGTTGTTGTATTGTAATTTGAATGTTTTTTTTAAAAAGGGCCTACAGTTAATGCCCCCAAGCGCTGGCAGCTCTTTTTGTTCAATATTTTCCGTCCCGAGCTCAATATTTTACATGTTATCGTTCACGCAAAACCTCTTTCGATGAAACGCACATGCAAGCATGAAAGCTGCTTTTTTCCGTGCTTGTGGTTGAAGAAAAACGTAGATCAAGGGATCGACAAGAGCGTTAAATCTGTAAAAGATGCTAAATATATTTTCCAAGTGTAATAAAGGATCAACGTCAAAGGCACGTCTCCAAATTATAGCTATGTCAGGAGCTATGTCAAAAAAAACGAAACACGTTAGGAGCCAAAATACAACGCCAAAGAGTTTTTGATTTCCATTTTTTGGGCCTGATCTGTTCTTCCTGACCTTACTTTTTACGACACGGCAACATATAGTTGTGTATGTCACGATAAAGAAAATGAAAAATAATGAATCAAGTACTAGAGCTATCAGGGCTACGTCACATCTACCGGTGGCCGCTGGAACCGTAACAGCATAAATAGAACCAAAAGTACAGCAAATCCAAATTGCGATAGCCACTCTGAAAATGTTTTTCTCTGAGGCAACAATTTTGTATTGAAATGGGAAATTAGCACCAATGAATCTGTCGAAAGTTAAGAGAAATGTGAGAGAGATCCATCGAAAATATTCGGATATTACGATGCACATAAATCTGTTATTCAAGTCTCTGTTATTCGGGTATACATAGACTGCCACTGCATCATGCAAAAGCCAGTGAATTGATGAAACAATATTACTTACACTTAGATTTTTTATGATCAACAATTGATTCGATCTTTTGAGATCTGCTTTTGACAATATATAAAGACCAACAGCATTCAGAATGATTGAGAGCGCTGCTGTGATGCTACCTGCAACAGTGAAATAAAAATGTTCTTCCGTCATCTGGAAACTCTCTTGGAAACGCGCTTGTTCTTCCCAGATTAACTTACACCTTTACCACACTGGTGTGATTCACTAGGAATAACGAATATGTGTTCTTGCAATATCGCAGATTTCCCCTCGTGATTACGCGCAATCTTTATTTTCATTGGCTTGAATAGCAATCTTGATTTTTCTAAGAGATATTTCCCACCTTTATGGTATTTGCGGCCTGTACTTACCTATAAACCAATCAAAACCCTCAACCAATCAAAACCCCCAAACTGGCAGTTTGAAAGCCTAATTAAAAAAATTAACTGCAACAAGAGCAAGCATAAATTTGCTCTTTAATGTAAACTGAATAATGAAGAATAATTGAAAAGCCAATTTTTTATTGTTTTTTGGACGATGCTTGCTAACTTAGATCGTGTAAATGTTGAATTCAGTAATCATTTGAATAAATCACTTACAACGAGAAATTTTATTTGAATGATTATATTTCATTTTCAAAAAAATTTTTGCTTCAAATAGTTGTTCATCCAATATAAATATTATTAGGAAATTAAATATTGAGAGATTCCTTTTGAATTAAGTTTGTAAATTTCATACTAGGACTCAGCAGTGTTTAGACAAGCCGAATTAAGCCAGTACCTAATTCACAAAGTAATAAACCTACCTCGCTTATTAAAAGAATTTATTCCAGCTGATTTTCTAGATGTAAGTAGTCAACAATAAACCTTGTAGCCAAATGTTACGCTCACAAAGAAGGCACCAATGCAGGGGTCCCGTAATGTAACGAAGCTTCTTACGAAATGAAGCACCCCTACTCCAATCAAACCACGATCCTATAACAATTGCTAAGGAAAGGGCATATGGGCTTGGATTCTACGCTAACGCCATTTCGAGCTGAGCTGCTCTACAGGAAAAATGTACGGCGCCAATTGAATCCGACAAAGTTGTAAATTTTGTGAAAAAATTCCCAATTTGATATGCTTTCTTAACTTCGACGACATTTTTGGAGTGAATGATTCACAAATAAGTCAATGAGTCAAGGAGCGTGCATAGTAATGACTTCTTTCCATGCATATGCATTTCGACTCCAGAAGGAAGGATGGCCTCATTCTTCAGAGACTTTCTTTGTTCGTCTTCCCAACGAAACCCCTTTAGCTTAAGTATTTTAACCATTGCTTAAATTTTGAGTAGAAGTCTTGACCATGTTTATTTGTTTTCCATTTAAGGAGGACATGAACAAATACCACGCTGACATTATTCCAGCGCTTCTGGTGCAAATGCAAAACACGCTGATGAGCCAGGACCTAAAACAAAGAATAACACTAACTCGGACATTTTATGCCTTAGAGTCACTTTGCGAAAATTTGGGTATGCTGAAAATTTCTTTTTGGATCAAATCGGTTCCACTTGTTTTCATTCTGACATCTTGAATTTAGCACAAAGTGCAATCTTCTCTCTAAGATATTACCATACGCAATATCTGATCTTTTTGAAGATCTGGTTTCTTGCTGTCGGGTTAACTCAAAAGGAAATAAGTCATTTTTTATAGCGAGCACTGTAAAGAATGCAATGTAAAAAGAGCCCTTCGGATTCCACAAATAATACACTTGTTATAGGCATAGGACAGATACTAAAGTGGCTCAAGCCATCCATCTGTCAACTATTGGGCAATCAATAAGCGTGTGAGTGGTACTGCGCTTACTGGCCGCTGGATCGAAGGCCAAAGGATCGAAGGGTTTAACTATCTTGACTTCTTTCTCTATTCAGCTGTGTCTTTTTCAGCCTTTCAAGTTCATTTATTTGATGTTTTCTGTTCTAGAGAGGTCAATAATTACCCTCTATCTAAACTCACTGGTGGAAACATTTCTCAACACAATTAAATCTTCAAAGGTATTTGATACATTTTTCTTAGTTAGAGATGTTCAATGGCAAGTGGTTTAAGATATATATATATACTCGCATTGATAAATGCACAATGCTACAATCTTGGACAGAGCCGCTAAGATAAACCCTAAATACGTGCCCGACAGCGCGCATGCATGGTCCAGCCTATACCCCCTCCCCCATTCAATGTTGAGGTGTACGCCAATTAATAACAGCGATATCAATATTGAGCTGTTGGGAGGAGGGAGGGGGGTGAAATCTCAACATGGTCTGTCCAAGGTTGTAGGCAACCACTTCTGCCCTTCCAGTAAATGAATTAATCGAGAAGGAACCACACACTTGATACGTTTTCTTTCTATTTGGCCATTCTCTCTCTTTGAAACATCTCAAACCTTTAACTATTATTTTATGATCAAAAATGAATGATTTCCAATCACCTGTTCTTTTTTCCCTTTAAACGACTTCACTAGGCCATCAGGTGCAATTTTCAAAGAATTTTTAAGGCCCTGTAAGGCTAAAAAATTGCATTGTGAAATTTTACTATCAGCACAGGACTGTTGAATATCCCAAGCTCATCACCTGCATATTATTTTCTCTGTGGTAATCCATTTCTTTTTAAAACCTCTTTTCTCCCCAGGGTCTTTATGCCACCGAGCTTGCAATAAGCGCTATCGGATCTTTAGGTAAGATAATTTTCTTTTTGTCATCTAATTTTGCTTTTTTCTCAAATTTGGAATGAATATTGTCATACTTGAATTTCTGAGAGATGCCCCAACCAAGTTATTAATTATATTTTTGCTATCAAAATAAATGGGTTCTAACTTGATTATTGACTACAAAACACGTGCGAAGACCTGTGTTTTTGTCTTTTTCTGTACTGCTTTCCATATTATTTTATTACATATTATCCTAACGTACAAATTTCAATGGCATCTCAACATTGTGCTGGATGTCTGTAAACACAATGTACATTAAATGAATGACATTAGTTAAAGTTGATATGATACACAGATTAGATTTTGCGTTGAAGAAGCCATTTATTTTTGTCAATTTTTTTACTGCGATCTGAAATCGTGATCTTTGAAGACGGCCAAATCTTAATACGATAAATTTCTCTTGCAGCTACGTCAGCAAAAGATCTTCTACTGCCCTTTTTTCCTCACATTATGGACCACTTAAAGGTACCCAAAGATTCCTGTGCAAAAAATGTCTTACGCTCAATCGCAAAGTCCTAATTATTCATGAAAAAGTTACAAGAAGAAACAGCTAGTTCCTAACCTGTAATTCCTGCCAGAACTCCATGGAAAGCTCTGTTGCTTAAGTGCTGTTAATATTATCTTTATTCCTTCGGAGAAGACCAAATCTGGGCTTCCTCTCTGCAAAAACACTGTTGGTTGTAGATTTGTATATATTTAGATCTATGGAATTTAAATATCACAAGTTTCAGATTGGGTGGACCTGTTTCTTTATTTATTCCCAATCTCCCGTCACTCTTTAACATAATTGGACACCATTCTCACGACTGGTGGAGTTTTAAGATGGGCTGTTTCTGCTTTTAATAACTATTTTATGTACATATATATTTGTTTGTAGTAAAGCTTTTACAGGTTCTTCATCCTTGTAGCGACCTGTAGTGAATCTACTTTTTATTGTAGGGTTTTCTACAAGAGCCAGCCACATACGAAACATCAAGTCTTCAAGCCCAAGCAATTGGTATATCAATCAGCTTTTTCAAACGCTTAAATAGGCTTTCACGTCACTTTTCTTCTTCCAAATTGAGCCGTTCATAACATGCACAATACACTAGGGATTCCTATGCTTGTAATTTATTTCTGTTTTGTCCCTTTGCAGATACTCTTGGTGCTGTTGCACGTAATATTGGCGAAGACAACTTTAGATGCATGGCGGAAGAGTGCTTACAACTGGGAATGGTATGATATGTTTTAAAAATCTTAAATTGATTTTGCGGCAATGTAGAAGGATAGAATAATGCAACCCAAGAATGAGAGGAACTTACCATATCACTTAGTAGCGCAAGATCAAAGGGTTCTTGTAGTTTTTATCGTCTGAAGCTATGAAATTATATTGTATCGAAAAGATATATTTGTTGACCAAGGCAACGGGCATTTAGCTAGGTTGTTCTGCTTAGGCTCTGACAACAATAGGACATTCTAGCGGCAAGAATATTTCCATTCTTTCACACCGATTTGCTAGCACTCCCTTGTCAGAAAAATAAAGATATTTAGGCCCCTCCCACAAAAATTTTGGTCTCCCGTTCATCTTCCTAGTGTGTGCTTTTCAAGACATTTCATTATATTAATGCCTCAAGGTCTTTTTCTCAGGAGCTAATTGGAGAAAGTCTAAAACTAGAGTGATTTGTCTCTCTTTGGAAGGGGAACGATTTGCCCCCAGAGAAAGAGAGAAAGGGAGGGGGGAGATTTTTCCAAGAAATGGCACTGCATTTGTGGATTTTCTAGAACCGAGTATGGTTTTTGGATTTTCCCCCCGAGTTGACTGTCTTTGCAATATGTTTATTGCTAAGACTCCATCACAACACTAAGGCATGTATTTTACCTCACCTGTGGCTCATCTAGAAGCTTTCCCTCTGTCAGCAAGGTGACCGAGCTGTTAGATTTCCTTTCATGATGTTTTGTATTACAGGAATACGAAAAATTTTCAACGACATTCATAACATTGTTATGTAAAAAAGCCCTAAACTCGTTTCATTGACAGGCACTAGTGGAAGATTGTGATGACCCTGACATCAGAAGATGCACGTAAGTCAGTTGCTTTCAGAGCATGAGGTGACATCCCTAGCTGTGTTTTCATAGTTTGTTGAGATTAAACTCAAATCCTCACTGATTTTTCTGCAATTTAAAAACATCTCACGATACACGATCGAACGTCTCGATTCTTATTCAAGATATGTTTCTGTTTGTACGATTGAATGACATATTCATGAATAACGAACCCAGTACCCAGGTGCTAGATAATTTGCAAAGGCTTCTGTCGGTGACAAAATTTTGTATTGACAGATGCAATCGGAGCATAGTTGATAAATGGTAGCTTGGTAGATAAACCTTTATTATTAAAGGAACAAAGCAATACGACGACGAGAATCCAATGTCACGAGATAAAATTTCACGGATTCTCGCAAGAGTCGTCGTCGTCTTTGTTCCGACGACGAGAATCGCTGGAACAAAGCGATTCTCATCGTCGTATTGCTTTGTTCCTGTATATCTTTCATAACAACACTCATTGCAAGATTCACAAGATTCATACTTTATTATTAAGCCAATCAAATTCTTGCTGTTAACAAGTTCTTCTTTTATTCTCAAGGTATGCCCTTTTTGCGTCACTATCAACAATACTGAAGAAAGATATGAGCAAATACTTGAGCAAAATAGTACCAAAGATGATTGAGTCACTCAAGTCAACTGAAGGATTCATGGTACATATTCGGATACTTTTGTCCTTTGTTTTCTCTCTCTTAATATTTGAAGTGGTAAACTATCCAACATTGCTGTTAGTGTTGTTTTGTCTCTGTTTTTTAAACTGTCGCTCGAAGCGGGGATTATTTGGGTATTTGAACTTATAGATGCAAAGAGCTTTTTGTGACTCATTAGACTGCTCAAAAGTGATCTGCTGTTACTGTTTTGCAGTTCTTGTGAGTTTGTATTTTGTACTTTATTTCGTATTTTTGTCAAAAGCTATTATAAATCTATTGATTGTAATAAAAAAATATCTCAATTTCCAGTCACAAAATGACTAGCGGTATGCCTGCAGCCTCAAAAATTACTAAGTTGTGTTATATTTCTGTATAACAGAAAACTGAATGGGAAGCATTTAAATGGGCTGTCCCCTCCAAATGAATACATACCCGACAATGCTGTAGATAAATAGATTCTTTCTCTCCAAAGGTATTTGCCAGCCTGGCTGGTTAAAACTGTTAATATACCGTTTCTTGCATTATATGAACAATTTAGGTGTCTTTGCAAAAATGTCAGTAATCTTAAATGTTGTTTTGGACTATAGTTATATCTTGAAGGATCTGTTAATCAACCAAAACGATTAGCAGCTCACATTGGGACTCTGGTCCCGTTAACTCTGCAGCTGCTGTCTTAGAGAAAACTGTATTAGAATTATAAGTCCCAATGAGCTGAAAGATGTCTAGTTACAATGGGCTCAATTATGTCAACATGTTGACATTTTTTTTATAGTTTTTACGCTCATCGCTTTTTCCAGCAATATTTTTACTGAATTGCAGAGCGTGCCACTCAAAGACGAGCCTTCATTTCTTCTTGAAGACGACTTAGTTGGAGGAGAAGGTGATGGAGGAGAGGAAGACGATGACGAAGAAGGGTAAACCTATTCATGATTTCTTAATTTTTATTGTTTTGTAAAATATTATAGGTCAATGTAGCCAGGTAAGATTCCCAGAAACCTAGACGAAACTTTTAGATATATCAAGTTCAGGCAGCCGATATTATTTTTTCGTTCCCTTGTTTTCTAGCTGTATAATTGAGGTTTGGAAAACATTAGCTTCAAGATCCTCGCAAACTCCTGTTAACCTAGTCGGGGTTTTTGTGAGAATTCTTTCAATTTGGAGGTTGAAACATTTAAAAGGGGTGTTTCCTATCCTTGTTGAATATTTGTCATTGATATCTGTCATCAAGCCGGCACTACAGAATAGATTGTGCCCTTGTTGACAGCATCTTTGAAAGCGTCCTCTTTTTACACAATATACATCTGTTTTCAGGTATACTGTCGAAAACGCTTACATCGATGAAAAGGAAGATACTTGCAACTCAATCAGCGAAATTGCTGAAGAGACAGTGTAAGTTTTTTGCCTAAACTATCAATCCTCCTTCAAAATTTATCATTGGTTTTCTACGTATCATTTTAGTGCGTTGAAAACCTGGAATTATCAATAAATGTCCTGATACTTCGAAACAATGCAACCAAAACTATGGGTAGGTCGGCATGGAATTACAAAATGCTCGCCTCATTCTCTTACCAAGTTGCTGAAGAGAATAGATGTTTGAACAATTCTAAACTCACTAGCTCTTTTTAGGAAAGAAGAGGGGATGTCAGACAACACTCTCGCAGAGAGTGGGGCAACTTTGTCTAATGCAACTGAATCTCCATTTTATGTGCCCGGTTTTTCTTAGGCTAGACCGAGATTGTGCTCCTAAGAAAGAGGCATTTACTTAGATGTCTTATGGCCTCTCGGCATTTCCTCTGATGCCACCTTGTGCTCTAAGCACTCGACCAAATGCCCTTACGCAGCTAGGAAACGACAAGATTTTAAACACCATTTCTCTAATTCAAGATATGAAACACCATTTTAAATTTCAATTTAAATACTTTACTGTTTTAGAAATCATTTACAGAGAATTAATCACCAAGAAAGCTGTTTATGTTATTTTTACTAGTTTAAGCATCTATGTTCCTTATTTTGATAATTAATTTTTTAGTTCTCCTTGAAACCAGCCTATGATGGTATTTTTTGGTTAGGCGACTGATGTGCATGGGTCGCATGGTTTATTTGTTTTCCAAAAGTATCATCGCAAGTTTGCTCATCATAATCCCCTCTATGCCCAGTATTTGATGCCAGATAAACATGGTTTGGGGTGTCCACATTAGTTTTGGAAAGATTGAGCGTGTTTGTTGACTCTCGTTGAAGGAAGTAGTCACCATCTCCCTGGCGTGACATATGTGAACTGTAAAATGAAGAAAATGAAATGGAATTGAATTTCAACGAATATTATTTTTTGAAAAAGATTTTAATTTTTTTAGAACCATTTTCCAATAGAGCTAGGTACTTGTACTGATACTTCACTTTCAAAACTGAACTTTTTTAGGACCTTTGACATCTCTATTCGTGTGAATTGTTTAGGTCATCTTCCGTCTATTAAGCAAATAGCTATTGAGCATATATTTAGGGACAGAAATTCAAAGTTCCTATGGGCTCTTTGTATACCCATTGCTCATATGCTGCTACCTAGCTTCCTAAGGTAGTTTCAGGACACTGAGAAGCAGTGTTCATTAAGCAGTGCTCTTGTCCATCCTCTCGATGTGGCCGCACTTCGTAATTCCTATGTCTGGAATAACAGAAAGCTGGCGATTCTCCCTGCTCTAAGTAAAAGTTTGGTCTTGGCAGGGAATTGAATCCAATACCCTTGGCTCTGCAGTCCACGACCTAACCACTGAACCATCCTTGATAATTTGATTTGCAGCTAAGATAATCACTGAATGGCTTTTTGGTGATTTAATACCAAATTTACAACCAGGAAAAGTCATACCTGCTGCATTGTGATGGCATCCTTTCCAGTGATTGACGTTGCCGTCCATCTAGAATACGCTTGAGATAATCCATCAGTTGGAAATCTGATGAATTCCCGTCACCTGTATTGCCGTCATCAGCTCCAAAGAAAATATCTTCAAAGTCTGTCTCTAAGTCACTATCTGACTGCATGTTTGATTTTATTGCTTCAATGGCACCTGGTCTGTATCCTGGTTTTCCATCAATATATTTCGATTTTTCCTATAGTAAAAATATTCATAAATACGTAAGAAGATACATTGTTTTCTGCTTCTACCTATCACTTTATTGGTTTCTAGTGATCCATCCATCATTCTTCTTGCTTGCTTTTAGGCAGTATAAACATCCTTGTTTATTTTCTAACGAAATGATGGTTAAATAAATGTTAAAGAAGGTAGTCATTGGAAGGCACCCTGATTGTCGTAATTATTTCTAGACCTTACCTCATCTGAAAGCCACTTGCTTAAAAATCCATTATCTGTTTTACGGCTGTCTGGATATGATCTGTTTTTATGTTGTTGTCTCAAAGCAGATAGCATTTTACCCTCTGTTTCTGCCTCAGCCAATTCTTTCATTGCATCTGTCCTCCCGTCTCTGTCAGATCTCACTTGCTTATGAAGATTCTTGGCCTGGTCGCTTGCTTTCTTTCGCTTCATGTCAAGCTCTCCAATCGAAAGCTTTCGAGGTTTTGCTGCATTGTCTGATGCTTCTTTAGCCAGCACTTCCCGTCTCAACTCGGAATCTAGATTCTTTCTTTTGAGAATTTCCATTGCAAAATTAGGCCTACTTTCGTAATCAATTGTTCCGCACTCTTTATTTTGGTCAGACACATCTGCAAATTTAAGTGGATTGTATGTTTTAAGCAAGAATAAATCAAAGGAGCCATTTCTGCTTTTATTGTCAAAACCTGTCGCCATTGAAGATGCACTTATCAACAAAAATGTATCCTACACTCCAGCCCGTTGAGTTACAAACTTCACGTCTAGGACATAAACACTTTTATTTTGAGTTACAAAAAATCTCATGTACAGTTAAGAGATAGTTCCAAATTCCATAGACAAATTCCAAAACCTTGTGCCCTTTTGGAGAGGGTATTCTTTCTGTAAAATCTAATTCAAAGAAATTTCCTTCTTTTTAGCAAATTATTCCGTTTTTTAATATTTGATCTCTCGAACTGTATTTTTCATCAAAGCAATTTCATTGCTACTTTTAAAGATTTTGGTTAATTTTTGTATTCCTTTTGCAATTAAAAGAAACAATTGGAACTTTTCTAAGCTTACCTTCTAAATTTCTCTTCCCGTCTTTTGCACTATCATTTTGTAGATTTCCCCTGTAATTTGTGACATTCAGCCTTTGCTGATGGGTTTGTTGGTCAGTATAGGAGCTCTTATTCATTCTTTCATCGTTAGTTTTCTTTCTGCCCTGAATGCTCCAATTATACATATCGCTTTTGATAAAATCGTTTGCATTGCCGAACGTTAATACATTTTTGTTTTGATTTTGCTGGTCCTTCTTGGCGTCTAATGAATGTTTTCGAATAGAAGGCATTGCTACTGCTCTACTGTTGCGCACGAATTCCGAATGTCTTCTAACCTCAGTGGCATGTTGATTGACATACTTCATGTAGGTTTGGTTTGCATCATCGCTGAGTACGTTATCAAGCGAAGAAATGTAGCCTTTTGCAAGTTGGTCAGCAAGGGATGGCTCATCAGTTTGGACTAAACAACTGATTCCCTCCGAGTTCTCGCTATTTCTAGGATTTTCAGCTGGTTCTGTTATGTTTTCATCAAAGTCTTTCTTGTTAATGCCGATATTATTTTCGCTTCCATATCCGTGTTCATGTTTGCTCTGTTCCGAAATTGACTCGCTTTCTGACTGGAAGATACCGGAATCCTTGTACACCTTCTCGTTCGATTTAAGGCTTGTTTTGCTGTTATTATAAACGCTATCATTGCCCTTCTCAAAAGACCAACCAGAGTTCATGTTCAAGAAGCGTTCAAATTCTCGGTCACTTGCAAGGCCTCTTGATTTAGGGTCGATCTTTTCCTCAACTGCGATTATAAAGTAAAAAGGGTCGATCTTTTCCTCAACTTAAAATGTGCATTTAACCTAGGAACTGCTACAATTTTTGCCAGATGTAATTCATCCTTATACAAGAAGCCCATTGGGATATCATGTTTACATTTGCATTGAATAGAAATTTGAATAATCATACGGTTCATTTAACAACCAACAGTCACTGCAAAATTCTTGGGTGCCAGTTTTTGCAAAACGTAACTACGGTCTCGAATTCAATTTCTTAACCAATCTTTGTAATTTTCTTGACAATCATTATAGCTCTCCTGATATTGTAATTGAAGAGGAATAAATCTTGAATGCACAAAACTTTAACTCAATCAACTCATGTTACCGGATCTTAGTATTGATTTGATATAATATTAACAACAAACCTTACCTTGAGCAGATTTTAGATTCATATGTGAGTCCTTGTGTGCGTCACATTGTAGGCCCGTTTCCTTAAACAGACCCATTTGACCATCATGGTGAACTTCTGCATCGATATTATCGATACCGATTTCCTTTACCGCATCTTCTTCAATCACCCCAAGTTCTCTTTTGCTTGCCATGTTATTGAGTTCCTCTTTTATTTCCTCTTCTTCATCTACATCAAGGAATTCGAAGCGGGAGCTACGTTTCTTGCAGAATGCTGTTGAATGATCGCTGTTGAATTTCAAAAGATCCTTGATGCTTTCCTCATTTCCATTTGCCCCTTCTAGAAGCAGTTTCATGTGCTCCAGTGAATCATTCTGCGGTGTTATTACAGACAAATCATTAAGTGAATCCTTTATTATTGTAAATCCCTTCCCGGAGAAGTGTTCTATAGGACTGTCATATCTTCGGTCGCTGGGAAAATCTTGACGACTGGATTGTCTTTCCTGGAGGTTTCGTAAAGTTATGCTTGACATATTGTTAGTGTTAACGCTGCAATTGCTTACCCTGTCATCTATTGATGCAACCGGATTTTCCTTTCTGCTGCATCTACTTCCGTCGGCATCAAACAATGTCTGACTAGTAGAAAATGAAACTCGTCTTTTGCTCTTTTCACGATCAACCTTCGACTCCGAGCATGCCAATGTTCTGTCTTGTATATCCTAGTTATGAAGAAATAAAGGCCTTTAATGAGAAGCTTTATTTCTTGTTGACAACAGTGCAGTTAATGCACACTTTAAATGTACAAGTAGAATTAGGCAGAAAGCAACGAAAAGAAGATAGATTGGTTTTTGATGACAAAAGTTCCATCTATAGTGCAAATCCCAGTTAACTATACAGATGACTTTTCGTGTACGACTCCAAAGACGTCGAAATGGAAACTTTAATTCTATCTTTTTTCTCTCCTTTTACTTAATATTTCCAATTCCATTATACTCTTATATCAAACTGCGGTCAAAATCTTCGAAACTGATGCGGGTATCTACCCCAGGCCACAGAGTACATTAGCTACAAAAAATTTCGGACAAATATTTCGAAAAAATTTACTTCGACGAAATTCATAAAGAGACGAATTTTCTTCATGACGAAATTCTGAAATGTAGTGCGAAATTTGTTCGACGAGGTTTATCCGCCGAAAATTATTTTTGGTTGTCAATGTCTTTACAAATTTTTACATTGGAATCACTTTTTGTCATCGTAAAAACAGTGAATTTCACCCTTTAGTTATTCTGATATAATGGTGTTTGCAAATATTGCAAATAGTTTATCGTTTTTACCCTGTACTCTCTTTTCATTCATGTGTCAACACAACTTTCCCAAGATTTTTTTCCCTTTAGTTTCCATTTGTTATTATTTTTTACTCCTGAACTTTTCAACTTATTTGTTCAACTGAATATGTGCTGCTTTATTTTGATATTTTGCAAACGAGGCTTTTTTGTAACATGAAAAATTGAAAAGCATACCTTGTTTTGAAATGTCGCCTCGTTTTGATTAGTAACCTTGTCTTCAAGTTGCTCGACTTTGTCAGCAAGGTGCTTGGTTACTGCCTCAAGTTCAAGGATACTGATTTGCAGCGATTTGCATTCTGCGCAAATATGCTCGATTTGCAAATGCTTATGCTCTCTGTAATCTCGTGTCTCATCATACATATCCTCTTGAGTGTCACATTTGTCGCGGTACGTCTTCGCACTTTCGCCAATTTTTGTCACTAAATTGTGGAAAGTACATTGTAAATAGTCAATTTGTTGCTTGCTCTCCAGACACAAGTTCTCAAGATAACCAACTTTATACATTAAGCAGCCGATTGCTTCGTCATTTCCATTTTTCTTGTTTGTAGGGGTGTTCCCAAATTCAGGAATGTTCGTTTCGTCGTATCCTGCATTTAACTCTTGTCCGTCTCTCACTCTACCATATTTTCTATCATTCAATCTTTGCCCTTCAACCTCACTCGCTGAACTGGCTGAAAATATTCTTTCTCGTTCATCTTGTGGCTCATTTCCGTATAGAAGTTCGAGCTTTTTGGCTCTCAAAATTTCATTGTCCTCGCCGTTAAGTACATCTTTCCGTAACAATGCCATCTCTGTTTGCATGAGTTCAAATTTATTCTCATATTCCCTTATTCTGACCTCTCGTAGATCTACCCTAGCTCTCAGGTCAACCGCCTCCTCTCTTGCTTCGTAAAGTTGCTGTTCGCAATTTTCTCTTGCGTAAACCTCTTGAGCAAGTTCATCCTGACACCTCTTGTTTGCACTGACAACTTCGAGTACTTTGTCTCTCATTTCGTTTAGCTCCACTGTCAACTTTGTATTTTTGCTCTTCAGCTCCTCAAACTGCAGCTGATGCTCTTTATTTTTCTCCTTCATTCTTTCATCCAAATCTCGATTTGTCTTGTACAAATCGTCATTTTCCGCCTGTAACAGATGATTTTCTTGCTGCAAATCTGAGATGTCTTTTCTTTGATCCACAATAGTTTCATTCGAGTTTTGGATGATTTGCTCTAGTTTCTCCATTTCCAGTTTATTTTCTGCTGTCAGTCGCTCGTTGTCAGTCAGTTGTCTTTGTGATTCTTCTAATTGTTCTTCTGCAAGTTTCAGTCGATCTGCGTCCGTGCTATCGTTTTCCCTCTTCACCATCTCATCCACTCGGCCTTTCAAGAATGTTTTTTCTTCTGATAAAATCTTGTTAATCTTTTCAACTTCCCTCAGTTTTTCCTGCATTTGTGAGGTCTTCATTTTGAATTTCCTTGTGTTTTGCTCCTCAAATGTTTGGTACTTTTTGCGTTCTTCTTTGAGTTGCTTCCGCAAATCATTGTATGTGTTTTCTAGCCTGCCGTTCTCAGCTTTGGCCATTCTTAGTGACTCTTCAAGTTTTGCTATCGTTCTGCTTTTTACGACGCTGTCTTGCTGCAACTTTGCGATATTTTCGAAACCAGTTTCCATTTTTTTCTCCCACTTAGACTCTTCAAATTCTTTGTGTTTTGGTACCCATTCTTCTGTGTTTTGATCATTTTGCCCTGCAATATAAGCAGTTTTAGAAATTCTCATGATACTAAAGTAATCTAGAAAACAAGAGTGATAATCTTCTGTTAAGGTGATAGTCCTCACGTTTTCTGAGCCTAGTAGAGCCTAATCCAATTTTTGCACGCCAAATCTTACTCACCCCTGTCAGAGAAGATCTCCGTATGTTTAGTTTTCAAGTGGTGCCTTAGTTCGGTGCTCGTATCAAAATACAGTCGCTTGTCGCATCGATAGCAAGGTATCCCGCTTTGTGCCATCTTCCTTCACTCTTGATTTGAGATTGATTGGTTATCTGCCACATTTGATCGGTTGAAAAGAAGGACTTTCATCTGACGTCACATTTTGGCTTGATTGGAATGGCACTTGACGTCAGAATTTACGACAATCGATACCACGTGATTGTTTGAATTGAATTGCTAAATTTAAGAAAACTGCCTAAAAATAAGGGCAACTGAGTTTTTATACAGCCAACGGCAACTCCTTTAAGACCCAAGATCCGGTTACCTCTAACGAGCAGATCTTTGCTTACATTGTGAGAAACTTGACAGAAGATATTTACTCGTATACCTTTAAATTAAAAAGTCTATCTATCTGGATAAATTGTCTATCCAATTCCTTTTCTTCTTTACTTTATTATAATTCAGAACCCTGGGTACCAGTTTTTTAGAGAGTCAAGGGTTAAGAATGGGGAATTGCGAACTTTCCTTTCCAATTCTCCTTCGCATTGCCCGTTCTTAATACTTTGACTCTCTGAGGCGCTGGTACCCAAGATAATAGCTCAGTTACAAATTCTGTGTCACTGTTGGATCACAATACCGCCCTTAAACAGTCAATATCATGTTAACTGTTGCTAAATTTGTACTTAGCTAGCAACCTGCTGTTTTTATAATAAGCTCTTGTTTTGATAATAACTTCGCTCGATCTCTGTGAAGTACAGGAAAGTTATTTTGCGGCTTGTATGAAACCACAATTATTTTGTCTGTGTATTATTTATTGAAACCAAGAACAGTTGCATATGATGTTTATTTTGTTTGTCAAATTGTTTTGCTTCTTTATAGCAATATCATCCTTTATGCTTCCTTTTTTGCAGAGAGGAGTTTCTGCCATACATAGAAGAGTGTTTCAATGAAGTCTTCTTGTTTGTCGATGTAAGTTTTCCTCCTTTTATAACCCAAATTTGGTCTCTCCTTCTCACACTTTGAGAATTTTTTTAAAGATTTCGAGGATATTCCCAATTATACCTAACAATGAATTTCTGAGAGTATACTTTGGTTTAGCATTATGATTTTAAAGTTTTGAAAGAATTTTAAGCTGATTGAATTTGCATTTAATAGAGGAAACAACCAATTTGGAAAGAAGTCTCTTTTTTGCCCATTTTTATACTTATCTCCAGCTATAACTCGGCAAATAGGCTTGCAAAGGTTGTAACCCTTTGTTTAAAGCAATTTTTGGTTACAAGTTTCTAAATTAGTAGCCATACTTCATATTTATGGTCCATATATCTATGTTTCTTCTTTTAATTCAAATACAATCTTTCAAAGTATCTGCTATTAAGAAGAAAATGCAATGGTTTGTTTATGTATGTCCTTTTTTTTCATCCCTCCCCCCATTTTGTTTCAAGTTGGTTTAACATATTTGTTGCACAGGCCTTGCTCTTATTCTTATTTTTTTATCAAGTGAATTCTGCATTCATTGTTTTTTGGCATTATGGTTTTTAACTTGGTTTTTTTCTATTTTTTTTATACTGAAACGTATATCAGCTGTTTAGCATCTTCATTTATAAAATAATATCTAAAGTAAACTAATATGTCTCGTTTTTGAAACTTCAAGGACCCCAATGTTGGCTTGAGGAAAGCTGCAATAATGTCCTGTGCAGCCATGTCCAGTGTTCTATATACAGCCTTAAAGAAAAAGGGTTCATCAGATTTTTCTCCAGGTATGAGAGCGTTTCTGAGGTCACCAAATTGTATTGTTACTGCTATTTGCACCTTTTTCGAGGCTGCTTTTCTCATTATATCCCATTAGTCTTCCTGACATATGCTTTTAAAGTTTCATGGATTCGTATTAAAATAAAGGCAAAATGACAAATATTTATAAAAAAGATACGAGAAAATCTTATGACTTATAGTAAGATCACAAAACAACATAGCTTCTATACAAGATGTGAAAACAAACAGTGAAGGTAAACATAGGTAAATCTAAACAGGGGACGTAAGGAAAAGAGGTTGTGAAAGAAAAGGTAAGAACTTCAAGGGGGTATGTAGGAAACGAATACTCCATGTTTTGCAAATTCTAAGGAAGAATTGCCCTAGCCTCGTGTATACTGAAAATCAAAACTGCACTTCAAAGTAAGCACATCAACCTTGCTTTGTTTGCCATTGAATTTGAATATTCGTCTTCATTCTCATCTGTATCATTTCTATCTGCTCTTGTTCCAGCAATTAAATTAACAGAAAAGACGTTTTCCGTTACTTTGAACATAATTGACAACGAGCATGATCAGTCCTGTGTGATGGCTGCTGTCGATGCAGTCAATCAGCTGTTGAAATCCTTTAAAGGGGGAGAGTTGCAAGTGAAAGAATTGGCTGATAAAATAGCTAACGCCTCGCACAATTTACTGCTAGCAAAGGTAGGGCAACGCATGTAACATTCAAATATTTCATTTGGCAATAAGTTTTCAAGCCTCATTTGATTATATTTGCCGTGATATATAACCAAGTACCAGCATTTGCTAAACACGATTCTGTACATCACGAGTTGAATCTTTCTTTTGCACTTAGACACCTTGTCAGCAAGACGGTGACGACTCATTTTCGGAAGAAGACGAAGAATCACAAGCTGAAATGGACACAATATTGTTTGAAAAAGCCGGTGATATACTGCCATTACTAGCACAGGCTGTTGGTGGTGAAGCTTTCAAGCCTTACTTTGAAGCATTCTTTCCACTTCTCATCAAAAGAACGGTATTAATCTCAATACTTTTATTGGCCAAGCTACTTCTTCTAATTTATTTCGTTACTATGGGCCAAAGACTAATATAATTCTAGCATTTTCTATAGATCTGCTGACTAATGATGTTCATTTAATGTCGATTGGTGAACAGAGAAGTTTTCCTTTATCATAAAGATTTTGACCTTCAAATAACGTCATCACAGAATATCTCCTTGCATAACTATGTTTATTTTAAGTAAATCCAGGTGTTCGTCTTTCTGTCAATATGTGATAAAATCGTTTCATCGCTAATTTTCTTGTAAATTTTTAGAAAAAATCCTGTGCTGTGTCTGAAAGATCATTTGCTGTTGGTACGATGGCAGAGGTGACTTCTTTTCCTAAACATACCATTTTCTTTATTTTCGATTTTCTTTTAACAATATTTCATTATGAATAAATTTTCTGTTCTTTGCAAGATAAATCTCTAAATTATTTTCCTGGTATTGTAAAGTCTTTTATACGTTGCCAATGATCAATCGAATCCTTTTTTTATTGTCCCTTGCAAGAGCACTTTTCAATTCTTCATTATCGGAAGTTTTTATTCTTTGAAAAACCTAAACATGATGGATAATCTACATATTTGCTGTGCTTCTATAGAAGACTGGTTTTGTTCAGCAATATCTAACAGGTAATTCCAACCAATTTTCACCAAAAAATATTAAATACCAGTTTTTTGAGAACCTCGTCTCTTTTTATCTAGATAATTCAAGCAATGGGGAAGCACACAACCTCCTACGTAGAACAACTTGTGCAATTATTTCTAAGTACAGTGAAGGATAGTGATGATGAAGTTGTCAGCAACTCTATTTTTGGGTTAGGTGTTGTGGCAGAAAGCGCCGGGGAGGCGTCTATACCGTATCCTTCATGCAGTGGTCTTGCTGATAGAAAGTTTCAAAGCTGTAATGATTTTTTAAAATTTTTGTTAGAGACCAATCATGTTTTTTGGACATAGATATTTCAAGAAACGGTTAACCAAAGATAAACACAAATATATCTCACAATTTTTTTATCAGTCTTAGTAATAAATTTGATAATAATAATATATCAATTTAACTATATTTACAGTTTTAGAAATGAGTTAGATATTTCGTTCTAATTCGATGTGGTTCTTTTTAGGCAGTTAAGGTTTAATCGACTTCTTATTAGAAGCGATAGTGATTCATACCTTAACTTGCCTCAGATATTTTTCTAACATTCTTCAGACGTTGTTTAGCATTGCAAATAGCAATCCACCTGCCCTGGTGATTGATAACATTTGTGGAGCAGTAGCAAGACTGATTATGACAAGCCTGAATGATCTGCCCGTACAACAGGTAGGATTCTTTCCATTATTTTCGACTAATTCGGGAAAGAAAATATTTTAGATATTTAGATAAGAAATTCTGAAACTACAAGGTATAAGGTCGTCTAAGAAAGATATTTATTTATGAATGAGATACCCAATCATTTGATGAAATAAGTTGCCTAGATTGTTTGTTGTATTTAAACCTTGGATGTTTTTGTGCGTTGTTGTTAAGCTTCTCCGATTTGTCAGGTGAAGGTCTCCAATTTGCTCTTGACATCAGCTAAAGCAATTGTATGGAGGAATTAAGGTTGATATCTGCACACTTATAAGAGGTTTTTGCCAAAGATTTTGTCAAAGAAAAGCAGGAAAAATTTATGTTTGATTTTGTATTCTGGACACTACTAAGTCTGATTGTAATTAATAAGAGGACAAATATGCTTATCTTTCTTTTCCAAAAAATGAATCTGGCTTCAAAGAATCGAAAAGAAACTTTTTCACAAGACACTTTAGTGAGAATAGGAAATCACCTTTCGTGTTTTTGTTTTAAGTTCTTTAATTCAGAATTCCCTTACCATTTTGAGATCTGTTGATGATAACCGCTACAATATTTGAGCTTTACGAGGTTATCGCTACAATATTTGAGCTGTACGAGGCTATTTGTTATTTCTGTTTCTTATGCTGGTCCCTCTTTGTATTCATATTCTTATGGAAAATATCCAAAATTTTGCAAGTCCTAGATTTTTTTATCGATTCAAGTCTTTTTGCTTTTAAGGTTCTTTCTGTTCTTGTCACTCATCTCCCAATTAAAGAAGATAACAGCGAGAATGAAACCGTCATGAAATGCATTTGCTTCTTATACCGAACCGCAATACAGCTCGTGAGTACGATTGTCGCTAAAAATTTTTTATCGATAGCAGCTTTTATCGTCTCTTGCAAATGGAAATCAGGCAATATTAGAATACTGAAATGCCATCAAGCATAATTTCTATCGACTTTGATTACAGCAATGAAATATTGCAAAAATTTTATTGGCTAGCCTTTGCGGTGTGTGAACATTGACATAAGAAATCATGCAGTGAGAGTCTTGTTGTTAAAAAGGGCTTCGAAAGCAGAAGCAATGGGGATGCGATGAGTTTCATTATATCTATGCCTTTTGCAGTTTCAGGAAGCCTATCGGTATTCTATCTGCAACTTTTATCGCATTGCTTTTCAGCCTCTTTCTGCAATTCATTTATCTGCGTTGCAATTTGCCCTGTTCAAGAAGTATTAAGAAAGATCTTAGAAACAAGCATATAGACATCTTGTATCTTAGAGAGCTCATCTAGTACAAAAAATCTTGAGCCAAAAAAATTATTTTGTAGCTAATGAATTATGACCCTTTTTGGAATAATGTGTTTGTTATGGGCCCATCCCATCTGATATTCTGTGAAATTGGAACTCAGCCCCCATCTGCTGAAAACGTTTTACTCGTTTCAGGAAGAGTATTTTTCTACCATATATGAGAATCCTCGCGGCACTTGATATATGTTCCAGGCTCACACAATTAAACATGTATTCTCGTCATAGCCTCGCAACAGACATATAAACCTGTCGAATATAAGTCTGGGGTTTATTGAGCAACAGTTCCTCAAGAATGACCCTTCCTTGGGCACAAAATATTTATCTTATGTTTTCCTTAGATTGAACCCTATATTGGACAGTTATTGGGTTACATGATGCAAACACTGGTAACACAAGGAAGTGGACTAAAACCTGGTAAGTTTCCTAATCTTGTCTGGCCTTCGTATTCCAGTAACTCAACAGATTATGTTATTTTGTTTGGTTTGTAAAACCGTCTTGGCCTACACAAAATCCTTCACAGCTCTACTGGTAATGCATCGGTCGCTTTATGCCAAACCGTTATAATGTCATTCTCATAGCTGGTTATTTGAATATGGAAAGGCAAGCATTTCAAAATAATGCTCTTATGCTGAAACAAATGAAAACATTCGGCAAAGGCCGGCCCTATGAAGGCCGTCCATGCTCTCTAAAAAATGATTTTAAATAGGTATACATAAAAACAGGACATGTCTATGAGATCCGTTTAGCAAAAGGCTTTCTTTTTTTCACCGTGAAAATGGCTAAAGCTGACTATAGCCGGCCCTTTAAAGAGGGTACTTTTCATGGGAACTTTTTCATGCTTCGAGTGTATGACCAGCTAGTTTTACAAGAAGTCCGCACGCGATAGGTCAAATGTTACTTATCGGACTTGAATCCGCAAAAAAGGTTTTTAGAGATCAGTGAGGACATGGAATCCAGTTGGAGACAAGAGCGGTCTATCAACCGAGTTAAGAGGTGATTATAGTTCTTTAATGCTAAATCTTTCAAAAATGTCGACTAAATGTTTTTAAGGTAATTGGGTCTTTTTTGTCGTTAAAATCCTTTTATTCTTTTTTATTTCGAAATTTTTTGCTGCAGAGGGCTCACCATTGCATATTTATAATTTCTACTTGAATTTTGAGCAGGGCCGCAAAGAGGGAAGCAAGGGGGGGAAATTGCACCAGGGCCTCGAGGTCTAGGGGGCCTCATTAAGTAATTAATTCCGTTTTAAACTGGAATTTATTAGAAGTAATATAATTTTACTTTAAATAGTAAAATATTTTACAAGAATGAATGAATTAAAGCTTACCTAAAGGGCGTGGTCACACAAGTATTTGCTTTGCATTTTATCTCAACAATTTTGTCCGGGATTGTAGCTCTCATCCTTTTTATAAATTTGAAAATTAATAACGGATCTAATGCGTGATTTAGATTTTTTATGAATCCAGCTTGTTAATTTCATCCTTGATCATATAAATTTTTTTGTTATATCTCAGAAACAAGAAAAGCGCTGAAAGAGATCTTGACTGAAATCAAAGAACGTTCTCCTAGTGACTTTATGTCTGTAATCACAGCTACGGGAATCAGTCCGACTTTCTTTGGCGATCGTTTATGACGCCCGTGCAATGCCGCTATCGCTTAGTCGGTGCAGGATAAAATGCATGGCCCCCGGATCTTTAGAGGATCAGTATTAGAATTCCAAAACAACTAGTGCGTGCCAAGTGACACCAAGCTAGAAACTGTTTGAAGGCTAAGAATCTAGTATATATTTTGTTATGATTGAAGTCTATTTTGTCAATAGTTCCATGTTAGTAAAGAAATTTGTTATGCTTTTTATGTCTTTCTCTGTCGTTGTTTTTGATCAATAGATTACATACTTGTTATTTAGTTCTTGTTTAGTTATTTAGTTACCAGTTTCCTTTATTTAGTTACCAGTACAGTTGTGGTTGTTGAATTTTACATGTTTTAAAGGCATTGTTCATTTATGCTTGACAAGAAAGGTATCTTGTAGAAGAATCATGCTAAATCAGTTCTATATGCATTCAAGCATTTTATGGTTTGATTTTATACAAGCCATCCATATGTTTAATTTAAATGAATAATACGAGTCTTTTCTCTGGTTGGTTTCATTTTATTACTGGGATAACTATTGCTCAAAGGAAATCTTTGAAATTTACTTGAATTTTGCACTCATAGAACCAAACCAAAACAAGATTAGGCTTTTACCCTCGTGTTCCCTAAGTGTACCTCGTATCCCCTTAGTGTATCCCCTTCCAACTACAGTCCATTGCCATATCTCTTGGATTTGCTAGCTCAAAGCAGTCTTCCCTGGAATTTAACTCTTTGCCCCTTGCCCCTACTTCCGATTGCTGAAGGTACAATTTTCTACGAAATGGATGGCTTTTTGAAGTAGATTCACGTTTATGTTTTTGTATTCGAAATTGCATTCATTTCAAGTGTGTTGAACAGTACTTTATGACTTTTTTCGTCGACTTTAGGTGCTTATGTTGTTTGTGTAAGTTGAGCCACAAGTTCTCGAAGCTTTGTTCAGGGTTCTTAGTTCATTGCTGCTAGTATAGACTTACAACTTTGACACAAATATCAGTTAAGTTTGCCTTGAAGCATCTTTGTTTCTTACCACTATGAAATCATTTCCAATATGGATGAGGCAGCAACCACATGAGCATTTTTCACAACAAGACCGGAAGTCTTTTAAGCATATAGATTTGAATAATTTGAAGATATTTGTTTCCATCATTCAAGCAAAGAAATTTCATCACTGCAACATAAAAATTTGCTCATTTTGAGCATAGAATTTTCCACAACTTACACGTAAAAGTTTGGCTATATTGAGCAGGATGATATTCACGATTTCAAATTGGAGATTTGCTTATTTTCAATTCTAATTTTAATTTCAATGCCTCATTGATTCGAGTGTCCTTTGCTGAAGAAATTGACCACCAGAGGCAAAACATTCTTCAAGAAAATAGCCTCCCTTTTTTCACGAACAGCCTTCTCTCGAAACCCCACTGGTATCAAGTAGTTTTCGACCATTTTAAAGCAGGTTTTGCTATGTTTACGTCCTTTCTTTCAAAAATAAATCCCCTTTAAAGCCAACTATTTACTGACAAGCCATATTAGTTTGAAATAGTTTTAGATGTTTTTAAACAAAAAAACGATAATTCTGCAAACCTTTTAGCTTTACTTTTTTCGAAAAATTGAGCCCCTGAAAAACCATCTATTCTTCAAAAATTAGACCGTTTACTGATAAACCGCATTGTTCTAAATAGGTTTTAGATCGTTTTGTAGAGATTTTGCTTTGGTTTGGTCAAAATTATCCACCATCAAAAAATTGATACTTTTCCAAAGCCTATAGCCTTACTTTTTTTCGAAAAATTGAGCCCCTAAAAAACCATCTATTTTTTGAAAATTAGACCGTTTACTGATAAACCGCATTGTTCAAAATGAGTTTGGGATCATTTTGTACAGATTTAGCTTTGTTTTGGTCAAAAATATCAGCCATAAAAATTGATGATTTTCCAAAGCCTATAGCCTTACTTTTTTCGAAAAATTGAGCCCCTGAAAAACCATCTATTTTTTAAAAATTAGACCGTTTACTGATAAACCGCATTGTTCAGAATGGGTTTGGGATCATTTTGTAGAGATTTAGTTTGTTTTGGTCAAAAATTTCAGCCATAAAAAATTGATGATTTTACAAAGCCTATAGCCTTACTTTTTCGAAAAATTGAGCCCCTGAAAGACCATCTATTTTGTAAAAATTAGACCGTTTACTGATAAACCGCATTGTTCAAAATGAGTTTGGGATCATTTTGTACAGATTTAGCTTTGTTTTGGTCAAAAATATCAGCCATAAAAATTGATGATTTTCCAAAGCCTATAGCCTTACTTTTTTTCGAAAAATTAAGCCCCTGAAAAACCATCTATTTTGTAAAAATTAGACCGTTTACTGATAAACCGCATTGTTCAGAATGGGTTTTAGATCATTTTGTAAAGATTTAGCTTTGGTTTGGTTAAAAATTTCAGCCATCAAAAATTGATGATTTTCCAAAGCCTTTAGCCTTACTTTTTTCGAAAAATTGAGCCCCTGAAAAACCATCTTTTTTTTGAAAATTAGGCCGTTTACTGATAAACCGCATTGTTCAAAATGGGTTTTCGATCATTTAGTAAAGATTCAGCTTTGTTTTGGTAAAAATTTTAGGCATAAAAAATTCATCATTTTTCAAAGACTATAGCCTTACTTTTTTCCGAAAATTTGAGCCCCTGAAAAACCATCTATTTTGTAAAAATTAGACCGTTTACTGATAAACCGCATTGTCCAAAATGGGTTTTCGATCATTTTGTAAAGATTTAACTTTGTTTTGGTAAAATATTTTAGCCATAAAAAATTCATCATTTTTCAAAGACTATAGCCTTACTTTTTTTCGAAAAATTGAGCCCCTCAAAAACCATATATTCTTCAAAAGTTAGACCGTTTACTGATAAACCGCATTGTTCAAAATGGGTTTGAGATCATTTTGTAAAGATTTAGCTTTGTTTTGGTAAAAAATTTTAGGCATAAAAAATTCATCATTTTTCAAAGACTATAGCCTTACTTTTTTTCGAAAAATTGAGCCCCTCAAAAACATATATTTTTTAAAAGTAAGACCATTTACTGATAAACCGCATTTATCAAAATGAGTTTGGGATCATTTTGTGAAGATTTAGCTTTGTTTTGGTGAAAAATTTCAGCCATCAAAAATTGATGATTTTCCAAAGCCTATAGCCTTACTTTTTTACGAAAATTTGAGCCCCTCAAAAACCATCTATTTTGTAAAAATTAGACCGTTTACTGATAAACCGCATTGTTCAAAATGGGTTTTAGATCATTTTGTAAAGATTTAACTTTGTTTTGGTAAAAAATTTTAGCCATAAAAAATTCATCATTTTTCAAAGACTATAGCCTTACTTTTTTTCGAAAAATTGAGCCCCTCAAAAACCATATATTCTTCAAAAGTTAGACCGTTTACTGATAAACCGCATTGTTCAAAATGAGTTTGTAAAGATTTAACTTTGTTTTGGTAAAAAATTTCAGCCATCAAAAATTGATAATTTTCCAAAGCCTATAGCCTTACTTTTTTCGAAAAATTGAGCCCCTGAAAAACCATCCATTTTTTTTTAAAAAATTAGACCGTTTACTGATAATCCGCATTGTTCAAAATGGGTTTAGATCATTTTGTAAAGATTTAAGTTTGTTTTGGTAAAAAATTTTAGGCATAAAAAATTCATCATTTTTCAAAGACTATAGTCTTACTTTTTTTCGAAAAATTGAGACCCTCAAAAACCATCTATTTTGTAAAAATTAGACCGTTTACTGATAAACCGCATTGTTCAAAATGAGTTTGGGATCATTTTGTGAAGATTTAGCTTTGTTTTGGTCAAAAATATCAGCCATAAAAATTGATAATTTTCAAAAGCCTATAGCCTTACTTTTTTTCGAAAAATTGAGCCCCTGAAAAACCATCTATTTTTAAAAATTAGACCGTTTACTGATAAACCGCATTGTTCAAAATGAGTTTGGAATCATTTTGTAAAGATTTAACTTTGTTTTGGTCAAAAAATTCAGCCATCAAAAATTGATAACTTTCCAAAGCCTATAGCCTTACTTTTTATCGAAAAATTGAGACCCTCAAAAACCATCTATTTTTTGAAAATTAGACCGTTTACTGATAAACCGCATTGTTCAAAATGAGTTTGTAAAGATTTAACTTTGTTTTGGTAAAAAATTTTAGCCATAAAAAATTCATCATTTTTCAAAGACTATAGCCTTACTTTTTTTCGAAAAATTGAGCCCCTCAAAAACCATATATTCTTTAAAAGTTAGACCGTTTACTGATAAACCGCATTGTTCAAAATGGGTTTGAGATCATTTTGTAAAGATTTAGCTTTGTTTTGGTAAAAAATTTTAGGCATCAAAAATTCATCATTTTTCAAAGACTATAGCCTTACTTTTTTTCGAAAAATTGAGACCCTCAAAAACCATCTATTTTGTAAAAATTAGACCGTTTACTGATAAACCGCATTGTTCAAAATGAGTTTGGGATCATTTTGTGAAGATTTAGCTTTGTTTTGGTCAAAAATATCAGCCATAAAAATTGATAATTTTCCAAAGCCTATAGCCTTACTTTTTTTCGAAAAATTGAGCCCCTGAAAAACCATCTATTTTGTAAAAATTAGACCGTTTACTGATAAACCGCATTGTTCAAAATGAGTTTGGGATCATTTTGTACAGATTTAGCTTTGTTTTGGTCAAAAATAACAGCCATAAAAATTGATGATTTTCCAAAGCCTATAGCCTTACTTTTTTTCGAAAAATTGAGCCCCTAAAAACCATCTATTTTTAAAAATTAGACCGTTTACTGATAAACCGCATTGTTCAAAATGAGTTTGGAATCATTTTGTAAAGATTTAACTTTGTTTTGGTCAAAAAATTCAGCCATCAAAAATTGATAACTTTCCAAAGCCTATAGCCTTACTTTTTATCGAAAAATTGAGACCCTCAAAAACCATCTATTTTTTGAAAATTAGACCGTTTACTGATAAACCGCATTGTTCAAAATGAGTTTGTAAAGATTTAACTTTGTTTTGGTAAAAAATTTTAGCCATAAAAAATTCATCATTTTTCAAAGACTATAGCCTTACTTTTTTTCGAAAAATTGAGCCCCTCAAAAACCATATATTCTTTAAAAGTTAGACCGTTTACTGATAAACCGCATTGTTCAAAATGGGTTTGAGATCATTTTGTAAAGATTTAGCTTTGTTTTGGTAAAAAATTTTAGGCATCAAAAATTCATCATTTTTCAAAGACTATAGCCTTACTTTTTTTCGAAAAATTGAGACCCTCAAAAACCATCTATTTTGTAAAAATTAGACCGTTTGCTGATAAACCGCATTGTTCAAAATGAGTTTGGGATCATTTTGTGAAGATTTAGCTTTGTTTTGGTCAAAAATATTAGCCATAAAAATTGATAATTTTCCAAAGCCTATAGCCTTACTTTTTTTCGAAAAATTGAGCCCCTGAAAAACCATCTATTTTGTAAAAATTAGACCGTTTACTGATAAACCGCATTGTTCAAAATGAGTTTGGGATCATTTTGTACAGATTTAGCTTTGTTTTGGTCAAAAATAACAGCCATAAAAATTGATGATTTTCCAAAGCCTATAGCCTTACTTTTTTTCGAAAAATTGAGCCCCTAAAAAACCATCTATTTTTAAAAATTAGACCGTTTACTGATAAACCGCATTGTTCAAAATGAGTTTGGAATCATTTTGTAAAGATTTAACTTTGTTTTGGTCAAAAAATTCAGCCATCAAAAATTGATAACTTTCCAAAGCCTATAGCCTTACTTTTTATCGAAAAATTGAGACCCTCAAAAACCATCTATTTTTTGAAAATTAGACCGTTTACTGATAAACCGCATTGTTCAAAATGAGTTTGTAAAGATTTAACTTTGTTTTGGTAAAAAATTTTAGCCATAAAAAATTCATCATTTTTCAAAGACTATAGCCTTACTTTTTTTCGAAAAATTGAGCCCCTCAAAAACCATATATTCTTTAAAAGTTAGACCGTTTACTGATAAACCGCATTGTTCAAAATGGGTTTGAGATCATTTTGTAAAGATTTAGCTTTGTTTTGGTAAAAAATTTTAGGCATCAAAAATTCATCATTTTTCAAAGACTATAGCCTTACTTTTTTTCGAAAAATTGAGCCCCTCAAAAACCATATATTTTTAAAAGTAGGACCGTTTACTGATAAACCGCATTTATCAAAATGAGTTTGGGATCATTTTGTGAAGATTTAGCTTTGTTTTGGTGAAAAATTTCAGCCATCAAAATTTGATAATTTTCCAAAGCCTATAGCCTTACTTTTTTTCGAAAAATTGAGCCCCTCAAAAACCATCTATTTTGTAAAAATTAGACCGTTTACTGATAAACCGCATTGTTCAAAATGGGTTTTAGATCATTTTGTAGAGATTTAGCTTGTTTTGGTAAAAAATATCAGGCATGAAATATTCGTCATTTTTCAAAGCCTTTATAGCTTTACTTTTTTCGAAAAATTGAGCCACTCGAAAGGCATCTATTTTTCCCAAAGTTGGACCTTTTACTGATAAACCACACTGATCAATTGTTTTGAAAAGGCTGACATTTCAATTGTTTTGAAAAGGCTAAATTTTGTTTCGTAAGCTTTTATGGAAAAAACTGAAATTAAATTTCGCGAAAAAAGATTTGTAAACTGAAAACACTTGCAGACAAGCGGTCCGGTATTGTGAATGTGTAACGATATTCTAATGGAAGCGTCAAAAACTTAACAGCATTTAACTTTTACTTGGTTGGCTTTGCTTTATTTGGTTATTCTGAAGATACTTAATGCTGTAAATAATCTGTAGAAATATACGTGTGTTGTATTACTTAAGTAAGGGGGTAACTAAGACGTTTATATTGAAGATATGGCTCAGACAGGGATCAATGTTGGGCCTCCAGTTCTTGATTTTGCCTGATGAACAGGATTCAATTGCTTGATGTCATTTTGTTTTGGTGGCAACGGAGACAGAAAGAAAAGTTAAGAAAGATCAAAGCACTTGTGATAAAAGCTAAGGAGACATCGGTAATAGAGTTGAATTGTTTTTATACATGAAAACTTCCTCTACCGACCATCGGATCTTTTTCAAAAAAAGCTGTTTTCGATTTTTCTGAATAGATTTCGCCATCTATATCCGAAAAATTTGACCAATGTTTTCTGTCACAAATTTCTTTTATGGTGCACAACTGTCCTGTGAATGGACAAAGTCTATTTTTAAACTGACGTCATTCAACTCGAGTTCTTCCGTAATCAATTGTCTGTAACAATTTATCCGTAATAAATCACTGACTAGTTATCCCTGTGTCAATATCAAAAAATACTAAATAATACATGCTGATACAATCATGTGTTAAATCATAATTATATGGGATATAGTTGGATTTCTTTGTAGATGTTCTGACGAGCTGAACATATTGAAAACGTGCCCACGATAGTCTGTTATTAAACAGTAGATGTTATCAGAATACTAAATTCTATTGATTTAACGAAAAGAATACAAACTTTAGAACTAATAACGAGAGTGTACTTTCACCATGGACCAAGGTTAATGAGTACAGTAAGAACTTTAAAGCAGAAATCAAGTGGCTCGCTCGCACAGCCGAAGAAAAACAATTATCAAAGCTGATCGCTACTGAAGAAACGAATACAAAACCATGGCTGTTGTGCGAAAGAAAATTGTTGATACCCCAGAGCAAGAGAAAAATCAGTTCATTGAAGGCGTCAAGGTAATTCAACTCGGTAAACAGATAAATAAGTCAAAATTTTCATAGAAAAATACAAAAGGCAATGAATTGCTGAGGAAACTGCAGTCCCTTTGAAAAAATACGTTTTGTTTAGTTTCGTTCGTAGGCATATATGCCACCACCAAAATCCTATTTTTTCACTGGATATTGCGAACATAACTGGATATCATAATGTTGATTTTTCAGCGAGAATGGAAAATAAGAAAAGAACATTCAGCTTCAAAACTCGAAAGAGAAGGAATAGAAAGCATATGCCGCGGGGAAAACACATCTTTTTCGTACTTCAACAACGATAAGAAGGTAAGTAAATATCTTATTCAGTCAATTTCAATCTATATTCGACAAGATTCAACGTAAAGGTTTTATATACTTACTCAAAAGACTGAGGAATTTCTACATTCAATGATCTCCTTGGCCATTTCCAAGTCTGAAATGACGAAAATATAAGGTGTTAAGCTTCCAATGAACTACGAAATATAACCTTACTCATGAACCTTAAGAAGAACACAACAATTGACGAATTGAGGGAGACACAATTTGAGGGTTCTTGGCCATAATACTTCTCTAAATATGTGTTGCTTAACTTCTTTCAACTGATAAAATCAATAATGTATCTATCTATTTATTGTGTATCAGAAACTGTCAAGTTAAATGTAAGGCTATTTCACGACATTAATGAACAGGTTTTCTACCAAGGGAGACTTTCAATATATATTGGCCTTGAGGAGAAATGGGGTATATACTGTTGAATAGGTGGGGATAGTGCTCACCCGGTTCCTGCTCCAATGTTTGTATCACACAATTAATGCTGGTGCGCATCTATGCTGACTTTGCTTGAAATTGCTAGCTCGATTCTTCTCGCCATCTTTAATTTACCTGGCAAAGTTTGAGATGATTCTCAACTATGGCATCTGTGCAAATTTTCTTCTTAGCACAATCCAGTTTCAGTTTATGATCAGCGATTCCACGTGAAGTATGGCTATCATCAGAAAATAAGGCGAGATGATCAAGTTCACAAGTTAGGACTCGATGTTAGATCAGAGGTACGTATCTCTTATTCACGTTAAAGTTCATGAGTTTGAGATTTTGTGAAATGAAGTCATGAAAGTCCAGCTACAGGAAAGAATACGAAAACCATATATTCATTAATGCAGTTGAAATATGAAAAAACGTCTTTAGGGCTAGCAGTCGCTGATTTTCAAAAAGGGAAGCAATGAAATGTGTCCCATTTTCTTCTCGCGTTACTTTCCATTTAATCCTGGACATGAATTTCTGCTGCCCTCTTGATCATTTCCAGACTTTTATACTCCAAGGTTTATTTTCACTCAAATTAATAGATCGCTTTCCTTGGTCAGTAGGAATAAACGAAATCATCCTTGGATAAGCACCAGGTTTTGTGCAAAATGGAAACCAAGAAAACGTAATTCGCTTAAACAAAAATCAATAATTAAGGTAGGAAAAATGGAAACTATTCTCTTTTAGCGTTGCTGTTACATATGCCTTGCTTTTTTCTTAACTGATAGGAAGAGCGTAAAACGGTTCCTGTTCTTTCATCCTCCGTTTATGGCAAGCGAAAGCCAATTGACAACCCAAACAGAAAGCACTACCGTATCGAGGTTGTAAGACAAGAATTTTACAGAAACGGAGGGACCAGCATACCATCGGAACATTAGATTCTGAAGACGTCATTTCCCACTGTATTATCTAGGGTTTTCTCAAGTTACTGGAATGTTTATAAATACTCTCGCTTTTTTAAATGCACATATGATATCTTCCATAAATTAGTAATATGAAATGCAAATGAAGATTACCAATAATCGACTCTTTCTGTCACAATCAAACACTGAACACGCGCCACTGTCAGGGGTCCTTTTTTGTAGCGGATCACGGTATAAGGGCACCTAAGTTCGATTTTGCTGTTGACAAAAACTTGTGTTTTAAACAAGCTACGGGTAGGGAAAAATGAAATACTCGATTTAAAAAACTCTCAATTTCCAATAACTTCATTACCTTTGACCTGCAGTCATTTTTATCCACGGATACAACTATCAGAAAATGAGCAACATTTAGGTAGGGTTGCGATCTACGATCAGCATAAGCTTAGGAGTTAGTAGTTAGTAATAAGTCAGATAATCTTCGAACATCAGAAGTATTCTTTTCAACAGGAAAATCCCAGACAAAATAAAACTGAATGTTTAGAATCTTTTAACGGAGACTCAAAATATACTGAGGTATCTAAGTCTATTTTATGGAGGAGATTACGATTAACGAAACTAGATCGAGTAGCTTTTTATATAATAATTCTTTTGAGGCAAACACAAAGCTACATGATTATATTTTATTCTCTTGTCCCTTGTTTGTTCGTTCGTATTTGCAAAATACATCAATACCAAGAAACAACTGTCTTTCAGTACGCTAAAATTAGATGGAAGTTACCTGTGAATCAAACGGTGTGGTTTTTCGATAAAAGTTCTCTTTACATTACTTTTCTATAGAGAAAATTCTAGAAAAAATGACAAGGTTCCAACCTGCCTGGTGCAAGAGCTGGAAGTGATATGGGCTCTTATAGATGATCAATTATAACTTCGTGATCAAGCGGATTCAGCTTAAATTTGAATGCGGTTAAAGATTAACGGCATCGCTGCGAATATGGATGTTGCCAAAAATACCATTGCTAACGAATATCAGAGCTAAAAGGGAGGCTCAGGCGGCTATCAGAGCTTAAAGGGAGGCTCAGGGGGCTAACGGAGCTTAAAGGGAGGCTTAGGGGGCTATCTGATTAAAAAAGGCGCAGTTAGGCGGAAATGGCACCCCATACAACTGACCCAGCTAGTTGCATCTTTCCCCAAACAAACGATGACAAAATTGCCAACAACTTATCAGATTTATGAACCAATTCTATATCAACAGTTTTGTGACATAAGTAGGTCTAAAAAGCTTGTAAAACCAAAGAAGACCATAACTCTTTAGACAACTGCAAACGTAATTCGGGCTAGCTAGCTCATACATATTGTCCAAAGAACGTAAAAAAAACTCATCAAAGGAAAGGAAAATGCTTAACGAAGCTGTATCCGTACAGATGTACTTATTCACATATGTCAGAGTCCTAAAGTATTCATCAACGAGTTGGCTTGATAATGGCTGTGGCAGACGAAGCATATGGAAAGAGTGTGTGGTATGCCTCTTGCTGCATCATGGCTGCTTTTATATGGTGACCTGTGAGAAAAAAACATGGCGTAGAAAGAATTAACATTTATAACCCATTACAATATAATAAAATTTCTTACTTTACCGAGAGATACTTCCTAAGTGTACTGATTAGAACTTCCTTACTTTTCTTGCTATCTCTATATATGTCCACCCCATGTATTCTAACACCTCTATTAATGGAGACCTTCAAACAAAGGAAATGACTTTGCTCTCTACTTTCTTGTCGGAAATTAAGGCCGTGTTCAAACATCCACCACAGGAATCTCCCCTACGATGATGCAATATCCAGGCAACAACTTCAGTCAAAGCACCTCTTTCAGTAAGTCGAATTAATAACATCAGTTGAATCAACATAAATAACTATGTGTGTTTGCCGTCATTTAGCATTCATCTGTGAAATGCTTTTAGGGCACATTGGAATCCTAAACACTTAACAAGGAATGAATGTCGATTGCAAGCTTAGTACAACGGGAGATTACAAGACTGGGCGAACACGTTAAAACTCAAACTGTCATAAACCTACCCGCAAACCAACGTCCGTTCAGTGTTTGAATAACAGTAGCTGCAACGTCTGGTAATGCACACTTGACAAAGACTCGACCCTGAAAAGTAGGCATACCTTGTGCTTAAATAAAAATGTTTCGTGGCGAATAATGAGATCCTTTGCAGTTTGCTAATATTACTGAAAGGTCATTCTGCATTTCCAAAACCAATCTAAGAGGTTTCCATTTAAGAATCTTCCATGAGACTTAAACACATTTTCTGCTGAAGAATGAAAACCATCTATTTACGTTAGCAAAATATGTTCGTGAACCAATAAAAATGAAACGACATTAGAAACATGCCATTATATAACCGATAAATATATATATATAGTTAACTAATCTTTATTTTTAGCTATACCGGTCACACTTTCGAATAAAAACAAAGATTCTTCGATAATTCTATTCTTATCAATTCCTGGCCAACGTAAATTTCATCAGTAAAGCATAAAAAATAAAATAAAAACTACAAATAACGCTTGATTTACCTCTGGATCTGTACTATCAACATGGATATGCACGACAGAACCAAGTTTTGAGATTTCCTCTAAAACATCGTTCTTAATATCTTCATCCCATCCTGGCTCTGATTCCCTGCAGAAGTGAATCAGACATTTTTGCAAATAAAACATTTTTCTATCACTGTTCTCATTCTCAATGATTACATGTTTGATTATTATTTAAATGTTTAAATGTTATGATATTTTTGATCTCCAACCTTTCTTTCTAAATATACACAGATTTCAGGAAATCTAGTTAACATTTACAATTCTTAACTGACATCAAAGTAACTGATGGTTATCCCTTGATAAAACCATTGGAACACTGCAAACTGAATGTTGATGAACCCAGCCTTTTATTTGCTCTCAATTTATCAAAGTACATGCTGCTGAATGCTTCTCTACACCTCCTTTCCCACATAACTGGTGATAACTCAATCAGAGGCATTTATTAAATTCAAGTCAGATTTTCGAATGGAAAATTGACATTTAGCAATAATGTAATTGGAGAAAAGGAAACAGCTCTTTAATAAACCGAGTATTTAACAAGTTTACCTTTCCATAATAGCACACTGACCATTGTACAAAAACCTATGTGTAGATTAATGTGGGTGGGTGGAAATATAGAATAGATGATAGGGTAGATTATACAGTTTAGCTAGCTAGATACATGGCTGAAATTGCGTACGTGAAAAAGATGTAATGAGAAGCTTACTTGGATGGGTCAAACATGTTTGAGATCATTACACACGAGCTTGGTTGAGGAACATTTTGCAGCAAAGGTGTTTGAAGAACGGCTGGTACCAATGGAGCATTTGGAACCTGCATCCCTAGAAGAAGAAATCATAACGAATGTCATTTCACGTTCAATAAATGCAAGTTTGTAGTCACAAACGAACTTTGAGAATATTAAAAAGTATAATATCCTGTAGGTCTTGTGCATTCAAAATTCTGCATAAGCCTGGATGCGATTTTCCAGCTTTATTAAAAGGTAAGACACAGCTCATTGCACTACAGAATGGGTGCTGGAATAAAACTTCTTCTGTTTAATAACATGCACCGGAAGATTATAATCACAAATTGGAGCCTTTTTCATTGTATGTTAAGAGATATAATTTGACAATGATATTGTGTGACAGCAATTCCTGCTACAAGGCCTGCCAAAACTCCTTGGAACACACATAATTCGCTTCATTTTTACGTTCTTCATTTTTGCCGGGTTTTCAAAAGATTAACTGCAAAAATATATGTTTGAACGACAAAAACCGTTAGAAGAGGGTCTGTCACAAAAGTTTGTCTTGGCATTGCCATAACATTATTTGATGATGTAAGGGAACAGACGCACGTAAAGGTTGAAAAAGTCACACAATTTTGGCAGTGACGTTGTGTCACTACCACACAACAGCAACAAACGTTTTGTTACTCAACGAAACTTCAATGTCATCAATGTGTTACCTACCAATTGCATGAGTAGCAGCAAGTTTCTGCATCAGTGCTGCTCTGGATGCAGCATTCATTTCAATGCCTCCCTTCTCCGTCTCTTCGTCATCTAAAAACGACATCGAGCCATCACTCCTCTCGGTGACATTACCTACTTTCATGGGTCGACCTGCCAATTCGAAACCATTGAGCTGATCCAAAGCTCTTTTGGCAGAATCGGCTTCTCTGAATGTAACAAACCCGTAGCCTTTGGACCTTCCACTTTCAGTATCATATATGAGTTGCACGTTATCTATAGCCCCAAATGGCTCAAATATTGCCTTTAACATTGCTTCGGTGATGTTATAATGAAGAGAGCCAACATAGAGTCTGCTTGGACCACTTGGCTTTGATGCTGATAGTGCTGCAGCGGCTCTGTTTTTCTCGGCCATGGTTGGTTGTACCATGATTGGCACTCCTAGGAGTTTCTGACCAGATAACTTGATGGCCTATTTTAAAACGAGGGACAATAATGGTTATTTATATTCCAAATCAAAAACATCTGCAACAGTAAAAGATAAACTGCAAATGTGAGTGCAGAGATTGCTAAACTAATTTGCATGTGCAGAGAAACCTAGAAATGCATCTTCAAATTGAAAATAACAACAGTCATGCTAATGGTCTACAAAGTCTTATCATGACAGGAATTTATTTGATGACGGAGAAAAATCTTCAGGAAATTATTAAATGGCTTGAAGGACTCGATAAATCGCAATTATTTAAATAAGCAAAAGCCTCTATAAAGTGAAGAAAATTGTCAGTTGACGGGTGGTGAATCCAAAGATCTAAAAGACAGAAAAAACATTTTGAGAGAGGTTTCATCGTATTACTTTTAAGTTAAAAGGAAAGACTATGTTTGATAGAAAAATAAATGAAAGAGCAAGGAATAAAGCTAAGTAGCGATGGGACAGGATGGTCATTCATTCTATGATCGTTAAAGAACATGTCCTTTAACGATCAAAGATAGGAAAAGCCATGACGACACAAGAATTACCGAGACTTTGTTTCTACAATAGTTAACTGAGTTTATCATTTACAAAAACATTAAACTAACCATTGGAATCGCCGATTTGTCAGTAAACTCAACATAACCAATTCCCTTGGATCTTCTCGAATTTCTGTCAGAGATTAATCTTACATCAAGTACTTGACCAACTTTTGAGAAAAAGTCCATTATATCTCTAATAGTGACGTTTCTAGCTAGCTGCATGATAAAAACAGTCCTTGCATCTCGTTCTTCTGGTGACACATTCTCATCTTCAATTTCTCTCTCGCGTCTATAAAAAGAAACCAGCAAATGAGAAAATTACAAATATACTCATCCTTGAATTACACGGGGCCTTACTCTAAGTGGCTAGAGAGAATGCCTATTGTTTTGAACAGATTACGTCACATTTTCCCATTGTTTTAGAATAAATTACCATTATCCTCTAAAATAATGTCTCCCCTCGCCCTCTAGGTGTCCGCCACTGTTGTAGGGAATCAGAACATAAATTCGCAAAGAGAATCAAAACATAAATTCCAAAATGGTATATATATGAGACACATCAGTAGCATTTCCTAACAATAATTTATTTATGAACTTGCTAAATGACAACAAGCCAGAATATTAAAGACGAATTTATTATACATATTGAACTTACGCAGACATAAGCGAAATAACATGTGGTCCCCTGTCACCACCACCACCACCACCAGGACCACCGCCACTTCTTCGGCCTCTACAATCGATGGAGATAAATCTATTAGGTATACGTATCAAGTCAAGGAACTGCCCAACACAACAAACTGCAAAAACAATTTGCAATACAGACAAAAAAGGAATATACAAACAATCTATAGAAAAAAGAACAGAACCGAACACAGAATTCCCTTATTACAAAATTATTTCTCAAAGAAAAGAGGTCAACGTAGAGTGATATAAACTTTTTCTAGAAGGTACTTCTTAACATCATTATTATTAATGCAAAAATGGAACCAACCTATCAGGACTCTTAGACCTTCTTCTTATTGGACTGATATCTCGTCTTTCCCTTCTTCTGTCTCTGTCCCTATCCCTTTCTCTATCCCTTTCCCTGTCTGCACCTCTGTTTCTCTCCCGATCTCGATCACTTTCCCTTTCCCTTCTCTCTCTTTCTCTATCTGGTCTTGGTGGCCTCTCTGAGCTGCGGCTTCTACAAAATTTTTATAAGCAACTAACACCATGCAACTACATCTCAAGATAGAATTAAAATTAAGTTATCCAATTTTATCATCGAGTGAGCTATGTCTTTATATACACCAACAATGTTAGCAATGTCTTTATAAAAACAAAGTAAATGAGCAAGCTTCACTGACTGAAAAACTACTTAAGAATAAAAACAAAAGATACATTCCTTTATGATCTAGAAACTGTGGTTCAAAAAAATGACAATTTATAACATTCTAGCACTCCTTGGTTTACTATTGATATATACCTCAAATGAATAAAATTAGCAAACCTTCTCCTCCTTCGATCTGGTGACCTACTCTTCTCCCTTCTTTTTACTTTATCCTTACTTCTGCTTCGACTCCTGCTTTTCTTGCTCCTATAAAAAAAACAATTGCTTATTTCTAGGATGTTTTGTGATCGCAGCAAAGTTGCATTAATTGGGAGTTTTTAGGCTAATGCAGTTTAGATGGTGTTAGGAAAATTGAAAGTGTAATGGAAAAGTAAAATTTAGTGAATCTCTTTGGCTGAGGTTCACTATCATGGCTCACTGTCATATTCAGCAAAAATTGGCTGGACAGAAATAAAGTGAAACACATCATATAGCACTGTTTCATTGACAAAAAGTATTTGAAAACTTTCAAAAACTAGAGTCACAAATCATGATCTTTTGCAGTCACTGTAAACCTAATTTGAACTACTATTTGGCAAGGAATAGGCATTGAAAGTTAGAGATTGGCATATTGAAAACACTTGTAAAGACAGTATGATTCCTAATATGTGTCAGATCATGGCTGTGGCAAGTAAAACTAGTAAAAATAAAGACTTACTTCTTTTTCTTTGTTCTTCTTTCATTATCACTGCTACTGTCACTTTTATATCCATTTTTTGATGATGATTTCTCCTAATCATCAGGAAGATCATAATATGGTAATACCAGGAACAGGCAAAGAAAAGAAATTGGGAAAAATTTAGTGAACATGTGAACAGAATCAGCAGTTTCTACAACTGACTAAGCAAAATATTACAAGACCATCTAACAATGGCATACAAGAAACACTTTCTAACTTGGAAGCGTTCTTCAAAAAGACACACCAAAGTTATTAAGTGACTGCAACCCGTATTAGAAAAAAACTTCAAGTGCAAGAAAACCAGATTTTTCTTTTATGGCAGATTCCAAGAAACCAGTGTTTTTGTATGCCATTGGCCATATGTAAATGAAGTGCAAAGTAAGAAATTTCAGAACATTGGTTGTCTTTAGGAAAAGGGGTATTGCTTGTTCTACTGAAAAAGTATGTTTTTTATTAGAAGTGAATTATAGTTCCAGAAATTGCGAAAAATCTCAGATAATGGACTTTTATCTTGCTGGAAGTTACTGAAAACATTTCAAATCATAATGTGATACTGTAATTGAAGTTTGTGGGAATTTCAACAACCAACAACATGAAATTTGTAATTTGGCACTTCATTTATGGAAGAATTTCTGCTTGTTTCTCAAGGTCCCTTTGATTACCTTCTATGTCTAAGGACATCAAGCCTCTCAGTGGTTTTTGCAGGCAGTTTGGTTTAGGTACCTAAAGAAAAATGTCAAGAAGAAAGGCTCTCCGTTCATGTCTCCAAGAATGCTTCTTCCTTCCACCATATTTGATCAAACTCCATTTAGAGATCTAGTGTGTAGGAAAGAGAGCCATTTACAACATCAGCACTGTTAACCCTTTTTGCAATTCTACATGCTTGTTAGGACAGGCATATAATTCTCCCTAATACTGTACCTTTTTTCAAGAAAAGTACAGTTTTCCAGCCTACAACACTCTGTATAAAACCGACTGTGCCAGAAAAACAAATGGAAACATTTTCATTTTAAATTTTTAAACACTGCAGTTACAAAGCTCACAAGATAAGGTACTTTGTAAATGGCTTGCCTGTTACATAAGTTGAGTTAATGTTACACATAGTCAAAAAAACAGAGAGATATACTGACAACAGAGTGCCAGGAAGGTTGTAAAATAATAACAATAAAAACCAAAAACATAATTAAAAATATTCATATCAAGAATTTTGTTTTGCTAGCAAGGATGAAGTTCACTCAATAAACAATTAAGATATCTAGCTTGTGAGTTTTCCCCATTTTCATCAAAAGATGCTATCTAATGCTTAAATAACAATGCAAAATGTTGCAGTAAAGCACACCAGGCCTCTGCAAGCAAAGGAGGTAGACAAACTGGCATTCAATATATTTCAGAAAAACTGCAAATATGAGCACTATTAATAGCATTTTGGTTTATTCTTACCATGGTGGAAACCATATAGTAGAATCTATCCATGTCAAGGGCCAACAATAAAAATTGAGACTACACATCCATAGCAAAAGATGATGTGTTACTTTATGATTAGAAAAAGAAATCTTTATTGAAATAATATTGAAATAACTTGAATGTATGTTGACCTTCCCTTGTGTTCCCTTTATTGTTTGCTTCTGGTTGTATAAAAATCAATTAGTTTACAAAAATATTGATGTCCTCTCTGATATTTGTTCATGTTTGTAGATCTTGCAATATACAGTAGAAAATTGTTTGATTTAATAGGATGCTTCATTATTTTTAATTTTTTGAGCAACATTACATGAATAAAAGCCCAGAAGCAAAAGATAATAAATATATACCCCATTTTCACATTACAGAACAATGCCAGTTAACATGTCTTCCAAGCATTCTGCTTAAAGAATATGCTTTATGTATATAACTCTAGTAGAAAATCATTTTTTGTGTGTTTACCAACTGTATAATATACTGATATGTATTGTCAACAGGTAGGTTGATTGTGACATCTTAATGACTTCATAATTTCACCAAAATTGTTGTCAAAACTCTTTTTAATGAAAGGAAAATGATAATCAAACTTTACGCTCAATTGGCACAACTCTTCAATATCAATAAGAAATATATCTATATCTACAAATTAATAAGAAGTATTATTTGATGTTCAAAACCATAGATTTGATGACACTATTCAGCAAAGTTAAAATCCGTCTCAAGGTGTTTCACATTATAAAATAACCATGCTACATTTACCATATACTTATATAAATCATAGATATATACTAACTCAAACTTTTGGAAAGGATGGATCAACGTTCTGCAAAGGATGCTCCATTGTTACTGTCATCTGGAGTTTGCAGAAATGAGCATTTCAGCCAATTTTCCAGGCTTGTATACAACTGATAATATTATTGACACACAAAATCAATACTACCACACTGCATGTTGAAAAGAATACCAAAATATTTTACAATTTATAGGTTGTGTACAAAACATTCTGTTGTAAAAAGTTATACAATTCAAAAATTTTGAATAATCACCTTCTTTTTGTATGGGGCTTCAAGCATTGCCTCAATATCAAGATCTTCTGCCATGACGATGAGAGTTATCTATAGAAATCAACAGAAAATATCCCAATTACTTCAATTAAAAGCTTAAGACACAGAAAGCATCACACTTGGAAAAAACATAAATTGAAAAAAGGATTGAAATGGCCTTAATGGAGCTCAAGGAGCTCTTTATATCCAAGACTGTAATGATTTTGTTTCACATTTTTGTATTTCTTTTCATTCCAGAAAAGAAATGGTGGACTTTTTCTTTTATAACTGTCATTTTTCTTAGGAGTGCAGCGCTGCGCTGATCACAGATTCAAGGGTCCGTGGTTCGAGTCCCTGGCATGACCAAACTTTCACCCAGAGTGAGGAGAGTCACCAGATCTCTGTAATTCCAAGTGTAGGAATCACAAGGTGTGGTCAAATCGAGAGGAAGGACCAGGACACTGCTAGTTAAGCATAAGCTTCTCAGTGTGCTAAAAACTACCTTTGGATGTTAGGTAGAAACAAATTACAAATATATACATATTTTATTCAAGACATACTGAAAATTTGGCAGAAGATATATCAGAGCTTTTGATATATCTTATTAAAATAAACCCTGGCCTTTAGAGCTGTTTTATGATGATGTCTCATGCTAAATTTACATTCCCTTTTGAACCTGATCCACATGCAATGTCATCATCATCCAGTTTATAAAGTATGTTACCAACCTTGTTTCTGTTATTATAATCACTGTTATGTTTTTATTTATACCTTTTTGCAGGCCTTTTCATGAAGAAGTTTTTGCAAGGGCCACAAACTGCCTGCGTCGTTTCGCTTATGAGGGTGTCAGGCAGGTCATATTTGTCAAAGGAAGTCATGCAGGACCAAAGGGGGAATTAGGATAGTATCTTACCATGACTGCCCAACCTTTGATTTTGTAAATGCTCAACTATCAGCAGCAAATAGGCAAAATATTTGATGTAATGATTTATAATGTCAAAAATCAGGATATGATGTTTTTTTTCTTGACCCTTCATTCAGGAATACCGTAACTTTTAAGGATATGCGAAAAAGAAATATGTTAATTTTGACCAGCTAAGTAAAAAAATAAGAGAAAACTTGAAATAAATCAAAACCACCATCTAGAAGTTCGATTTTCTAAATTTTTTCTTCAGTGTATGAATCACATCAGATTCCTTCTAGGTTGAAAAATTCCCTCCCTCATCTCCCTGATTGCGTTATCTATGTTTTCAGATTCTCTTTGAGCTTCAAGACAAAGTCTCTCTCTCAGAGGCTCCCCTATAACAGTCTTATGTTTTTCCTCCAAAGAAATATCAATATATATATAGCTCTTTTTATTTTAGCATTTCTTTTTATCACTGTCCAGTTCTAACCATTATCGCTTATTATCAATAATTGTTCTTCCCACTTATGAGTAACCAATGTTTGATGTGGGGGTCATCAAGGTTTACAGAACAATGGACGGAGCAATGGGATTCTACATACACATTTGCTGGACACAGATTTTCTTGAAAATGATGCACAGGATACGAAATTTTTATAAAATTTTAATGATTTGTGGATTTTTTCACCTGTCGTCTTGTAAAAACATCTTTCAATATAGGTCTTATCAACAACTTAAAGGTGCAGAATTTTTACTAAAATGACCGGAACGGCAAATTTCTACCCAATTGGTGGCCCCACTTCGATAGCAATCGTTCTAAAAAACATTCTGCCAAAAGGCCTTAAGGGAAATCCTAGATGATGCAATGAGAAGATGTGAACACAACAATAGTGACATTTGTTACAAACTTTCTCTAAGTGTTATCTTTTTCTTGCGGAATTTCACGAGGGCTGGTCAATAGCCCACATCATTCATTTGGCAAGGGGGATGGCAAGGGTGAAACGAAAAGGCCTGACCTTTTGCTAATGGCCCAAGCGAGACAAGTACATAATTTTTTCTTTGGTTGTTTATATCACAGAATTATATACTGTAGTATTCTTCTTCTGCAGTATACAAAAAAAACTGAATTGTCCTCATACCATTCAAACCTCTATTATTTGAATTAGCAAGTATCAAATCAATTTGAATTGAGATCAGATTTTGTCTTTTAAGATACTTCTTATACCCCATCTACAAGGAGCAAAAACAGGGCTGTGATTGTGAAAAAGAAAGATTATGTAGAGTCCAATTTTTGATGTCGCTCCAAATTCAAATTCCTGTAAGCAAAATAAACTTTGGGCTGCTCAATATATAAATGTTTTGTTATTTTTGTTATTTTATTACACTTTAAACAAACATTAGGCTTGCCAAAAAACAAGAACAAGGTAAGAACATATCCAGCCTCAGATGGAAAATTTGAAGAAAAACAGTGTCTACAAATTTTCTCTCATATCAACAAAAGAGAGGAGATCTTATCATGTAATCAACCACATACTAAATTTCGCACAAACATCAACAAGTTCTTAAACTTTCCAAGAGCTGCAATGCTGTGAAACTCGGCACCTGTCTACACTAGAGTCCATTAGCAGTTTTCAAGAGCTTGTTTGTTCAAATGCAACTAACTAACAGGCAGAAAATTATTTTTTTTAACCATCAATAAACTCATTTACAAAAAGAATTGTTTAAAATAGTGTATTATCATTAATTGCAACTAACCATAACAAAGTAATAAGAAAACATATATGTAATAACCAAAGTTGTCTGCTGTACTCCAAAACATCTATACATAGTTACTAAAAATGTCATGCAAATAAAGCTGCTATTTAGAGGTCTCTTAGAAACAATATATGTCAATATCTAAAGATAGGGAAATTGATGTTTAAATAAGAAAACAGCATTAAGGACACCAGGCCCTCGAGTTATCAAAAAAAATGGTCTGGCCACAGCCCCAAAATGATTTGGTTCTAACAAACAAAGAATGAAGCCCTTTTCCTAATGGAGTATAAAATCCCCAGGTTTGACTGTAAAGTTACGAGATATTGCAACATTGTTTTTTTCTATGAAAATCCTCTAGAAAAATTCAGTTTAAAGGAATGTTTCCACAAATAAAACTGGTTGGTCAGTTTTATTATTGGTTTTCACAACTTTTGGTGGGTTTTTTACATGTAGTTAAATTTAAAAATGCGTAGACTTAAACTGAAACTGTTTAAATTGTATGAACTTGAATCTCAATGTCATCCGATGCCGACTTTACTGACGTTACACAAATATAAACATTGTCGAAAAAAGTCAAAATATTAAATGATTATTCTTAGCGAGAATACTCGATAAACGCAAAGAAATGGTTACCAGTTGAATATGAAATGTTATGAAACAAAATTTAAACTGATACCAGCCACCAGTACCAATAAAATGCAGTGGAAGGGCTGGCCTAGCTAAATCTGTTTGTTTGCCAAGAAGAAAGAAAAGTACAACTCCTAAGCTGAAAGACAATTCCTTATACATTCTAGATCAGATAGAAAATAAAAAATAGTACTTTATAATACCTGAAGCACGTTTCCCTTGCTAAAAATGTTCAAAGTATTTTCCTTCCACACGATGGCGGGATCATCAGTATCTTTCAGGTACTGGTTTCTGCTTCGTGTTCTTCGCTGCGTCTGCGCACATCTCGCTCCAGACCCCAATGTCCAGGCCTTCTGCTCCTTCTCAGCAGCTTCAATCTTTTTTACATCAGTGGTGGCCCGGAGCCGCATAAAATGGACAAAACGTAGCAGTTCTGTACATCAACTTCAAGTTAAACAAAATGGGTATTGATTTATTATCGTGGAGAACACGTATTGGTTCGTTCACTCATTCTAATCAAAGAACACACTCAGCCGATGATTTGCAAGAAACAAGATCACATCTTCCTATTACAACTAGTAAGAAGCACAACGCTATTTTTCTTATCGCCTTAATTTTGCCACTCTTATATATACATATTTCTGATCTATTTATCCGATTATTATTTGCATGGATAACGAACTCAACCCCGGCCCTTCTATCTGTGACAACCTCAACAGTCAACAAAGACATGACTATGTGAACTCTCTCCGTCGCACCGAAATCAAATATACAAAACATTTGCACCAGCTGAACTTTCTTGGCATTCAAGCTTCGATGGTCCTAATTCCTAAAGGACTCCAAATCAAACTCTCGCCCAGTAGTCAGGGCTGTTAGCCTCAGATTTTGAGAGAGTTATGCAAAATCGCATACCAGCATGAAACTTCGTCCACAAGGGTAGTTTTGGGCGCTGAACAAGATCAGATGCAGACCCCAGCTGAGAAGTGCCCCAATTGCTATTTTTAGACTGTTGTACTTGGTCCCAGGCCCCAAAAGCGTTAATTGTAAAAATACTGCCGCTAGTTGTGATAACGACATGAAAGTTAGAAGAAATGGGCAGTTTGATATGCCCAAAAAGATAGGATGCAGACCCCAGCTGAGAAATGCCCCCAAATGCTATTTTTAGACTGTAGTACCTGGTCCCAGGCCCCAAAAGCGTTAATTGTGAAAATACTGCCGCTAGTTGTGATAACAACATGAAAGTTAGAAGAAAAAGGCAGTTTGATATGCTCGAAAAGATAGGATGCAAACCCCAGCTGAGAAATGCCCCCAAATGCTATTTTTAGACTGTTGTACTTGGTCCCAGGCCCCAAAAGCGTTAATTGTAAAAATACTGCCGCTAGTTGTGATAACGACATAAAGTTAGAAGAAAAAGGCAGTTTGATATGCTCGAAAAGATAGGATGCAAACCCCAGCTGAGAACTGCCCCTGTGTGCTATTTTTAGACCGCTGTCCTAGGTCCAAGTCCGCGGAAGTGGTTATCCTTATTACTTTGATAAACTCTTTTATTTTGGTTTTCGAAGGAAATTAACATAGGGAATTAAGAATCTTTTTTCATTCTCCTGCAGAATATTGATAAAGGTTTTGTGCAGTCTATCTTAAATAATTTAAAAAAGTAGTCGAACAGAATTTTAGTGGAAGAAATCTGATACCTTCCTTTTCAAACCCAGTAAATGAACCGGATGTTGTAATGGTTTCATTCCATTTCCTTCAAAAGTTTACTTTCGTGATAGGATCTATTGTCTTGTTTAACAATAGCGATGGGGCCATCGAAATTGCAAACAATTCATATACGTTTTTTTTAGAAATAAGACAATGATACGTGGAAATGTCTAAGAAAATATTTCAACTGGTTAACCCCCATAGCGAGTTGACCAGACCTAGTTCAATGAGCAAAGAAATACTGGAGACAAATTGGGAAAGTTGTTTTTTGCCAAGAAACGACATCAGAGGTACTAGAATGTCCAGCAAGGAAAGGCACTCACTCCGATAAAGGTTCAGGATACAAAAGCATTGCAGAACAGCTTAAAAGGTTTCAGGGCATTGGTGAGCTTCTTTCCTTGATACAAGGACAGGCTTAACAAGCAACGAGGTATTAGCTGGCAATCTTTTGCAAAATGAGGCAAAATTTCATAAGCGTTGCAAAAATAAATATAACGACTACCATTACCAAAGGGTATGTAGGAAAAAAGAAAGAAACAGCTGATGTTGAAATCGCTCAGGCCCCACCTAGCACACGCCAAAGGTACAGCGCAGATAATTTCAAAGTTAGGTGTTTTTTTTGTAAAAAGGATGATTTGGAAGTGAATTTGACAAACGCTCAAACACTCGTGACGCGGTGAAAGAGATCTTTGATGAAAAACTCTTAGCCAAGTTAAGCGAAGGTGACATGGTAGCAGTTGAGGCCCGATATCACAAGCAATGCCTTGCCGCTCTTTACAACCGTCTGAAAAGCTTTCATCGAACAAAATTTGTTCACGAAACAGAGGAAGCTATTAGAAAAGGGACAGTGTTGGCTGAGATTATTGATTATCTTAGGGACATGGTAGAATCTTCCAAGAATATTTCCGTATTCAAGTTAAGCTGTATCAAAAAGCTCTTTTGCGATCGTCTTGTGGCGCATGGTGCTACTGCAGAAAGTGTAAAGAATGTGCACAGTACTCGTTTGAAGAATGACATCTTACATCACATCCCAGAGCTCGAGGAAGAAAAGCAAGGAAACAATGTTCTCCTAACACCCAAGGAAGAAACAGGTACCGCGATTTATCAGGCATGTCTAGAGAATGACCAGGATGATGGAATTTGCCTTTCTAAAGCTGCCAATATAATTAGAAAACATGTATTTTCGCATAAGATTGAGGACCCTTCCCAATTTCTTGCATCTCAAAAAGCTTCAGTACCCCCATCTCTTGTCACTTTCATCAGTATTTTTAGGATAAACGCTCTTGGGGCCTGGGACCAAGTATCACAGTCTAAAAATAGCATTTGGGTGCATTTTTCAGCTGGGATCTGCATCCTATCTTTTCGAGCATATCAAACTGTCAATTTCTTCTAATTTTCATGCTGGTATCATAACTAGCAACAGTATTATTAGGAGAAACGCTTTTGAGGCCTGGGACCAAGTATCACAGTCTAAAAATAGAATTTGGGGGCATTTCTCAGCTGGGGTATGCATCCTATCTTTTTTAGCATACCAAACTGTCCCATTTCTTCTAATTTTCATGCTGGTATCACAACTAGCAGCAGTATTTTGACAAAAAACACTTTTGGGGCCTGGGAACAAGTACAACAGTCTAAAAATAGCATTTTGGGGCATTTCTCAGCTGGGGTTTGCATCCTATCTTGTTCAGCGCCCAAAACTACCCTTGTGGACGAAGTTTCATGCTGGTATGCGATTTTGCACAACATTTTGGCAAACAGCCCTGACTACAGTGTTTCCCTTCATCCGCATCTCCGATTTATTTGGCAGAAAAAAACTACGAGCATTTCAAACTTCAGCTTCACACCCTCATCGAGAATTACAAACTTTCAATTATGGAACTAGAATCAAAACTCAAAGATTTATGAAACAATCTCTATATCACCTGTAATTATGTACCATTTAACAAAATAAAAAGAGTATATTTTACACTACATCCAATCTCTGCCGTAAATTAGAATCTATAGAATCACGTAAAATTACCAGATACTTTAATTTTGACGCTAATTTTGCTAACAAACCTAATTTTATCAATACCAAACTGTTAGATCCAAATATTTAAATTTTAGTAATTCTATTCAATGTAACCCACACCACAATCACACAATCATCGTCAACCTTAATTGCAAAAACACCCGGATCACAGTCATTTTACTTTACATCCCATCATCAACAACGTTCACAACTTCATCACTCGTCCCACACAATACAATCGTTTTCAATTATCCTCCTCGCGTTCTACCTTCTCTTGCTACAAAACCAACAACACTTCCTTCAACACCCGCTCATCCACATCATCATCATCATCATCATCATCATCATCATCATCATCATCATCATCATCATCATCATCATCATCATCATCATCATCATCATCATCATCATCATATCATCATCATCATCATCATCATCATCATCATCATCATCATCATCATCATCATCATCATCATCATCATCATCATCATCATCATCATCATCATCATCATCATCATCATCATCATCATCATCATCATCATCATCATCATCATCATCATCATCATCATCATCATCATCATCATCACCATCACCACCAAGACCACTACCAACACCACCACCACCAACAACATCTCCACCCCCGCCATCATCATCATCATTATCAATACCACCGTCTAGACGACCTAATAAGACCAAAAGACGTCCCAAACAAAAGATAAAACCACTTGAAACTAGCACTGTTATAAACCTCTCGACATCCCCCCTCACGAACGACGAAATGACACTACTGTCACGCGAACTAAACTTTTGCTCTACCCTAAAAAACATAGACTGGAACGAACTTAACGCAGACCTTACAGAATTTAAATGCAGACTAAGACTGAAACATTACTTTCACAACAATGACAAAGACGAAACCGTAGACCCTGAAAACGCAAATTTTCAATGATACGAACCGACGGTTAAGTACAAAAAGAAAAGCCACTCGACACCTCTACGAGGACTAGACCCAGCACTAGACACATACATCAACAAAATCGACGATGACATTAAAAACATACGGCCTACCAAAATAACTGACAACCTCTCTCACACCGAACAGAACGTACTAAAAAATCTTACAAGACGAACAGACATTGTGATTAAACACGCTGACAAAGGTTCGGGGGTTGTAGTCATGGACAAATTATTCTACATAGCCGATTGCAACAAACAACTGAGCGACACAACTTTTTACATTGAACATAACAAAGACATAACAAATAAGGTTACCAAAACAGTAACCAACTACCTGCAACTGATTAAAAACAATAAAAATATTGAGAATGACCTACATGTCACCCAAACAACCCACATGCTCTCGATTTTACATTCTACCCAAAATTCACAAGGACCGCAACAACCCCCCTGGTAGACCCATAGTCTCAGCTAATGGCCACCATACAGAACACATATCAGAATACGTCAGCGACATCCTTAACCCACTGGTTCCCAAACTTCCATCCTGCATCAAAGACACCACACACTTCCTCAACAAACTATGCTCCATTTCTGCTATCCCCAATGACTTTCTCCTTGTTACCCTCGATGTATCATCCCTTTACACCAACATTCCTCACACAGAAGGCATCAAAGCTGCCAGGGGACACCTCAACAAACGCACATTGAAAACTCCCCCAACAGAAACTGTTTGCGACCTTATCGACATTATTTTGACAAACAACAATTTTGAGTTTAACAGACAACACTTTCTACAGAAACAGGGCACAGCAATGGGAACAAGGATTGCACCACCCTATGCAAACCTTTTCATGGGGACCTTTGAGTCTGATGATCTGGACAAATCTCTTGTATGGTGGCTTTTCATCGTCGGTATTTTCATGATTTGGACACACGGACAAGACAAACTCACAGACTTTATCAATGCACTCAACAGTACCCATCCCACTATTAAATTCACCAGCGAACAATCCAAACAATCCATACATTTACTTGACGTCACAATTTCTATCAATAAAAACAACACCCTCTTCACAGATCTCTATGTCAAACCCACAGACACACACCAGTATCTCCTCAGCACCTCCGCACACCCCAAACACACAAAACAGTCAATCCCATACAGTTTTGCCCTACGACTACGACGTATATGCTCGGAAGACGAAACCTACAAATTCCAAACAAAACAACTATTACAATACTTGACAAAACGAGGTTACAAAAGAAAACAGACACGCAAACAAATGCGGAAGGCTTCTAGAAAAACCAGACAAGACTGCCTGAAACCCACAAAACAACGTAAAAATGACAGAACGCCATTTGTTGTCACCTATCACCCCTCTTTGCCACAGCTATCTACCATCCTCAAACAAAACATCAACATATCACAGAACTACAAAACATGCAAAGAAGTCTTCTCCGACGTACTCATACTCAGCTACCGTAGACCTAAAAACCTCCGGAATATATTGGTTCGTGCAAGAATAAAAAGTGACACACCCAGTAATCTCAGAGGCACTCACAAATGTCACTCGCGACGTAACTGCATAACATGCCAACGCATCACAGACAGTACTACTTCTTTTAACTTTACTAACACTGACAGCAACTACGACATAAAAAAAAGACTGGACTGCAACTCTAATAACGTTCTTTACGCATTACAGTGCAAATGCTGTTTAACTAACGGACACAAGAACTGCCAATACATCGGACAAACAAGCAGACGACTGAAAGACAGATTTAACGAACACAGACGAGACATTATCAACAAAAAAGTAGACAAATCTGGTGTTGCAGAAGACTTCTGTAGCCCAGAACATACCATCAATGACCTTACTGTAACACCATTACTGAAACTCAATGACAAACTAGAGAGTGTCCGACGAGCCAAAGAGCAATACCTCATTGGCCTAGCAAACACTCTCACATCTAACGGCATGAACAGAACCACTGACCGTTAACCTTACAGCAACATTGTAATTATTTCATATTATAGTACTTTATCCCTATTACATTTTCATTCCACCACCACAACCCACCCTCTCTCATTCGCCACCCTTTCCTCCTCCACCACTGCGCTGCATTCACACCATTCCACACCAGCCAATCCGACACCACCATCGCCTCTTTTAAATGTGTACATTTTTAGCCCGTTAACCTTTGCTCTGATGAAGCGCCGTATGCCGGGGCGAAATAGATTAGCCTTCACTGATTAACGTGTATTTATTGTTGTTTATTCCTAGGCGTATTGCGGTGTTTTTTATTTGCTATAAAATAGGAGAACCCGGTCTCAGGCAGAAAGTAAACAAGTTTTAAAAATAATCATTTGTTAATTGTCAAGTTGTTTAAAGAGCTTAATAGCATTAGATAGCGCTTTTTAAGATTTAGAACAACATTTTAGGCCTTGATAGGAATTCAACAGTTTTAAAAACGAGATTCTCTAATGTTATTACTAGCAAACGAAGTCTTGTAAAACTAGTAAAACTACCCTGTTATATTTTATAAAAACAAACGGAAACTAACCTTTCTTTGAGAAGCTCTTTAAAACAACTTAATTAACGATTATTTTTAAAAAAATTGAAATTTTAGGGACTTGTCTATTTTCTGTCTGAGACAGGATTCTCCTATTTTACGGCTTGTCTATTTTCTGCGGCTCCACACCACCCCGGCTCCCTTTAAAGAGACCAGTGAATCTAACAAAACCCCTCCTAGCGAAGTCTCAAAGCACCAAGGTGCAAACAAAACATCGTTTTGGAATTTTGTGAATCAACTGGAATAAACTCTTGACGCAAATTGAAAATTGTTACATATCAGTGCAAGCAAAGAGAGAAATTCTTCCCTTAAAGGGGATCGGGAAATATTTTACCCCAGAAATCCAAGCAAAAATTCCGAAAATCTTCAAAAAGTTATTTGGATATCCAGAAATTACTTGAGATTTCCAAAAGCTCTAAGCCAAAAATTGCTCATTGCAATACTTGACGAACAGATCAAACAGTACGCAAGTCATTGTTTCAGAGAGCTATAGCCATAGGCGTACAGGGGGAGTTGAGATGGAGGGGGAAGGGCTTAAATATTTTTGCCGGAGAAAACTAATGTCTAAATTTTCACGGAGCATACTCTAACTCATGTCAGCTTCTAATACTAGTCAAGAAATGATTGGCAACGTCATCGAAGTGAGGTTAACTAATTAGCAATTTTTAATTAACCACACGTTACTAAATAAATCACACGTTATAACATACAGCTTTCGAGTTTTCCATTAAAAGAAATACGAATCTCTTCCCGACGGCGAACAACTAGATGGATTATTTTATAGATCTTTCTTTTGAGAAAAAAACTTTAATAATGGCGTCCAATATTGAAGAGGGAGAAATTGTGAAGTCTTTGTGTTATAGGAGGTGTTACAAAGATTTGTTTTATGTGTCTCGTTGAGCTGAATTACCGTTTTGCTGAGCATGATGCTGCTGGAATAGTGGCAAGAAAAATGGGGAAGCAAATCCTGCTATTGTCCTCATGCATCATTTTCAGCAACTCTTACACGTTTTTGGTTTCAATCATACTTATGAGTTATTCTTGGGATAATTGAGCAGTTTGTGTTCCATTTCTAAGAGACCAGAATCTATTTGGTACAAGGAGTAAACTTTTCCGATGATTTTTTTCGAAAGATTACCATTCACGCTTGCATCCCCTGATTCCAGTGGCGTAACGCATTTTAGGGGCCCTTAAATTGATAACCAAGTGGCCCTGCCCGAAAAGGGCCCAGGCTGTTTTTGGTCTGTATATAGAAGTCCCACAGCAGTTTTTTGCTTATGACCTCAGATGTCTCCATAAAGCGATAGCCCAAAGCACACAAAATGTCCTTGTCATTGGCACTAAATCGCGCATAGACAACAATTGGAGAGAGCTTTGCTTTCGCGATGGGCTTTCTCGATGGGGTCTAAATTTGCGAAGAAAAATTAGTTTACAGTCGACTTCCTTCACTGACTTCCACCGGCATGTCGAACGTGAGGCCATTTGTCCCTTTAGTCTAGATGACGGTTCATGCTCAATCTCTCATTCTTTCACCTTCTGCAAGACTGTCCTATACAGCTAGCCTGACAACGCACCCCGAAATCAAGGGAAATAGTTCCTTTGAAATTGGGGTCTGGTTATCAGGCTACTATACGGACAGATTCAACTAATGTTCAAGACCGTGAACATAGGTGCCTAGTGGAGAACAGTCCATCATAAGTCCTTAGCTTTACCGTTCATTTTTGATGAACCATCGAAACATTTCCAAAAAAGTTTCTGTAGATCTATATTTAGGTTTTCACGCTCGTTTAACTCATGTTGTGCAACAGCTAAAGTTTGAGTTTTGCAAAAGCCAACAAAATCCCTTTTCTGACACCACTCAGTGCAAAACTTACACAAACTGACACAAAGAAATGTTCCATCAATTATGCAAAAAAAAAACCGCTTTCCTTTAATTCTTCAACAATCCTCGCAAGTGCTAATTGCTGTGTTGCTGTTTTTTTCTATTTTCACTCAAAACCACCTAAAAAGCCTTAATGTACATTCTGAATATCATTTCGGGAAGTTTCAGTGACTTTCATGCTCATATTCTGAACATAAGGACTTGGTAATTTTTGAAAAAAAATCATGATCCTGGGTCTGCAAAAAATGTTTTTTACTCGAAACAACCAAGAAAGTATTAAAATACGCTTTGAACACCAATTTGGGTGGTTTCGGTGAAATTTAAGCTCATATTTTGAAAATAAAGGCTTGGGCATTTTTGAAAAAATTCATGACCCTGGACCTGCAAAAACTTCAAAAAATTTCAATTTTTTAAAAAAAAATGTTTTTACTCGAAACAACCAAGAAAGTCTCAATTTATGTTCCGAACACCATTTTTAGAAACTTTTGGTGAATTTTAGGCGCATATTTTGAAAAAAAGGCTTGGGCATTTTTGAAAAAATTCATGACCCCGGACCTGCAAAAAACTTCAAAACTTTTAAATTTTTTCAATAAACATTTTTTACTCGAAACAACCAAGAAAGTCTTAATTTATGTTCCAAACACAATTTTGAGAACTTTCGGTGAATTTTAGGCTGATATTTTGAAAATAAAGGCTTGGACATTTTTGAAAAATTCATGACCCCAGACCTGCAAAAAACTTCAAAAATTGTAAATTTTTTCAAAAAACATTTTTTACTCGAAACAACCAAGAAAGTCTCAATTTATGTTCCGAACACGATTTTGAGAACTTTCGGTGAATTTTAGGCTGATATTTTGAAAATAAAGGCTTGGACATTTTTGAAAAAATTCATGACCCTAGACCTGCAAAAAACTTCAAAAATTTTCAATTTTTTCAAAAAACATTTTTTACTCGAAACAACCAAGAAAATCTCAATTAATGTTCCAAACACGATTTTGAGAAGTTTCGGTGAATTTTAGGCTCATATTTTGAAAATAAAGGCTTGGACATTTTTGAAAAATTCATGACCCCAGACCTGCAAAAAACTTCAAAAATTTTCAATTTTTTCAAAAAACATTTTTTACTCGAAACAACCAAGAAAGTTTCAATTGATGTTCCAAACACGATTTTGAGAAGTTTCGGTGAATTTTAGGCTCATATTTTGAAAATAAAGGCTTGGGCATTTTTGAAAAAATTCATGACCCCGGACCTGCAAAAAATTTCAAAAATTATCACATTTTTCAAAAAAAATTTTTTTACTCGAAACAACCAAGAAAGTCTTAATTTATGTTCCGGACACGATTTTGAGAAGTTTCGGTGAATTTTAGGGTTATAATTTGAAAATAAAAGCTTGGGCATTTTTGAAAAAATTCATGACCCCGGACCTGCAAAAAACTTCAAAAAATTTTCAATTTTTCAAAAAAAATTTCTACTCGAAAAAAGCAAGAAAGTCTTAAATTATGGTCCGAACACCATTTTGAGAACTTTCGGTGAATTTTAGGCTGATATTTTGAAAATAAAGGCTTGGACATTTTTGAAAAATTCATGACCCCAGACCTGCAAAAAACTTCAAAAATTGTAAATTTTTTCAAAAAACATTTTTTACTCGAAACAACCAAGAAAGTCTCAATTTATGTTCCGAACACCATTTTGAGAACTTTAGGTGAATGTTAGGCTGATATTTTGAAAATAAAGGCTTGGACATTTTTGAAAAAATTCATGACCCCAGACCTGCAAAAAACTTCAAAAATTTTCAATTTTTTCAAAAAACATTTTGTAGTCGAAACAGCCAAGAAAGTCTCAATTAATGTTCCAAACACGATTTTGAGAAGTTTCGGTGAATTTTAGGCTCATATTTTGAAAATAAAGGCTTGGACATTTTTGAAAAATTCATGACCCCAGACCTGCAAAAAACTTCAAAAATTTTCAATTTTTTCAAAAAACATTTTTTACTCGAAACAACCAAGAAAGTTTCAATTGATGTTCCAAACACGATTTTGAGAAGTTTCGGTGAATTTTAGGCTCATATTTTGAAAATAAAGGCTTGGGCATTTTTGAAAAAATTCATGACCCCGGACCTGCAAAAAATTTCAAAAATTATCATATTTTTCAAAAAAATTTTTTTTACTCGAAACAACCAAGAAAGTCTTAATTTATGTTCCGCACACGATTTTGAGAAGTTTCGGTGAATTTTAGGGTTATAATTTGAAAATAAAGGCTTGGGCATTTTTGAAAAAATTCATGACCCCGGACCTGCAAAAAACTTCAAAAAATTTTCAATTTTTCAAAAAAAATTTCTACTCGAAAAAAGCAAGAAAGTCTTAAATTATGGTCCGAACACCATTTTGAGAACTTTCGGTGAATTTTAGGCTGATATTTTGAAAATAAAGGCTTGGGCATTTTTGAAAAAATTCATGACCCCGGACCTGCAAAAAACTTCAAAAATTTTCGATTTTTTTCAAAAAATTTTTTTTACTCGAAACAACCAAGAAAGTCTCAATTTATGTT